GCTTATATCGAATTGCAATTGCAAATAACTATCATTATCTTTCTAAATTTGCAATTAAAATTAACAAGTTAATTGTAGCTTCTGTTTTCATTGATACTGTTGCTTAAAACTATTAAAAAAAGCAAGAAAAAAAAAATAATATTATTAAACTACTGCTGCTTACATATTGTGACTATTATTATTATTACTATTACAATAATCTATGAAAATACATTTACCTTCAACTTGACTCTCATTGCATTTACCATAATGATAATTGGCTGCTGATAATAATGATGATTGTAATTATGATGATGATGGTTTCCCGTTTGTAACTTTCACTTTTTTTTGCTGCTTAAAGTTTATTTTTTTTTTGTTCATCATCTTTGCTGATGTATAACTTGTGTTGGTGTTGAGATGTCAGGGTTATCGGATAAAACCAGCATCCATCGGGTAACAAGCAACTGGCCGATGTGAAACTTATCATTCAATACCTTATTTCCTTGCAACTTTATCTTAAATCTCTCTCTCTCTCTCTCTCTCTCTCTCTCTCTCTCCTCATCCTCATCCTCCTCCACCTCATTTCCTTATCCTAATTCAAGTCTAATTTATACTTTTGTTACTTTACAAACTTTACTTTTTTTTCATTTGTCAAAATGATCAATAATTAAGCCTAATTACTAATTACTACTATTGATTGTTTTGAATTACAACTACAACAATTAATCATTAACTTAAATTAACTCCCACATTGAGAGTATATAAATTGTGAAAATAAAAATCTAATGGTTGATTAGTGGACATTGTAATAGTTAATTATTATTTAATATTTACTATTTTAATTGATGATGAAATTTGTTGTAACCTTATTTCAATTCAATGTTGTTTTCTGATAATCTTGACATTGATTTAATTGTCATACCAACAATTAATTGTCAAAAATTGAACCTCTAAGATTAAAGATTAAGAAATATCAGTTTTCAATTGATAATGTCAATTGTGAAACATTAATAAATCACTATTAAACTAAGAGGACACAACAATTTAGTTAATTGTGATTAAGAATTCAGAAAAAAAAACTCATTACCTTAAAGGTTAACTAACAACACAATTAATTACAATGTAACTAAATAATAATGATAATTTATTATATTCATAATATTTAATTGTGACAATCAATTGAAAATTAAATCACAATTAAATGTTAAATTGTTGTGAAAATGATACTGTCAAATTATCATTGGAAATAGATTAGTTAATCATCATCATCATTACAATATGAATTGAAAACCGATAGAGAGATAAAATTAAATGTTATATGTTCAATGTTTAGTTAATTGTGTCCTTAATTGTTTGAACACCTACCCCAACAATTAAACAGGAATCATGTTAAACATTAACACCAATGACATTTAGTTGAATTAAAACAAAAAACTTATCAATTAAATTGATCAATTTCATATTCTGATCACTCAATCAGCAAGAAATTGTTGGTGTTTTGTTGCTGGTAATTAGATATTTGGTCATTTCCGGTCAATACAATTAGTAAATTGTTAGTAAATCTCGTAGATTTTGTCAACAAGAGTAAAGAACAAAAAAAGACAAAAACCAGAAACGGAAACAAAAGAAACAATTATTTCAATTCTTTGTTTCTATTTCGCTTCAATGGATAAACAATGATAGGTAACAACAGGTAAATGATTCCAAACAGATGATTCAAAGTATCATGATGATGAATATGGATGATGATTTACTGATTTATCTCCATCACTTGTAGTAAAAAAAAGGGTTTTTTATGGTTACGTTGATTATTTGAAGGTCAATTTTTACATAATTATGATTACCTTTACTTTTTTGTTTCTCTCTTCTCGTTATTATATCATCAATCTTACAGGTAGAATTGTTTTATCTTTATACTTGTAATTTTCTTGATTGTTTTTTATTTAACTTTTTTCTTTTCTCTATTCACCATTCATCAACTTACGATAATAATAATAATAATAATAGTAAATTAGAGTTAAATTGTTTTCCAACAATGTTACTAAATCAACGTGCGTCTTTTTGGTTAATCATTTCGATACTTTTTTTTGTTGTTTTCTTTTTCACAAAAAGCCGTTGACATAAAGTGAAGGTTGTCAAATTCATTGACAACTTTTCAACGCAATCAACTAATCTAAACTTTTCTCTATTACAACAATTTAATTATTTTCGTTTGTATCATTTTTACTCTCTCAAATTAATCTCCACACATACACACACTCTCTCTCTCTCACACACAACGACAGTCTAATTATTACCTGGAGATTATTAATTCGTTTCTAATTGATTAAGATTTGGTTGATTTTTTCTTCTCAATGTGAAGAAAAAAAGAGAGAGGAAAATGGTCACCATGTCTTAATTGTTCTGATGGAATCGTTGAATTAGTTAATTGATAGACTTTTTTAAGAATATTCTTGAAATTCAAGTTTCTATCGATTCTCTATGATAGATTGCTAATTGTCAATGATTAAGTCAGTTAATTAACAGTTAACGCAGGTTGAATGGTTATTAGTATCATCATTATCATCCAAAGTGAAATAACCTCTTAGTGACTAAACTAATAATTACGCTACAATTAGTTAAACTCATTAAAAGGTAAGAAAACGTTCACGTACCTTGTCAGAACGTTTTTCTTATCCCTTAACATTAGCACGTCGGAATTTCATCCCTTTAATAGTTACTTTAGTTACTAACGAAAAGAGAAAGAAAAAAAGTTATAAAAATAAAAAAGAAAGTGAGACAAGATTATCTTCACAAGATACTGACGATATTTTCTTGAATAAACTATTGGAACAACGTTACAACTTTCTGACGATTTTGAAACTTGAAACTTATATAACAAATAACCGTTACTTTATTAGTTATCTGACATTCAACCTTTGACCTGTTTCATTTCAGACAATTCGATAAGTTTTTTGTTTGTTTTCTCTCTTTCGAAAAAAAAAGTTCTAATCGAATTTGTTATTTTTCGTAAAAAAATATTATTCAATCTTGTTGTTTTCTTTTTATTAATTCCACAAATTTTAATCAATATTGATGATCTGATGATGATTATGATGATGATGATGCTGATTTCATTTGATTATTATCAATTTAATTAGTCTCCTCATCGGATTAACCTTGAAATTAATCAGTTGAGAGATTATTTTTTCTAGTTAATCAAGACTTTGAAACTTTATCTTCTTTCATTGAAAATCTTTAATTTCTTTCTTGATGTAACTTTTTTTTTTCGTTACTCATTCAAAGTGTATTATTAGAATTAATAATCTTTGATTAGTTGATTAATTTGATTTGTAGTTCGTTAAATTTTTGTTAAGTAATCACTCAGATCATTTAGCTTTCAATGTGCTTTAATCACTTTGGCAACAATTGATCATTTCTGTAAGCAAAAACAACTTGCAATTTCCGTTTCCTTTTTATCATTATTATCAATATAATTGTTACTATTTTCTCACTTCTCTGTGAATAATCAATTTCCGCTTTAATTAACCAGGTAAATTGTTTCTCAGTTGATTAACTTAACTAAAACTTTTACCTCATTCTGATCAAACAATTTACTGATTATCAATTCAGTCAATGTCTCTTGAAAACTTGAAAAACACAATCATCAATATAATATAATTTATCAACAATTTAATTATCATCATCAATTGTTTTCCTTTTAAATTGTTCATCAATCAAAATTAAGTCTTGATTAAATGTCTCTAATTATGAGACTGATCAAATTGATACAATCCAATGAGTTAGTCAATTTTTTTTTACATCATCATCATTGTCATCGTAATTGTATTGATTTAATTGTCGAGAGCGAGAGTCTTTAATTGTTGTTAATTTAACCCTTTATCTGAATATAAAAGCGTAACAATTAAACAACAACAATAACAATAACATGATAATCCTTGATTTTTTTTATATACACCAATCAATTGATTGTTAATGTAAACAATTTGTCAATACAAAATGTAATCAATCAATTTAACCATAATCTTCATAGGAAATCAATGATTAAATGCCCTTAAAACTTTTAAATTGCTAGCAATTAACCAATTGTTATAGTTGAAGATTAATTAAAGGATTAACAAAAAAAAATTTAATCTCATTACAATTGAAATTAACTTTCAAGACAATTTATGATTAGGTAAATAAATTTAAGTAAAATTTAACAATAGTGATTAGATAACATTTAATTGTTATGATTAATATATAACTCATTCTGTATCAGGTAAATCAATTTCTTATCATTAAATCAAATTTTTCCTAACAATTAACTGACAATCAGCCCAATTAAGTGAAAAAGCCAAATAGGAAAGTTGTTTACGATTAAGTAAATTGTTGTTAATGGAGAGAAATGAAACAAAATGGTAACAATTATAATCCAGAAAACTGTTTAATTGTTTTAATGGATAATAATTAAGCCTCAATTAAGAAGATGAAAATTAGGAGGAGTTGGAAGATTAGATGAATACCTTGTAGAAAAGGAGAGAGTTAGAGAAATTATAAGTTCTGTTATATCGTAGGGATTAAAAGATTAACATAATTAACGGTTTTAGGGATAGAAATGTTCATTTTTCGATCGATAATTTTGATCTTTTTTCGATAAAAATTGAAAATCATACAGAAAACGATAAAATGAAAGTGCAAATCGAGAGATGGCTCTGTGGATACTCTGTCAATATGAGCCAACCCTCAGCCCTTCCTACGGCGGTGATTTCCCCTTTCTCAGGTATGGATAACGCCTCAAAGTGATATTATCAATTCTGCCAATTACTTTTCTCCCCCTTGCAAAAATATCTTCTCTTTCTTTCTCTCTCTCTCTCTCTCTCTCACTCTCTATTTTCCCTTGTTTTCCTTTTCCCTCCCCTTCTCATCATCATCATCATCTTGTTTCTCTCTCTCTCTCTCTCTTCTACCTTTTTCTCTCACATAAACTCTTGCAGCATTTTCCTTTCTCCCTTATCATCATTCACTCCCTCTCTATCTTTTTTCTTCTCTCTCCTTCCCTTTCTCTCCTTTCTCTTTGAGTCTTTCTTTCTCTTTTTTTTCCTCTGTCGTTTGTCGTTATCTCGAATAGCGAATCATTATGAACTTTTATGTGACACCCTCTGAGCTCCGGTTCTCAGATGCTGCTAGTCATGAGAGTAACATCACCGACGTTACCAAGGTACATGTTGATCACTTATTCCGAGTAACCCTGTAAACTACCCTAGTCACCTTGTGCTTTATTCAAGGAATCAACATCATCTTGATGATCATTTGAAACAAGTTAAACAAATCATCAACAAGTGAATCAACAAGTTACTTCTCGACAATCAATTGGTGTTTATCATCATCTTCTTCAACCGGAATAAACAGTTCCAACTCAATGTGTAAGGTTAAAAGTGTCTCTCAGCCCAAAGAGGCTCAAAATTCAAATAATAATAACAATAATTCATCATCATCATCACCCACCACGACAATCAACACCAACAACAACAACAATAGTAACAGTAATTACATAAATAATAATAATAATAATAATAATAGTAATTTGAGTGTTTACAATAATAATCATGTTAACAATCATTCATTACCAATAATTTCAACATCAACAACAACAACTTCAAATCATCATCCCAATCAAAATCATCATCACCATCATCATAATCACAATTATCATCATCAATTTAATAATTGGAAAAATTGTTCCAATCGTTTTGTTGGTTATTCATATCCACCAGCAAATTCCTATGGACGAGCTGCCCCTTTAGCCGCTTGTCCATTCATTAGTTATTCACCTCAAGTGATTTACCTTCCAGTGTCTTATCCGGTCTCACCACCGGTCTCAGGGCAGGTGACATTACAACCCAATCCATTACCTCCACCACCACCACCACCAACCCAACAAACAGGGCAACAACAACAACAACAACAACAGTCTGTTCATCATCATTCCCACCATCAACCTGCTCCTCATCATCAACCACAACCTCAACCTCAACATACTCCATTTAATTCATTATCAACGGGTGTTAATTCACCAACATCAACCACAGTTGTATCATTAACTGGGACAATTAACTCTCCCACATTGACCAACAATCAACAAGTACCACAATTAACTACACCATCACCACCGCCAACAACAATTACACCCAAAAACAATATCATTAATAATAATGCAAATAATGTTAATCCATATAATCAAAGCTCAATTACCACTAATCCAGTTTACTCCAATTTGATACAAACCAATACTATCAATAATAATAATAATAATAATAATTTAGCAATTAACAATAATCACAATTTAAACAGCAGTAACAACAACATGAACCACAATTTTCATAACAATTACAGTAACAATGTTAACAGCAACAATCAAATTAACAGCAGCAACAACAATCATCATCTAATAAATAGTGATAATATTAAATTAATTTCCAATGATTTATTATCATGCTCTTTGTTAGGTAAAAACAATGAGGCTCTTCAATTCCTGTCGAAAGGGGCTCAGGTGATTGTGCGAATGCGAGGTCTCCCATACGATTGTACCGATCAAAAAGTGGTAAGTTTACCCTCTAATTGTCAACAATTAGCTAATTACCAGCAACGTTGTTCTCACCCAAAGGTGAAACTTTGCAAAGGCTACAAGAGCTTTTCTCTTGTTGAACGATTTGTTCAAATACAATTGCAACGATTTCGATGAATCATTTTTGCAAATTAGTTTCAATACTAATTAATTTCTCTCTCTCTCTCTGATCAAACAATTAATTAATCATTCTGTTTGTTGGGTGTTTGGTTTTCTCTTGCCATTTCCTTTATAATGACTTTAGATTGAATTTTTTTCATCGGGAAAAAATGGTTGTGATGTAATGGATGGTACTGAAGGTGTACTTTTCGTCCGTCGTGGCGATGGTCGTCCAACCGGTGATGCTTTCGTCCTTTTTGATTCGGAAGAGATGGCGATTAAAGCTTTACATAAACATCGAGAAATTATCGGGTCAAGGTACATTGAACTGTTTCGAAGCTCAACCGCCGAGGTTCAACAGGTAAGGGTCAAAGTTATCATGTTCTAAATAGAAAAAGCAAAATGTTGGGTCCAGCAAGAATGTAGACAGTGTCAAAGAGAAAGAAGAAGAAAATTAGACAGGTATTTTCTGAGAGAAAAAGATGAGGATGAAGATGATGGGAAGATGAGCATCTCTCCTGAGGTTAGCTAAAAGTGATGTTGATAAAAAAGTTGCTTTGATCTGTCTTATTGATTTGTGGTTATTTCTTGAGAACCTTGTTTATCTTCATCTCTTTTTTTTTGCTTCATTTTTGCACCAAAAAATTAACTTGTTGCTCTTTCAAAGTTTATCCTCTCCATTGGAAATAGTATTCAGCCCTCGGGGTTTTCTTTTCTGTTCGTATTTGCCTCTTTCTCTCTTTCTCTCTCTCTCGCTTCTATTGCGAAAGTGACCTGATAATATCTCGTTTATTTCATATTCTTTTTGTACCTTTGTCTTTATTTTAAACGACTTCGAATATAATCTTAAATAAGTTTAGCTCTTTCAAGAATAAGGTTTGTCCGAATACCGATCAAGTTGGTGAGGTCAATTGACTAACGACAATTAAGAGGGGAAATTATTGATCTCAAACTGACCAGAGGTCAATATCTCTTTAAATTTGCTCTCTCTCTCTCTCTCTCTCTCTCTCTCTTGACCATTTACCTGGATGTTTTTTCTTTGATGTGTCTAAATATTTGTCAATTATTTTATCATCTCTACTTTTCCTTTTCCTTTCTCTTCCAATTTTTCATCCCCTTAACCTCTCTTTCTCTCTCTCTCTCTTATTTCATATCTTCATCATCATCTTACCTTGACATTGTCCTTTAGACGAAACCAACTACCTTGTCCTTTTTTCACTCTGAAAAAACATTGATAACGTTACCACATTAGTAACACATTTAGAGCTTTTTAATTGTGTATGTGTGTAGTAAAATTAAGTTTCCTGTTTCCGGTAACATTGTTATTAGATTAACATCATTATCATTGATTTAAAGGTGAGACTTACATCAATTATTGTCTCTCTCTCTCTCTCTCTCTCTCTTCACTTTCATCATCATCATTATCATTCAAGTTTAGATTATTTTTTGTTGATGTAATGTGTTTCTCTCATCATTATCATCATTTTCTTGACAATTTTTTATATATTTTTCTGATCAAATGAGGAAAAAAAACAAGAATCAGGTGAAGAAGAGATGATGAAAAGAGATGATGAAAAAAAGTGATCAATTTTTTATCATAGAATTAAATTGATATCATTATCTTGATCTTGATTCTTTGGCCTCTTAAAGTCTTACGATTGATTATTATTATTTTAACTCTTGGATGATATTTTGTTATTATCTTTTCTTCATTTATCATCATCATCGTCATCTCTCTCTCTCTCTCTCTCTCTCTCTCTCTCTTCTCATCTTCTTCTTTGGTCAAGATTACTCTTCCATAGCATTGATGATATTTTTTACTCTTATTTTTTTATCTTCTTCTCTATGTTAACTTTTGAGACAAAAAAGGTTTCTCTTTTTCTTAATATCGTTGCAGCGTTAATAATTCTGATCGTTGAATCGTCAAACTTCATGGTACAACGATTGACACGCTGGAAACGTTGAAAAGTCGTAGACAAAATTTTATCATCTTCAGGTTAACATTCAACAAAAGGGAGAGAGAAAGAGATGAAAAAAGTGAGATGATGACAAGAGAGAAAGAGAAGATATTATCTTAAGGTGATGTTTAGAGAGAGAGAGAAAAAAAAGGATGAAAAAAGAAGACAAGATGAAAAGAAAAGAGTTTACAGGTAGAAATGAATAGAATGAAGAAAAAAAAGAAGAAAGCAAAATGACAGAGGAAGAAGAAGATGATGACAGAAAAAAGAGAAAAAAAGAACTTTAAAAAATGATGATAAGCTTAGAATGATTTCTAGAGTGAAAGAGAGAGAGAGATGATGATGATGATGAAAGATGAGAATTAATTGGAGAGAAAAGTTAAGAAGATGAAGAATTTATTTAATTGTAACTAATACTGTTTATCCTCTTGCAAAGACCTCACAACAATTTCATTTATTAATTGGATAATGAGACTAACTGACCATTGCACTGACCTTCTACCTTGGTCAATATCTACGAGTAAGTCAATTTACCTTGAAGAAAGGGAATGAACCTTAACAAGCTTTTAACCGTTAATGAAGTAGCCTCATCGTAGCAGGTGAGTTGACCTGCTACAGAGAGAGAGAGAGAGAGAGAGAGAGATGAGGATAAAGGCCAGTTAGGGGTCAATGGGAAAGGTTTGTTTTCTGTTATAACTTTTACTCTGCTTATTTTGTTGTTTCTCTTACTGCTCGATAATAATAATAACCGTTCATTAGTAACTTGAGGTCATTTATTTCAACAAGAGGTCAACAATAAGGTCACAACATTGAAAGTTGACTTTTTAACCCAAAGGCTCTTGTCTCATCTGTGTTATTGATTAACATATGCATTTGTAATGATGGTTAATTGTACAGAGAGGTCATTGGAAGATTAAGTAAAACCAATTACCAATTAACTTTGATTATGATTATACATTCTTGTTGTTGTTGTTGTTTTTTGCTTTGTACAAATTAAAGCTCAACAATTTAACTATAACATTGTTTAAATTGATGATTAACCTTTTTCAATGAGGATAATCTAGTTAATCTCTAGTGATTAGGATACATAATTTTTTTTTCTTGCTCTTGTTGTTATTTTGTTGATACAATTTCTTTTCCTTGACTTTGCCTTTGATTGTGGATCAACAGTAACTTTTTTCCCTTCATTTTGCTGGTGTCAATTTTCAATCAATCAAATTAATTGTTTGTGTTTTTTGTTTGTTTACGAAAAATTGATCATTAACTAGGTTCTTAATCGTGCAATGGACTTTAGATCAAATTGTGAAACTAATTCTCTAAATTTACCACAAATCCCGTTGATTCCACATCAACTTCTTCCATCGGGATCACGACGAGATTGTATTAGACTTCGAGGTTTACCTTATGAAGCTCAAGTTGAACAAATTCTCGAGTTTCTTGGTGAAAATGCCAAAAATATCGTCTTCAGGGGAGTTCATATGGTTTATAATGCTCAGGTAATTGTTGTTTTTTTGTTTACTCTCTCTCGCTTGTTGATTTGAATTTGGAGTTTTCTTCAATTTCAATTTTCTAAATCACCTGAGTATTTATGTTTGTTTATCTTTGTGGACAATCAATCAACAGGGTCAACCTTCAGGTGAAGCATTTATTCAGATGGATTCTGAACAATCAGCAGCCATGGCAGCAGCTCAACGACACCATAAGTACATGAGCTTTGGTAAAAAGCAGAGATACATTGAAGTATTTCAATGTTCAATTGATGATATGAATTTAGTTCTAACCGGCGGAGTTCCCATTCAACGGCATTTACAAACAACAGGTAAGAATCAATTAGTTAATTGTTACCATAATGTTCACTTTTGTCTTCTCGTAATCATGATCATTGTGCTTTACTCAATTTTTTATTGAATCAATTCAGGTTATTAGGGAAAGAAAAAGGAGAAAAAATTATTCAGGTGAAATTATTATTTCTTTTTTTTTCCTGATAATATTATGATCATCATGATGATTATCGTTGTAATTGTAATAGTGATGATGTTGATAGTTATTAATGAGAGAGAGAGAGATAAATGATTAATTGTGATACTTATTGATTTGAAATTGAACAATCAATGAGCAGAAAATGATAATTATGATGACACAATAAAGTGAGATCAGTTTTAATCAATTGATTGTGATTATCATCTTCTCAAGTTATTTAGATAAGATGAGAAATTAAAAGGTAACAATTGTTATTTATTATTCATTTCAATTACAATTAAAGATTATTAACAATCAACAATTAATAAGTTAATTGTAAACCTCTAATGATGACGATGATGATGATGATGATGATATTGATTAAACGTGATTGAGATTCTCATTTTTGTTATTATCTTTTAAATGAACATTATATTTACTCTGATTATCATTAAATCATCAGCAACAATTAACTTAATCAACACAGCAACTTTTTTGTTAACCAATATAATATATTTGTAATTTCATCTTGATCCTAAATGAATTTAAATTTAACACCGTTAATTAAAGTTAACAATTATAATTACAGTAGTTTAGCTGATTAATCAATTTTTAATTAATTTCCTTATTCAAGTTAACAGGATTAACTGTTAATTGTGATGATAATGATTATAATTAATTGACCTTGAAGAACCATATTTATCATGATAATTATCATTTTCCTCTTAATCAAACTTTTGCCTCTTTGTTTTCATTTATACTCTCATGTTAAAAAGGAAACGGAAATATAATCAACAAATCTAGTTCACTAATATTGATGATGATGATGATTACAATTAACAGTTATGATGATAAACATCAGGTTACATTGGGAAAAAACATTGAATTGAGGTTATATTAAATACACCATTGGTTTAGATACTAATAGAGAGACAATAATTGTAACTAAACAAAAACAAAAAATTGATCACCAATCAAATTATATAAATCGAGACAATTAAATGAATATCTGTCATATTTTATCATCATTAATAAATTACAATTCATTGATTATCATCATAATTATGAGTCTCATTGTTTTTTTTACACCCTTTTTAATGACGATGATGATGATGATGATGATCATGATTATTGATTCAATTGAGTTGATGATCTGAATTTTTGTTGAATTTTTTTCTTCTTGATGATTGACTGATTATCTTATGAATTATTTATTTCCCTCTCAGGAACAATATTACCTTCACCTTATCGGGCTTACCCTTACCTTGGAGGTGCTCCTGTTTTACCTGCCGGTACAGTGACCGCTGCCGCTGCAACAGCGGCTGCAATTTCAACAGGAGCTGGTGGAGTTCATCCAACATCATATTATCACCCGATCATTTATTGGCCTTATCCAAGTCCCCCAGTTTCACCGACCACATATTATACCCATTCGGCTCCTACCATGGTAAGAACCTGATTAGTGAAACGGCCAATAGAGACAGAGAGACACACACACAAACATACACACCATATATATATCCAGATAACCTCTATCATGAACACTAATCTAAATGAAATGATCAGCAAATTATCACCTTAATGGTCAACACATATTCACCTAATTACTACAACTACTACACACTCTCCCTCCCAATATCTACACAACAATTAAGGCAGCAAATAATTTTTACCTTTTTGAAAACAAAAATCAATCAATTGTCAAATTGATCATGAAACCAACGATAAAACAATTTCATTCATTATAATGATAATTTAACTATAATTTGAAACGATAATTATGATAATTGATTAATGAGAAGTTGATATTATCTTCTATTATTATTATTATTATCATCATCATCTTCCTCTTGTCTTCCTCTCATCCTAATTGATCACCTTCTTCTTCAGTTATCTTCGGAATTTATTCAGATTCCATCTTCTTCTCATCCTCATCTTCTTCGAAACGGAATCGGCGATGGTCGTACCAACGGCGGTGAAGGTCTGGTAACCTTTCAACCTCGAATTGAGGCCGAACGTGCAATTCAATGTTAGTTAATTTCTGTCTCAATCTCATTGCAAACAATTAACTAATTTTTTTCTTCTTCTTCCTTTGCTAAATTTTGAAATGAATTGATAAAAATTAACATTTATCAGCCTCAGAAATTGATTGAAAATCAACTGAATAACAATTAATTAAACTTTGTATCCTTTTGTCTAATATAATTATCATTACAATTAATCAATTATTATTAATTATATTATCTAATTGCTATTATCAATGTAATATCTTAATAGTAACTTTTTTTTTTTGATAATCAATCTCTCTCTCTCTTTTTTTTTGTTGTTGATTAACAAGAAAAAAAAATCCCATACTCAATTGAATCAATTGTTGATTAGTATTAATCAAACAATTAACTATCCATACATTAACATTCCGTCCCAAAGTGACAACAATTAATGTCCACAATTTAAACAAAACAACAAAAACAATTAATCAAACTTTTGCCTTCCATTTCACATTTACACAATCAATACAATCAAAAATGAATTAATAACCACCAATAATAATTAACTAATTACCAAATAATTGTATAATTTTCTTGAAGCCCACAAGTGCCCATGTAACAACAACAACAACACCAACAACAATTAAAACTGATATAACAATTAACTAATTGTATGAAGATAATAATGAATGTTATTATTATTTAACATTAAAGATGAGAAAAAAATTTTTTTTCAATTAAATTAACCATTTGTCTCACAATTGATTTCTTGTTTAATTGTCATGATAATCAACTTATATAAATTGTAACAATGATTATCCTTTTTCTCATATTACATTGTAACTACTATCTCTTTGGTAATAATTAACTTAATTCAGTTATAATAATGATACGAGAATAGGGAAAAAAAGTAAAGGATTAGTTACAGTAAATTGCTCAACTGTAGTTATTATTATATTATCATTACGATTATGATTATTATCATGATTGTTATTTATTAGCAATTATTGTTATTATTATTATTGTTATCAAATGAAGTGGCAAAGGTAAGTGTAAACCTGAGGTGGGGGGTGAGTTATAACACCGAGACCAGGGTTATTATTTGGCTGAATGAGTTTCAGGATAACTGCTTCCGGAATTGAAGAGCTGAGCTTTTCACCATTATAATTGATGATATTTGGCTGGAAAGATGATTATCATTATCATGATATTATCTTTATCATTTGGTGTTAAAAGATACAATTTATTTTTCTTTGGTTAACTAACTACGTTAAACATTGAGACACAATTTAACAATGATTAACAAAGAGGTTGTTAAACCATCTCAATGGTAATAATTTTGTTAATTTTTTTCCGATACAGTTTACAGATTACAGGGATAACACATGTTAATTACTTTCTTACCAATTAGTATTTACTTTCTGTAAAATCTTTAATTGTCAGGATATTATTTTCATTTAGTAAATTTCTTAAATATCCTGGGTAATTTAAGATTATATAAAAGTTTTAATTGTAACAATCCAAGTGAATTTGAGGATTTTTAAGGATTAACAGTCTTTCTGTTGACTTGGGGTCAAATTAATTGGGTTAATTTGATTCTCTATCTTTCTTACAATTAGTTTGAAAAAGTATGAAATTAGTATCTCAAAGTTAAACAATTAATTTGTAATTTAATTCAATTGGAAATGTTGATTTTTTAATTCAATGTTTTTCATGGAAACTTAAGCGACACCTATTATCGGTTTAATTAACTATTTACCTGAAACTTTTGTCAATTTGTTTGTTTTGTTTGGTTTTTGATAATCAGGTGATTGTTTTGACTTGTTGATTGGGATTAATTGTTGTGATTTTGGTTAAATGATTAGATTGTTGAAGAAATCTTCTGGTAAACATAGGAAGGCCTTGGTTTCTTCAAGATGACTTGGAGCAACATGATTAGGAACATGATTAAAGTGATCAAGTGATTGGTATCGATGATCAAGAAATGTATTTTTAACCGATTCCATTAGATGTTGATTGTTTTTAAAGACAATTTCATGGTTAACAATTGGCTGAGGATAATCAATACCGATTAGACAGTTTGCTTGACGTTGAATTTCAATTGGTGCCGTTGACGGGTTGAAAATGTATCGAGTTGGCATATCGGTCAGTTCGGGAACGTATTTCCTAATATAATTACCGGTGGGCTCGAGCCAACGGCCATAGTTGATTGGTGATATACAAGCATCGGATTGTAAGATTGTATCAAATGCTGATGATGAGATCCACATCCAATTACCTGCACAAACTGACCAATCAGCGTCGATCAAATATTTGAGGAAAAATTTCAATCCAAGTTCCCATGAAAGCCAAAGGTCACCTCTGGTCAAGAAACAAGCGACAGCGTTTCGAGCTGCATGGTGGACCCAACCTTCAGCAATTAATTGACGCATTGCAGCATCGATAAAGGGATAACCAGTTTTACCTGTTGACCAAACCTTCAAATTGTTCAGAAATCAATAATTAGTAACAGAGAAAAAAAAATTTACCAAATTATCAAGCAATTAATTACCAATCAATTGCTTTTCTCTCAATCTATTGATTGTCAAACTTTAATATCATTCAATTGATTATCTTTTACCATTCAAATTGTAACACTTTCAACGGAAAACAAATCAACGATCAAAGACAAATCAATTAGGTTATTGTTGAGGAACTAATTAACATAAAAATGGGTCGAAGGTCATGAAAAAGGTTCTAAAGTTAATTCGAGTTCGAAAATTGTTCTAATTGAATTACTAATTGGATAACTTTTCATTTAGAGAAAAATTTTATCATCTATTTAATTTCGCTTATTTCTTGATTGAAGTGGAAAATGTTGATTATGTAAATTTCTTGTGATTGGAGAATCGATTTGATTTTAAATTTTGACGATAAATTGTGACAATTAGCTTTTATTCATCTTCACCAATCACCAATTCTCAGGTAACACTGAGAATTATTTAGTAAACCAGATAATAGATGTCACTAGTTTTCTGCCTTTAGAATAAATTTTTCTCTGTCTTCATTTGCTCTTTCTAAGTTTCTCTTTCTTTTTCTCTGTCGATATTCTGGCCTCCATTTTCCTAGTAACAGGTCATCATTATCATCTTCATCATCATCATCCTCGTCATCATCATCATGGAAGAGGGCGCTGGCTGAGGGAGAGAAACATCTTCACGATGATGATGATGAGGAAGATGAAGATGAAGATGAAGATGATGAAAACTTCAATGAAAGAGGAACTAGAATTTTTTGTTTCCAATCATGAAGCTAACGAAAAGTTGATTTAAAATCGATTCCTAAATAATAATTGTGAAAAGTTCAGTTAATTGCTGAGATTTCCTCTCCCAATGTAACCAGTTGCTTTTCCCCAAGTAATTAGTTGATTATATAATCGCAATGACAATAAAACAAAACGATTCAATTGATAATAGAAAGAAACTTTTTACGATTAACATTATTATCTGTTACTATTGATAAATATTAGATTGTTAATTGTTAGAATTAAAGAAAAACTGTCTAATTACCTGGAAAGCATTTGGATCGTGTTTCCATTTGATTTGAAGACAAACTGGATTGTTAATCATTTGTCCATAATTAGGATTATTGATTGACATTGTATAAAAGAATTCCCTCCAGATTAATTGTCCAACGATTCGAGGTTTAACTGAATTACCGAAAATTGATTCATACAAATCATTTAAATCCCAATAAAATTTTCTCACCGATAAACAGCCATGTCGCAATGCTGGACTTAACGATTTCGCCTCGTTAATTAGATCGGGCGTTGATTGAGTTGGTAAATAATCACCAACCTGAAAGGCTTTTCTCTCATAATTAAGTCGATCAATTAACAATTGAAGGGCAATCGTTTCACCACCAAACCAAACTTGATTAACTTGATTCTCTGATTCCATTTGAATTCCAAGTGCCAATGGAGATGATGGAACTCCGGTTAGATTTTCATCATAATAATCTACAAACGAACAATTAAAGTCCAATTAATCTTTCCGAACTCTTAATTGTACCAAAATATACAATTCGACTTCAATTTTCGTTTCTTCTTGAAGATTTTTGCTCTTGTCGATTCGCTAATTTGATTCTAATAATTACCTAATGGAAATGATATTCCGTGTTTCTCAAAATCAGGCTTGGGCAGAGGTCGATCTGGTTGACCGATAACATTGACCGTGTGGCAGAACATCTCATAATTAAGAGGAGGTTGACCGCCGTTAACTTTAATTACTTGATTTGGATCCCAAAGAGTGTGAGATATTTTCTCAATTACTTTAATTCCAAGTGATTTAGCTAATTGTTTAACACTATCATCTCTCTCCTTCCAAATGGGTTCAGGATCCAATTCAAAGCTTAAATGAGTGATTGACCATTGGTCGAATAATTTTCTCAATATTTCAATAAAATTACCATGAAAACAATACAATCGACCACCAAATGATTTAAATTGTTCATCTAAATCATTTAAACACTCAAGTAAATAACGGGTTCGATTGTAACCAGCAACATTAAGTCCAGCACTTAGACCATCAAATATAAATAGTGGATAAATTGTATTACAAATCTAAATTGAGGACAATTGAAAGTCGTTAATTGTTATCAATCAATTAATCGTAAATGATAAAGTTCAACAGGGAGGTTTTATTAGTTTTATCAATTATTATTCTGGAAAAGTTTTCAATTTATCAAAATCAAATCTCAAAGATTAAAAATCAACAAAATAGATTGTGATTAGATTGTGACAATTAATCAACTGGACAAATAAAAAAAAATCAACTAATCAATTGTTGTATAAGTTGTTATTGAAACGTCAATATATTGATATGAAAACAAAAATGTTGATTGAAAAAAGTTTTATAATGTTATATAAATGATCAATTATTTAATCAACTCGAATTATTTTTGATTAATTTTAATTATAATCATGATTATCTGTTGATATGAAAATACAATAATATAATGGTCACGTTGATTTAACTTTACTTTGTAACAATTGATCACGTTTAAAGTTAATCAATTGTGTCCATCAAGTTAAAAGTAATCAACGAATCTGGAAATTTCGAGAGTTCTAATCGAGTTCTAATAATAACAAATTTCGATGAATTGAAACTTGGAAAAAGTTGTGAATAAAATTAATGTTTGATTAGTTGATAATTAAGGTGAAAGTTTATCTTAGATTTTTGACTTTGGAGTAAATTAATTAACAAGATTGATTGTAATCAACAACTTACCTTTGTGGCCTGATCAAGTGACGGCATATCGGTTAATCTTAACCCATGTCGAAACCAATGGATACAATTAAAAGTTGATTGGGATGACATTTGATTGCGTTGATTGAGTGGGCACAATTAAGATTATTTGATCTGATCGGAGAATCGGTTGTAAACTCTACTAATGATAATCAATTTGCTGATGATTTTAAGCTAAAGATGAAAGTGTTTAGAATCAGCTGATCAATGATTAACCATCAAATCACCTGAATTAACTTAACTGTTGAGATAATTGGGATAAATGCTGGGAGGGAGTCGAAGGGAAGTTTTTATTTGTCTTCCATTAATCCTGATGATCAGGCGCAATTCAGTGTGAACATGATGATGATGATGATGAGGAAGACGAAAATGATGAAGGATGAAAAGGTTATTAAGATGAGAATGTGTATGATGATGATGAGGATGGAGAAGATTTTTTTCTCGCCTGATGTAATAAGAGGTTCCTTGTAATAATAAAGATGATGAGGATGATAATGATCGTAATCATCATCATCATCATCCATGATAAGTATTTCTCTCTCTCTCTCGCTCTCTCTCTGAATTTGAGAGGTGGAAAAATATATCAACTCAAATTTTTCTGTGTAATTTCACATAAACGATTGATCATCATTGAAAATTCTGAACAATTAAATCAACCACAAATTAACTAATCACTAATTTACTTTTTCCATCAATCAATTGATTCGATACGAAACTAATTTTATCCTAATACTTTGGGATCAGAATTGTTTTCACGATGTTAATTGAATGAGAGAAATTGTAATTGTAATTGTAAAATTTTAATTTCGATTCAATTAATTATCATTATGATTAGAAAAAGTTTCCATTCTTAAATATTGAAATTTTCTCTCTCAGTAATTGAATTTTTATTGAATTCGAAAATGAACTTTTCAATTAAGTTTCTCTCTTTCTTTCTCTCTCTCTCTCGATTTTATTAAACAAAATTAACCCTTTTAATTGTTCAATTGTTTGATTAGTTGAAATGATTTCGTAAATTTTGACAATCAACTAATGGTGAATCGTTAATCAACTAATCAGAATTTAATCTCTCGATTGGATGAAAAGTCTAAATGGAAAAGGTTAATCATTGGATAATCAAGAAAACTGGTTAATTGTTGAGTATTCGGGTTAATGGTTAAGAGGCAAAGGAATAAAGTTACATGGAGTAAGAGAAAAAGAAAGAGAAAAGTAAACGACAAAATGGCTTAAATCGAAAGAGAAATAGACAGAGAGATGATGATCTTCATCTTCATCATCATCATCAAAAGGGGAGAAGAAGAGAAATTGAGGCAGATGAGATGAGGAAGAGAGAGAGAATGATGAAAGCGCCGAAGACGTAGAAAGAAGAAAAGAGAAAAAGAAAGAGAAGATAAGGGAAGAAGAAGAAGAAAGAAAGAGGAAAATAGAAGAAAAAAGAAAGAGATGAAAGAGAAAAGAAAGAGAATAAAATCTGAGTGGTTTTCGCTCTGTCGCTGATGATAAGTGAGCCTTTCGTTTATATTGTTGGAAGACAAACGCTCTCTCTCTCTCTCTCTCTCTCTCTCAAAATCTGCCTCTTCTCTCATCTCTTTCTTCTGGTTTTCTTCTCTTACTTTTTTCTTCTCTTCTCTTCTCTTTCCTTTTCTTTTTTCTCTGTCTATTTTTCCCTCCGCTCTCTGTCTCTCTTTCTCTCTCTTTATTTTTCTCTTTTTCTCTCTTGTCTTTAACTCTCTCTCAAGAATTATTTAATTTTTTTGTTTAATTTGTCTATTTAATTAATTCTAATTATCAATTTAAGATAATTAAAGTGTCGTGATTCTGTTGATATATAAATTGTTTAACTTTAAATTGATCTTGATATTGTTTTTGTTACCTGATTGTCTTCTGGGTGTCTCATGTGGCATCAGCCTCCATCAGTATCTGCCAGTCTATGGTAGCTTATTAAAGCCGCTTTACTCAATTTGTGATTGTTCATGTTGTTTACTACCCTAGGAATTAATAATAATTATAAAAATAATAATACAATTAATAGTAAAAGTACTGATAGAAATTGTATCACCACCACCATGGATTCAAGTGGACATATTAAAGTTGAAGAGACAGATATTCCGGATGAAGAGACCGGTTTCCCTGGTTCCATGAGAGGCCATGTTATCCGTGGTAAATTTATACCGATAAACAAGAAAACATGGATTAATATTGATATTGATGGGAACGATTCTATTCTGGATTGTGCCTCTCAAGTGGTACCTTTGATGATTAAAAAGCCTAATATCTTTCCGCCCAAATTGGCTAAACCAGAGGATGTCAAAGGATCAACCGTTAAAGAAGATGAAGATGATGAAGAAGAGGAAAAAGAGGATGTTAAAGAAGATGAAATTGAGGACAGTGAGAAGATTAATAAAGAGGATAAGAAAGAGGAAAATGATGAAGTGGTCATCGAATCAGATAGTGAGGATAAAAATGAGTCTCAGTCAGTATCGACCACCGCCACCTCCTCCACCACCACCACCACCACAACTACAACTACAAACAACACAACCACCAATACCAACACCTCCACCACCACCACCACCACCGTTGGATCAAATCAATTATCAAAGACTGGTCAACAATCATCTGAATCTGGACAAGATAATAAAACACCAACAGAGTCAAACAATTTAACGATGCTCACCATCTCTGATTATTATAAATCATCGGCTGGAAATTTATTAATGGGTATTGGACTTAGTAGATCTAAAGAATGGTACCATAAGGATGTTATTAGACAATTACATAGATCAATTAGGAAACAAGGAGAAGTTGATGATCTTGTTGAAGAATTGAAAAGACAACAACAATTGTATAATGAATGTAAAGCCGCTAATAGCATATTCACTTTCCCATTGAAAAGGTGTCATATGTGTGATTTTAAAACGGAATCCGAAGTAGCAATGGATGGACATCTTTCCATACCCCATTTAAGTAATCGTAAAGAGTATAGATGTAATTTTTGTGTCTTCTCAACTCGTGATACACAAATAATTGTATCTCACTTTAAGGATACTCATAATCGTCAATGTATCTTGGAATCCCCACCATTGATTAACTCTTGTCCTATCTGTCCATACGAGTCAAGTCAAAAAGCTAAAGCGGCTACACACATAGCCAAGTGTATGAAATTTTTCAATCCTGACAAGGTTCAATATCTACCTGACCCTGAATCAGAGTATCCTGCAATAACACCTAAACCCATAACCCAAGATGATATAAAGGTTTACGATGCCACTCTGATAGCTTTAAGAGCCGCAGCTCTTTCATCCAATAATCAATTACCCAATTTACCTGGTTTACCCAGAGGACTTCAGCATCAAATGTTAATGATGCAACAACAACAAGTTGCCCTACAAAGCAAAGCTATGCAGAGAGCTAACAAAATAATTCCAGGTTTAAAATCAAATCCATCAGCATTAAGAAATGCAGCTAATTTTGATATAACATCTAATCCTAACTTTGCTAAATCAAATGCTCCCCAACTGTATCATATGTTACAAGCCGGTGGTCATACACAATTGGTACCTGTACAGCAAAGTAAATATCCACCGGGAGTTAATTCAACCACCCACCTACAGGCAGTTAAAGGTAGAGTGATACCTGGTGCCGGTGCGTTATTACAGAAAAGCCCTGCGGGTATGAGGCCTAATGCCACCGACACCATTGACTCTCCGGCTGGAAAAGGAGGAACTTTTGTTATTTGTGAGATTTGTGATGGTTACATTAAAGATTTGGAACAATTGAGAACTCATATGCAGTGGATTCATAAAGTGAGTTTCTTGTCATCGTTAATATTGTTGTTGTTGTTTTGATCCTTTGAAATTAAGATCAAATCTTAATTTGATGATTAAATCCTCTGATGAATGTTTTTTGTTTTGTTTTCTTCTTAATTTAAGGTTAAAATTCATCCAAAGATGTTGGCAAGTCGCCCCCCACTTAATTGTCAAAAGTGTCAATGGAGATTCTTTACAGATCAAGGATTAGAGAGACATCTATTAGGAGCCCATGGATTAGTTACATCTAACATGCAAGATATGGTTGATCAAAATCAAGATGGCGGTCGATGTACAATCTGTGGTCGTATATCAGCTAACAAACTAGTGGCTCATATGAACCAGGTTAGTTTGTTGATTCACTTAGTCATCTATCTAAATGAAAAGTCAACTGAATTATTATCATCACTTTCTGAATCATATTAAGGGTCCAGTTGCTATAATTAATTAGCAATCACTTTCAATTGATTCATTTAGTATAATTTTTATAATTTTTTTTTCGTGTCAACTTAAAAACAAGTAACAATTTTCTAAAACATTGAAAACAAATTCAAAATTTTCACCATTCTAATCCTTTGTTTCCATCTTTCTTTATCTCTCTCTCTCTCCAGGTACACAAAATTACCTTGCGACCCGCTCTTCTTTCCTATAAGTGTACAGTTTGCTCGGCAACCTTCAATTTATATCGTCTATTTGAAAATCATGTCTACATGGTTCACAGTGGATCAGTAAAGAGAAATCTGGACGATTCCAATCAATCTTTAGTTAAAAAACAAAAAACCGGATTAAATGGATCCGAATGTCATATGAAAAATTAATTATTAATTCTCCCTTTTCTTCTCTCTATCTCTTTCTCTCTCTGTCACTATTTCTCTATCTATATCTCTGTCTTTTTCTCTCTCCATCTTTCAAAATTCACAAACAAATTACAAAATCACACACACACATACACACACACACTCTCTCTCTCTCTCTCTCTCTCTCTACACCACCAACTTACCTTTCGCCTTAATTTTGTCTCAAAAATTACCCCTTTCCACTCACATTTCACACATTAAATTGACAAGCTGATATTTATATATAACATTTAAAAAATACAAGAAAAAAAGTCTCGTAATTACAAAGTTTTATTGCAAATTTTGTCTTATTGGTATTTTTTTGTTCTTTGTTTATTATTTGTCTTTATACATTTTCGATCAGCAAGATAATTTACCCGAAGATTTGGTTCCATTTTGATGGCAATTATCATCCTCATTATCTCCTTTCTTTTCTGCTTGTTTCTCTTCGTCTTCTTCCTCATCATCATCATCATCAGATGATGATGATGACTCTCCACTCGATCGATGGCTTTTCTCTTCCTTCTCATCATCATCAGTATTTAAAGCGCTTGCCTCCTTCGATAATCTTTTATCATCTTCTCCACCACCAGAAACAGAAACAGAATCAGAATCAGAATTATCTTTCCTCTCTATCTCATGTTGATTATCTTGATGATTAACTTGATTACAATTTGGTTCACTGTTTCTTTTCACCTTCTCACCAGAATCAGTTTCACTATTAACAGGAAAAGAAGCTCTTGTATATGATTTGATCAAATTGTTAACCTTATTTGATTTTGTTTCTCTCAATTTAACATTGAAAAATTGACCAGATTGTTGTACTGATGAAGAGAAAGATGAAGACGATGATGCTGATGATGAAGATGATGATAATTTAGAAGATGAAGACCCGGAAGGAGAGAAAGATTTAAGTGATGGCTTTAAAAGTGAAATTGGTGGTTTATCCTTACGAACTAAAGTTGGATCATCTTTTTTGGAGCAAAATGGTTTATTTTTAGCTCGTAATTCTGACAAAAGTGATGAATGATGATTTAAATTGTTATTGTTGTTATTTTGAGAGATTTCAGTTGATTCACCACTTTTCTGTCGAGATCTTAATTCCTTAATGATGGATAAATTGTGACGAGGATCACCAGGTAGTAACATTTTCCTTGGGTCAATTAGATTAGGTGATGATCGAGATCGAGCTATTCTATCAGCTAACGATAATGGAGTTAATTTATTTTCTCTATCATGAGAATCATTCATCTCATTGTTATTGTTTTTATCACTTTTATCGTTTGAATTTTGTGTTGATTTTGATGTTGATTGTGATAAACATTTAGATAAAACTTCATCCATTGGATAAACATCAGCGAAAGTCCGACGTTTAAATGTGACCAATGAACTTTGGAAAAATGTATCAAGTCCAATATCAAGAGTACTGTTGATTGTTGTTGTTGTTTTCGTTGATTGTGTTGATTGTTTTGGCTTTTTTTCATCACCACTTGTTGATTCGTTAATGACAATATCTGGTTTATCGTTGGTTGATTTCATCAATCGACTTGGTACTTTTCTATTGGGCCTTTTAGGTCGAGATTTGATCATATCGAATAGCGATTGGTCACTTTTTCTTCGAGCATCATCATCATCATTTGTAAATCTATTCTCTTTATCATTTTCCTCTTTGATTACTTTTGATGAAGAATTTGATTGTTCACAATCAATCGAATCCCTTATTGATTTCGTCAATGGATTATCCATTTTCTCCTGATTAACCTCCATTCGGATTAAAATAACTTGTTGAATGTCAATTATCACTTTTGCATAAACACCAACAAGAAAAAGATGAAGAAAGAAACAACTATTAATGGAAACGATTAATGATGTAAATCAAATATTCTCACAATTGGAATGGAATTAATAACAATTTAACTGGTCATGTTTTTCCAACAAACTGATTTAACTAAATGAGACTTGATTCTAAAGATGAATTCAAATTTATCTTCTCATTTTCTTCTCTCTCTCTCTCCTCATCATCATCATCTCTCAATTCTGGCAACTTAACAAGACGATCGTCAAGTCCAATGAGAACAGAAAAGATGAAGATGAAGATGAAGAAAAACGGAAGAAAATTATAAAACTAAGGATGAAGTTCTGATGATGATTCTATTGATATGATGATGGCGATGGTGGTGGTTGAAGTCGTGGTGGAAATAACTGAATGACGATGGTGATAATGAGTAATGAATTATAAGAAGATGATGAAGGAGAAACTATTCTGAAGGATGAGGAATGTTTTTCTTTTTTTTCAATTCTCTTGTTTTTACTTGAATTTCTCTCAAGTGAAAACATTCATTGATGATGATGATGATTAAGATGATCGAAAATTGATTACAAATTGTATTAAATTGTTGTTGATTTAGTTTGTAACACTTTTTAATCATCAGAAAGAATAACTTTTTATGTATAAAGAAATGACATTAACAGTAAAAAAAGACCAACATTTGAAAAAGACTCGTTCAATTGAATTTCATGTTATTACAATCAACATGATGATGAGTGATGAGGATGATGATCAACAATGAGAAAGGTTTAATATTATGAATGTTGCCAAAATTGATGATGAAGATGAGGATGAGGATGAGGATGAAGATGAGGGTGAAAAAGAAACACTTATGAATGAAATGAGGCCAAAAAGTGATAAAGTTAACACTGAAAAAGACAAGAAAAAAGTTGCACTTAAGGTCCGTCACATTGGGATGGTTTTTATCAATCAAATTGATCAGATTATCACCATGTTAATTGTGATCAATTTCAAGAAATCAGATATTAGATATCGGCTATTATATTTGCCCTGAGGCCTTTTGTATGGCCAGTAGACTAAATTTTTATATTGTATGGCTTGTAATTGCCTCTCAAGTATATTACAATTTAATTGATCACAAGAGTTTCAAAGTTTTCTCATCGGTTTTTACTTTCATCATGATTTACTAATTGTTACACAAATGAATTTGATTGTTGATGGTTTGTATTGTCAAAATATACTAACAATCAAATGTAAACAACAACAACAACAAAGTTTTCATCATGTACAATAAAAGGCTGTCCTTGTTTTTAATCACTTAAACTGGTTAGTTAATTGTAGTTGATTGTTTCTTATTAATTAACTTGCTCGTTTGTGAGGCTCAGTTAAACTTGATCACAAAAATTGATTATCTTAATCACAATTTAACTTTTTTTTTCTTCTCTCGTAACAATTACCTTGATTATAAATAATACCTTCACTTAGGCTACACACACACAGGTGATCACAATGATTAGAATTAGTTTAATTGTTTAGATTGTTATTAGTTAATTTTATTTATTATTAACTTGAAGATTGAACATTTAATTGAATTTGATTGTTACTCTCTTTTACTTTAATTGTAGTTATCAATTTAGTTCTGAAAGCGGATGATTTGATTAGATGATGTGTTTCCAATTACCTTTAATTTTCTCGTTAATCAATCAAACTTTAAATACTTAACTTGTAACAATCAACAGTTAAACTGAATTAAAAGTTAATTGTAGTTACTAATTTTTTTTTCTTTCGGAAACTTTGTTGGTAATTTAATTTAGTTTCCTTTGTCTTGATTACTTTTTGTAACACTTTGAGTATATTGAATTTATGGTTAAGTTAATTACTCTTTGATTGTGATACAGTTTTACCTTGATAACAATTAGGTGAGTTGAAAGTGATTAAAACTAATTGTTGACGAGTTTAATTATGAAAATTATGTTTTTCTTTTCTCGAAACATGATTAACAAGGAGTTCGTTTGGTGATGATAATGTAAGTCGAAAATGATAAAACTCGAAAGGGTCAAAATGCTAAAGGTGATAATGGAGAGAGAGAGAGAAAGAAAGAGTAAAAGAAAGAGGATAAAGAAAGAGGGAATGATGATGAGGATGATAAAGATGATGAAGATGATGAACAAGAGCTGAGTTGGCATCTCACTCTGATTGGCTCGTGTCGGAATGGATGATAGGGGAAACAATGGAAAACAAAATGGGGTTTAACCTTAGTTTTCTCTATCATCATCATCATCTCTTTCTTTTTTCCCTCTCTTGATCTTTTTCTCTCCTTTCTTTATCTTCCAGAGTCTCTTTCTATTTTACCTTATCTTCTCTTTCTTTTTCACTTTAACGATTTTACCTCACGAAGGGAAGAAAGAGAGAGAGAGAGAGAGAGACAAGAAGAGGCAAAGAGATGGTGATGAGGATGATGAAGATGATATGGAAGAGGAAAATAGGAAAAGAATGAGATTGAATCGGCTCACGGACTGGGCGCCATGTTTACTCGAACTCATCATCATTATCTTCTTCTTCTTCCTCCTCATCATCTTCTTGTCATCCTCATCTTCATTTTCTTCATCGTAATCATCAACTGATTACGTTGTAATTTGTGTTCTTGCGCTTTTCTGGTAAAATTTCATTTTTCTTTTCCAATCAGCAATTATATTCTCGATAATGAAAACAATGATATAATTGTTCTGATCAAGGGAATACTGAATAAGATATAATCTAATTAGATCACAGGAAGATAATCATCTAAGTTTCATCACAATTAACTCTCTTTTAATCTAATCCTTTAAGAACAATAAGAAAAAGAAAGTAACAAATCCTTGACCAACCGAGTGAACAATCAAGAAAAAACCGTTATAATGATTAAGGTTGATGATTGAAACGCTTTGCAAACACTGATTTCGTTAAAAGATTGAAATTTACAACAATTAGTAAATTAAATGTTTTTTTCTTTCTCTTTCATTCTGATGTAAAAATTTGAATTTTAATGATAATGAACACTGACAATTAAGAGATGAAGACTTGATGTTTACAATGGAGCATAAAATCATTAAGAAAAACTATCAACCCTTCAATTTACTTAATCATCTTAATTTTGACCTCATCTCAGGTCACTTGAAGATGTTGATCAAATGAAGCTCATGCGTTAAAGATATTTAATGACCTTCAGGGCATTTTCAGAATCCAGGTAATTTTTTCTCTCTCTCTTCAAATTGATAAAATAATTAAAAACAATATCATGATATTAATGAAACAATAACAATTTGTAACACCAACAGAATTCAATTCATAACCATCGTACTTATCATTATTATTATCCTAATTATATTTGATAACTGTAACAATTAACAGTGTTTAACATTACAACTCATATGTTAGGTTAGATTAAAGTTAATTGTTCAACTGATTGTTGGCTCAAATTGTTGATTCTTGAAACCTGCTTGGTAACTTAACTCAGGCCTAACATTGGCCTTGGATATTGTTGTTTATCATGTAAACTTTGATAATCTAACATTTAATTCAAGGTTTTCGTTGCCAATTGATTTAATTGTTATCCTTTTTTGTTTTTCTTAAAACTGCTAAATTAAATTGCTAATTAAACCATTTTAATTTGTAAATGAAAGTCAATACAACAAAAAAAACAAAGTTATTTTTTCAAGCAAAACAATCAAAACAATCAATTCAATTGTAAACATTAAACTTTGTTATTAGTTTCCAATTGATTTGAATCAACTTGTTAAATAAACAATTAACCATCAATTTATTTGATTAATCTAATTTATCCAACACTTAATTGTAATCTTAGTTTGTAATGTACTTACCGGTAATTCAAAATTGAATTAAATGTTTTCATTTAAAGTTGATAATCGTTAATAATAAATCACTTAGATGACAATTACTCTGTTCATCTTAAACTTATAAATATCACAATTTAAGTTGAAACAATTAACTTATTGATAAATGTACTGTTCTCACCTGATTGTTGTTAGTTAAATTAATGAATAGATTTACTTTATTTTACCAACAATCATAATTAGGTTTCCTTTTCTGTGTTTTCCTTGTCTAATAATTATTATTACCATAATTATGATTAGTTGATCTCCTTTTACGATCATATTTCCTTTCAATTCTCATCCTGAATGAGGCAATTTAATTCAGTTTATAAATCGGATCTTATAACATGAGAGAGAGAGAGAGAAATGAGTGACTGAGTGAGATATCTTAACAGAATTTCCCTAATTGTGTCAATCGTTGTTCTCAACAATTTATATACATAATATAACTTTGAATAATCAGCGATGTTTTCAACAAACTCATCATGACAGAACTTTTCATTTTACTGTTATGATGACATTTGAAATGATGGAAAATTGTGATTACTGATTGTTGTGTGAATATTTATATATATATAAATTAATTCTCCACCTATGTAAATGTGGAGAGAGAGAGAAGTAAATAATTTAATCCAATACACGAAGTTAATTAACTATCTGAGGCCACCATTCAGACCAATCGGTAAAACAGCCTCGGGTTCTTAGGTAAATGTCTCTTGAAATTGCTCGAGTTGTCACCACATCGGTTGATCCAAAAATGGATGCACCCAACCAGGAAATGTAATTTTCTTTACACAGGGGAGGATGAAATAGAAATCTGTCAATCTGAATCTTAGATGAATATTTTTCAATCTTTTTCACGAGAAAAATTAACTCCTCTTTCAGTCTATGCTTGAATCCAGGTAACATTGTGGTTCCACCGGTGATTATCAGATTGGAAGATAATATTTTACGATAATCAATGGGACAGGACATTATTGCTTCGATTATAAGTGTGGCAACTGTTTGTTCTTCTCCATATAATTCGAATAATATTTCACAGGCACTTTCTCGTAAACCACCGGGAATGATTAGAGTTTTATTTCGATCGATATGAAATTCAACGTCTTTAGGTGTATTCGAAAGAGATTCTCTTAGGCCAGCTTTGTATTCCAACATTAATTGTCCTCGTTCAAATGGAGAAATGAAGCAAGTTTTCACTTTGATATTCTCTAAAACTGATTCATCCAATAAATCAGATTGTTCGTAAATTTTTTCAACACCATTTATCTTGATTTTCGCTCTTCTCTCAATAAGTTCACGGTTAATCCTTTCGTTTATTGTTTTACCACCTAAAGATGAGAATTTAACTGAATTGGTATAGGTAATTCCTTCGATAACGGGTACAGCAATTGCTTCTTTCCAACCAATATCAAGAACAATTCCAGTTGAAATCATGGAAGGAATTAAAGCCATCAAATGATGTGGAACAATTAACAAAGAAGGTACTTCAAAATGATGATAAAGAACATTAAGTAAAGAACGTCTAACATTTGTCTGGGTGAAAAAGGTCTCAATTAGGATAACCTTACGCTCCTTATAATTAACACCCAAATATTGGAAATAAATTGTTTGTATAATTGATTTAAAACCTTGATCAAGTTCATCTCCGGTTAAATCAAGTAAATCAATTTCTTTACTAAACTGATTAACTTGTACACTTGTTCTGATTATAGCTCTTGGAGCTAATTCATGAACGAATCCACATTTAGTATACCGATGGCCAAACTCAAGAACAACACTATGTTTATCTGTCATAATGGAAATTAAATTAAATCATCAAATTGTTAATCAACACCAACAATTAAAACAATCAATCAAAAAAAACAACAGAAAATCAATGAGAAAATTTTTCTAAACAAATAACCAGATGTTCGAAAGTGGCTCCATCTGTTGGCCATCAAATCAAATTTTCCATTTTTTGTTTGTATCAAAAATTAAAAATCTCATTAAAGATTATGAAATATTTTCATTGGATCGAAATGAATTGTGATTAAGTTTTTCACTTAAAAGTTTAATTTGAATGGTTTGTGGTTAATTGTTTCAATTAACAATTGATTAAGTGTTGATCTTAGATTGAAATTAGAAGGACAATGTCCCTGATTGGTCAAGTGAAGGCCCACATGTGATTGGGGCTGAAATTGTCTCTTAATTACCTTCTTGGTGTGAAGTTTGGGTTGAGAAGAAAAAAAATTTTCTCTTTTGTTTTTTTTTTGTCTATTTATTTTTCTTTTTTATTTTAATTACTTGATTAACTAATTTTTTATATTGACAATGTCAAGTTTATCTTCAAGTCTTCATATTTTAACTCCCGATGATGAGATTAACATGAGGAAATTGGAATGTCTTAAGGAGCTAAGGTGAGTTGAGATTTTGACAGAAAAAGATAATCAGAGTTTTTGTCTTGTTTTGTTTTATTTTTTTCGAATTCAAATTAATTTCTAATTTCTTTTCGATTTTCTATATTTAGAAATGTAACATTGGAATTACATGAGAGAAAATCACGTTTACATGGTTCATTGAAAGCCATGGATGAGGAATCTAAATACCTGGAGACTTATAAACAGGAGAAAGAGTTGATTGAACAAGAAAAGTTGGCTCATGCTGAGGAATTAAGATTAATTCATACTGATTTACACCAAATGGAATCAATTATTCAAGAATCTGAAACGGAAGCTGATCACCATCTTACTTTAGCAAGAAGTTTAATGTTAGAATGGCAGCAACTCGCCGATCGAGCAAATAAGATGAGATCTTCTTTGGGCCTTGAAAAGTTGACAAGTTTACCAGAGGAAGAAAAATTGAGAAGCGAATTTACAAAAAGCTCAGATCGAAATGATATCGGATTTGCTCATTCAAATCAAACGCGAGATTTAATCAATGGATTTAAACCTCTTCTCATGATTGCGAATCAGCATCAATCCAATCAACAACATCCCTTTTTATTTCCATCTTCAACAGCCTCAAGTTCAAGAGATTACAAACCATCACTTTTGCCCAGTTCATCGGCTATTGGACTTTCATCTTTAATCAACCCGATTCATGGGCCACCTTCGGGATTAATGTCCACTGGATCGTCAAGTAGCATTTCCGAAAGGCCATCGAATCGATCGTTCTGTCAACAACAACCCGCTCCAATGAAATCTTGTCTAACTTGCTTACAACAAATTCATCGAAATGCACCAATATGCCCCAACTGTAAGGCCAAAAGTCGATCCAAAAATCCGAAAAAACCCAAACGGAAAACGGAAGATTAAACTAAGTTAATCTCAAGTTCATCTCGAGTTCATCTTTTTTTCATTCGCATCTCAATTCATTGGTTCATCATCTCACTTCATCTTATTTTCACCTTTTTAAAAATAAATTGACTTGGAATAAGGATAACCCACGATTCTGTTTAAATTTAATTCTAATGATTTTCTTTCCATTTCTTTCTAATTGACCATAACAAAATACATGATACGTATTTTGATCTGACCTGAGGTTTCGGAGAAAATCGCGTAAATCGACAAAACGGTCAAATTCATTTCCAAACTAACTACCGACCATTCAACAGCGATCTTAGGCTCTATCGATGTTACTTGTTCTTCACGAACCCAGTTGACATAAATGTCATCTGAGTGTAGGTCACTTTGGTACACAAATCGGCAGAGATTCGAGAGACAACGAAAGGCCAAAGATTCTGTTGAAGAAAAGTAAATAAAAGATGAGAAAACAATTAGAACCGTTAGATTAACGATAAGTTGACTTACCCATGACCAGAGATCAATTGTTATCATCGCCACGATTGTTTTTAGATTTCAACTTCGTTAGAAATTAGTTAGGAATGAGAATTGATTCATTTGAAATTAGCCAATGAATTTAAATTTCAATCAAAATTAAATTAAAATTCTTACCCGTTTTGTATTTCGCGGGTCAGAAAAAGGTTTGAGTTTTTTTCATTTTGTTGTAAACATTAAATTGTTTTCATTTCAATTTGTTACAATTTAAAGAGCTCATGTTTTAATGACCATCCGTTGTTGGTTAATTTGACTTTTTCTCGTTGATTTTGTGCCAAACAATTTACTGATTATGAGACGATACGACACCGGAGATTCACTCATTTGGGAAAATCGAAGTGTATGTTTAACTCTTGATGTTTTCAAGTTTTTCTTCATCGAACTACCTGTTGATTTCTCATTAATTAACCTTTTTTCTCTTTCATTCTCACAATTAATTCTATAAATTATTACTAGTTGACCTTCATTGGGCAAGAATGTCACAAAATTCCTCTTTTTCTCGTCGATTCTTTTGGACCAAAAGCCAAACGTTTGAATCTAAGTTGCAACTGTTTGCATACACTTTCTGGTTTGGATCGATTCATCAATTTGGAGGAATTAATTCTAGACAATAACGATTTGGATGATTCAGTTAACTTTCCTTACAATAATCGACTCACTACATTGTCTCTTAACAAAAACAAGGTAATAATGGTTACCAAGGTCATTTTAATTCGCCATCTAATCCATTCTTTGTTTTTTCTTTCATCATCAACAGTTGGTTAATCTCGAAAAACTACTCAATAAATTACTCATCTCATTCCCGAATCTTAGGTTCCTAAGTTTACTCGGAAATCGAGCCTGTCCTGACCAACTATCAAATGCCGAAGACGACGAAAAGGACTATTATAGATACAAGTTGGTTCCAATTGTTCGAGAATCCCCTCAACTAGATTCTAATTGAATTGATTTTGTTTGCAGGTTATTTGTGTTGTCCAAACTTCCAAGGCTTAAATTTCTTGATTCTTCAGTATTAACCAAAACTGAGAAACGTGAAGCTGCAAGAATTGGATCTTACATGAAGGTCATCCGACCTGACGATGAACTTGTAATTAACCAATTAGCGATTTTAATCATATACTTTCCATTAATTTTACTCTAATTTTACTTTGACAGTTCAATGAAGCTCAAAACGATTGTGACTATTTACCTTATTCACCTTTACCAGCAACCGATGATCAAGTAATTCCTAAAGGTATTGATATATACATTTTCTAGGCCTGATTGTCCATTAAATTGTTACGATTTTTTTTACTAATTGTCAATCATTTTGTATTTACAGGAGCTTATGGACGACTCAAGTATAAATACACAGGAAAACATTCTGAAGGGAATCGATTCATTCGTAACAGCCATTTATAAAATCGTTGATAAAACCAATTGACTTGCGAAAATTTGATTTAAAATCAACAACAACAAACTAAATCAACATTCAATGTTAATCTATTTTTATATTACAAATGCAATTCAACCAATTTGTATTTCGTTGTAATTTTTTTTTATATATACACAACCTGATTTGATTTTCCAATGGTAGACAAATGATATTATAATAATAATATTAGGCAATAATCATCAAGAGTAAAGATTGATAATAGAAAACAAATTAACAATTATAACAACTATCGATTGAGAATCAATTACTTGATCGTAATTCAATGTCACTCCCTCTAAACAAAAATCTCACTAAACTGTCATAGGAAAATCTTGTCAACACCAATGGTATTTTAATGGAAATTTAATCAATTTATTCTGTTAATTAATAACCAGTTAATTTGTATTCTCTGAAAGAAAATTACAATCTTCCATTACAATTAAACATCAAGCTCGATAATCATCAATTATCCTTATTGATATTTGTTAACCTTTTGATTGTTTTTTTTGTTGTGTTTACATTTTAATCATCTCGATTATCTCAAAAATGGCCAAACAATTGTTTGATTTACCTGATGAATTGTTGTTAAATATTCTCAGTTATATTACCAATATTCGGGAAAAGATCCGTTTGGCCTCAGGTAAACTCCAAGTTAATTATTTTGTCCAATTTACTGAATTTTCATCTTTGTTTACATTTTTTTTCGTCTCTCTTATTGTTTCATCTTCTAATAGTTAATTCAACATTTTATAACCTGGTAACCGAAGCTTGTAGGACCCAGAATTATAAGCTAATTAACCACAGTGATTATATGTACGAAAGTGAATACAAGAAGCTGGAAAATACCGAGAATATAATCAAATTACCTGAGCTACTTCGTATCGCACCAAAGTTGACCCATTTTGTTGATAAAATTTTCCACTTTTCATATGATCACAATTCGGATACAAATCAACAGAAATGTGAACCAATTTCATTGATCCACACAAAGTACATTTATCTTGATCTGTGTAAAGCTAATTTCTTTGGTCGACCCTATGATAATTTTGATCGTAAAGCCGAGATTATCCTTGGGAATATACCGAATGTCACAACATTGGACATTAGAATGGACAAAGAATACAAATTGAATTTTCCTTCCATGGTCAATCTAAAAGTGTTCAAATTTAGCTACTTTGCTACAAATGGATTTCAATTACATCCATTTCCAAGTAAAATCGTCGATGATGTCCTAAGAAATGCTCCAAATCTCGAGGAGATTTACATCAATTCCAAGTACATTACCGTTGATCCCAATTTACCTGAATTCTTGGCAAAACTATCAACCAATTGTCCCAATTTAAGAGCATTGAAAATATTTTACCAAGTAACTGATTTCGGTCGATTAAGGTCATTCTTTGAACCTTTCGATTTTAACGATGGACACAAATTACTCAAACTGGAATATCTTAATTTCACTGGTTTCTATATTCCAATTGATTTATGGGAGAGTTTACTTTCTTTGACTCCCAATCTTAAATATTTATTATTCGATTCGTCGATTGATCTGAGAATCAAAAGTTTAATCACGAGAAATTGTCCAAGAGCGAAATATGACCAAGAAAGACCTTTCGAGATCGAAGAAGAATTCAGAATTTACAATCAAAGAACTTATGGATTCGATGGAGATCGTTACTTGTAATAGAACGAAAATTCAATTCTAATTCTATTCTAAATTCAATCGAATCTAATTGTCCAACATTTGAATTTTGATGGAATTGATCAAATTGATCGACTACAATTTAACTTAAACTGGTTGAGTTCCGATCACTTTAATTGTGATGGTTAACCTTATATGTCCAATTCACAATTAAATGGTATCAGGAAGGAAAACAATTACTGAGTTGGAATAATTTTACATGGTTAATTTTGGAAACGAATTAACAATTTAATTTGATATCAGCTTATTTTTTTCTCATTAAAATGACTAGAACAACAAAAACGTTGGTTCGTTTTTTAACTATTCACTTTTCTTTAAGATTTTCTTAGTTTGATTTGATTTGATTTGATTTAAAAAGGGATTAGAAATAACTTATAAAAAAATACATGTGATGGTATAAATTGGAAATGATTAGTTAACCAAATGGTAATGATTAGAGTTAAAATTATGAGTCTGATTTATCATCATCTTTATCCTCTTTTTCTTTTTCTTGGTCCATGTTCGCTGGTCGAGAAGTTTGTGGAGGAAGAATCGAAGGAGGTTCGATGGGTTTTGTCCATTTAATAAGCGTTTCTGGAGATCGATAGAGGAATATTAATTTCGCATAAAGATCTTCTTCCAAACCAAATTCTCTACTTTCTCGAACAAGGTAAATATCGAGACACAACTGAAGAACCCTGTCCACACAGGGCATCTGAGTGTAGATCACTTTGGTACACAAATCGGCGAAGAAGCTACGAATAATTCGAGAGACAACGAAAACAAAGGTTGTATAAAGACCAAAGATTCTGTTAAACAAAAAGTAAATGAAAACAATTAGACAATTAAAACAATTAGGTTAACGATATGTTAACTTACCCATGGCCAGAAATGAGTTGTAATAACGGACCAGGGAATATTTTGTCACTGAAGATGACACTTGTTAAATAGCGACAATGTTCACCAGCATCGTTAAAATAAGCGAATGGACTGTCATCACTACAATTAACTTCTGATATTTCCCACCATTGAGTTATTGATCCATTTTCGAAACGACCTTTTCGCAAGACAATTTCTACATCACGATAAGTTTGTCCAAAATCTACCAATACCTCAGGTGACCCTGATTCGGGTGCTTTAATGTAATTAGGAAAAATTTGCCTCAGAATTGCTGGTTCATATTTTTTAGAATAATAATTCATATCATCGGGATCCTCTGGCTGACGAAGCATCTCTATTAATGCATTTCTTAGATCAATTTCATCTTTGGTTATTTCAATTGAATGAGAATCATAAATACTTGGATCTAAATTTTGAGTCTTTGCTTTTTCTGCGGTTCGAGTAACTGTATATGTAATTTTAACCAACAATGTATCATTGGATTGTAATTTAGCAATTAACTGACGTTGACTTGGTGGACTAATTCCCCAAACTGCTGTCGAGTTTCCATTGATTTTGGCCTTTACAGCATCGGCATAGCCATAAGTTGAGAGTAAATTTTGTCCACCAACCCAACCATGTTTGGTACACTCTAGTTCGAGAGCGTTATAAGTTAGTGAATCAAAAGGTTCTAAGGCATCATTGGTTGAGCTCATTTTAAAAATGGGCTGATAACCAGAGAATTCAATTTCAATAGCAAAGTCTGAAGGTTTATTGGGTTGACCGATGGTTCCACTGAGAGCGAAAATAAATAACGGAAACCAAATTGCCCCAATCATTAGTAAAAGGTAAGCACCTCCTCGAATATATTTGGGGACTCGTCTTCGGGATATTGCACCGGGTTCAGGGAAATTTTCCTCAAATGTCAATTCACATTTTCGTTCAAACAATTGTTTATTAATATCTTCCATGATGGCCCATTCATTTAGACCAAGACTGGTGTCAGTCCACATCCAATCCATCATCAGCCGCATATCGTAAAGGAAAGGCACCATCATGTAAAGCATAAACAGAGATGAATTGACAAAAGTGTATTTTTTAGTGAAACAATTTCCCAATATACGAGTCGGATAACCACTTTTGACTTGCCAAGCAGAGAGAAGAAGATAAATCGATTTACAAATGTACCATAATTTAGGTGCATTGTTGTCGGGACTGATGAATGAACGACGAGTAATCGCAGGTAGAGCAAGGAACAGGAAGATATGCATTGCAATGGAAATGACTATATGGAATATTAATCTTTTCTTGGTGTCTTTTCGCAGATATAAACCACGATCAATAATAATTAAGCCAAATTGAAAGAGTAACATAAACAAGAAAGGCATTGGAACTCGATTCTCTTGCAAGTAAGTTGTAATATCACCAACTCCAGGACTTGTCTGTACAAATAGATTAAGTTAAAAACAATTGTTAATAAATGTAAAATCTAAAATTGACAATTATACAAAAAAATTGTAGTAAAATTGTAGGTCAAAGTGAGAATCTTACTCCAAAAGAACTGTATCCAAACCAAACAGTGAAGAAATTAATAAAATCACAGAAAAACATCATTGCATAGTAATCTTTTGCTATTCGGAAAGGAGGTGATAATATGCGTCTCATAAATTGTCTGATTGGTGAAACTGAGGCCCAGCATCTGAAAAAAGAAAATTAGAATATTAAGAAGAGGAAGGAAATGGAAATTGATAAGATGAACTAACTTTTTGTGCATGTTCTCACTCGCTTCGATTAGTTTTTGAACCATTTCGATCTCTTTGTCATCTGAAGGTGTCAAAGGATCACTATCTTGATATCGTATATTACCATCAGTATGAGACAAATCTTCGATATTCCGACGTCGCAAATAAGTTTCACTTCCTTTACGACCTTTAGTGCGGGCAATTTTTGGCTCTTTCGATAATTCATCTCGACTTGCACCAGAAGCCGAAGCAACTTCCCGATTTTTAGTTGAATCTTTGCCAAACTCATAATTTTCATCAAGATCCCAAAGTCCAAGACTCTAAAAAAATACAAAAATAAATTTGTTTAAATAATTATCGATCAAAATTGAGTAGCATTCACTTTCCAAATCAATCTAATTACCTTTAACATAAACCGATGAAAGAATAGAGCTAAAAGTAACAATAGATCCATTTTTGATTTACTTCCTTCCCTAATTTGATGAGTGACCGGATCAATATCGGCAACACCGAACATTCTTGGAGGCCAGAAAGGGTCATCATCAGCTGGACCGGACATCCATGACCAAACTTTGAAAGAGAACATGTATTTGGTTATAATAACCAACTCAGTATAAGTGATTACATAAAGCCAGAAAGTTCGAGTAGGACGAGGGACTGAAAGGCAGCCCCAAAGAAAGACCATCAATGGTAAAGGCATAGAAAGGAGACTAGCGTTGATTAGTTGATTAAGAATGACCAGTAAATAGCATAGGAACTCAGAGTGTGAAATGACAGCATAAAAAAGTGACCAAAGAAAACGAACAAAAAAATTGGCTTCTAAAAATGGATCCGGGGTGGTCAGTTTATCCTCACTGGGGGCCTCATGGTCTTCTCGTGGTACAATCGTGAGGAAAAACTCTTCCCTAATGAGAACCGGCCGAGGTGAATTACTTATACGATTAAGATCAGTGTAAGAGGCTTTACTGATTAATTCCAATGTTTCTCTCTTTAAATCTGGATCACGATCGTAATCATCATCAATAATTAATCTTTTGAGTGCTTTCCTTTCAATGGCTAATCGTCGAGACACAAATCGATAATCTCGAGACACTGAATTCAATTTAGCGGTCATACTAATGACACAACTTTTGAAAAATAAGGAAATTAATTTACACCACCATTCAATTTTTCTTATAATAGATTCACATTGTCCATCATCAGAAGCTGCTTCTGATTCCGTTTCTTCAGATTTTTCATCATCAATGGGAAGCTTTTTACTTTCCGATGCAATTGATAGTGTTGATGATCCTTCAGATTCAGGGGATTCTGGAATGGTCGTTGGAGGTAATGAAGAGTATTGAGTTGTTGCTGATGATTCATGATCGGTTTCTGGTTCTCTATCAGCTGATATAATTGCTGAGTCTTTACTTGATTCACCAACATCGGTTATATCTTCAGCTTTTCTTCTTTGTTCAATCTCTGACTGAGTGGATTGCCCTTTAATCAGAGTACTGAAAAACTAAATCAAGCAATAGAAAATGTTAGTCTAAGGTTAAACAATTGCGATTACAATAAACAGTCACAGAAAAATCAACTTACTGCAGTAACACCATGAAGACTTGAAATACGATCGAGTTCATCACCGACAGGATCAGGTATTTGTGGACGTCGAGTTTTTTCATTGAAATCAATCACTTCAAGATCTGGTTCATCAAACATATAATAATCTCCAGATTTGATTGCTGAAAGATGGAAAAAAAACAAACAAAATCAAGGATTAATAATAGTGATTATCGTTAATCTATTGAGCAAAACAAAGCCAGTCAATTAGAAACGCAGACGCCATTGCCAAAGCAAATTTTGCTCCTGCAAAGCTTATAATTGATTAAGAATATTTTTTAAACGATTGGAAAATAAATGTCAAAAATTGAGGGAATATAAATAAATATTGCTGAGGGAGAATGAAATTTGCGCTCATGTTGCCAGTCGGGATAAAGAAACGAGTGAAAATTGGGTGTTCGATAAGCTAAGCTTTAGCTTTTGAGCTTTGAATTTGAAATTAGATTAATCTTTGTAAGAGTAACAATTTACATGAACCATGTGATGCTACCACTGAGCTACGAATTGAATGATGACGACGAACTGAAGATAATCTCGAAAGTGGTTGATGAGGTTTCTGATGAACTCGAAAAGATGGTCGACTGATTATCGCATCATCGCGAGACATTGAATCGGGTGGTGGGAGAACAGGTTGTTGGTGGTTATCTCCAACATCACCAGAATTTTGTCTAAAACCGATTCTAGAATGGCCGATTGACATGGAGGTACGAGTGGTTGAACTATCTTCGAAAGGAGATGAATTAGGACTAAACGATGGAACCGTTGGACCTGAGCTAAGAGCGTCAATGAATCTTGGGCAATAAGGAATTCTAAATATTTCAAGATAACCTTTCCCTTCAGCGTGTGAGGCAGCTGAAGAGGGTGACATTAAGGTAGGCAAAGAGGGAGTGGGTGAGTAAACAGTAGGAAGGATCGTTGATGGAGGAGTTTCCTCTGGCTCTGGTGTATGAGGAAACGTTCCTTCCGCTGTTGAATAATAGGGTGACACATCATAAGCATAATCTTCTGTGAATATGAAGAAATGACCGATAAAAAAGAGAAAGAAAAGTTTCAAGTTTAAAGAAAATGATTAACTCAAACTAAAGATTAACCATAACAGAATCTATTTAGCTAATAGTATATTCATACTATTAGAATAGTGAATGAAATTTTTAAAGAAAACGAAAGACAATCGATGGTGAATTTATCCATCTTGAACTGTTGTGGAAAACTATGATAATTAGAAATGATTAGTGTAATATTAAGATGCATTTAAGTAGATAAACAAACCTTGATAATGATATTTGATTTTGTCTTGTTTAGCTCCTAAAGATGCTTGTTGATTGGCGCGAATGCGATCCATTTTGGCTTTGATCTTTTCCATGACTTCTCTTTCGGCATTTTCTTGTTCACGAACTTCTTTTAGTTGAACTTCATGGATAAGTTGAGCTCCTCGAGAAGCCAAGGTGGTTTGAGCCCAAATTTCTTTAACCAGGAACTTAAAATAATGACTACTGAAAATCCGCTTTTGGACGATAAGGAAACAGAAGCAAAGACAGTCCATAGTGAGTTGAACTTTATCCATCGAATCAATAATACAAGAATATCGAGCAGTCGGTTCCAATATTCCGGCATTACAAACGATTCCCATTAATTTAACTGCCCAACAGTAATTAGTTAATAACTCTTTTTGGAAAGAACAGCCAACAATCTAAAAAAAAAATAAAGTAAATGATTTGTTAGAAAATTTGAGTTTCGACAGGTTGAAATTCAGCTAATTAGTCACCTGAAGTATTGTTTTAGATAAAATGACAAATAGATTGTAAAATACTAATATTTTCCAGGCTAAAACGATGTTTCTTTGCTGACGAAGATAAATATCACTTCCCATCCATAGGAAAATGAAACAACCGATAATATATCCAACCCCGAAAAGATTATCAGGAGTCATTGCAGTAAGAAAAACGACTGCTAGTGTGATCCATACAAAGGTTGTATAAAAAAGTGATCTCATATGATCGTAAATTGTATGTGTAAAGGTGAAAAAATCTTCGAAATCAGGAACATGGGAACATTCTTCAGAACCAAGATCAATATTATCTCCTCCATCGTAATTTGATGAATCGGGACGTCTTTCAATCTTAAAGACAAGATATTGTCGACCTGATAAAAGTAGCACAAAGAAATCGTAGAATAACTTTTGAGCATTTGGAGGTTTGATAAAATCAGGTAAGAAAAGCCATTCTCGACAAATTGAGAAATAAGGTGACATTTTCCATGGATAATTGAAACAAAATCCTGGAGGTAAACCGACACATGATATATACTCAATTGGAACAAAGATACAAAGAAATCCTAAAAAGTAAGGCCAAAGTCGATTGATAACTCTTCTGGGGCACATTGTGAAAGTTATAAGGGAAATGGCGTAGAAACAACTGACAATATCTTGACGACCCTGAATGGCGATAACAATCACAAAACAGGTCAATTCGAGTCCGAATTTGTAAAAACAATAGTTGATTAAATATCGAGAGAGACCAAAGAAACCATTCTCAGCATCTTGTCTTTTCACTCCAACAAGAGCAATTCCAAGAGGTAATGGCTTGATATTTTTTCGTTGACGATGAATTTGTTGACGAATACAAACAATTGAGTTAACAGTTAACATTAGAGTTACAAATAGATCGAGCTAAAATTAAAGAACGAGAAAAAAAGGTCACAATCACATTTTTGGTCGATTAAATTTCCAATCAATTACGTACCTTTATGTAGTTAAATACTTGATCATTTTCAACCTCTTTGAAACCCAAGTAAAGCCTATTATCAATTGGATTTGGAACGGGAAAGGTTGAATTGTCCGAAGTCTAAATTTAATGAAAACAATCAATGTGAGAAATTTGAACTTGATTTAGTTTGAATAATACATACGTCTAATGAACAGTTTGATATCCAAGCAGTTGATGAGTTAACGGTGGGTAATTGATAGACCATTTTTGTGAGGATTAAAACGGAGGCCCAAGACCCGATTAAATAAGAGACAAATTTTTCAAAATGTGTCAACGGAATTGCAATGGAGATAAATATTACAAATGCAACATTTGCAAGAGAAACCTGAGTTTAGAAAATTAGATTAAAATATTAGAATAGATTAGTAGATGGACATTTGATATTAGAAAAGTTACCTCGTTGAGAGCTGCGATGATTGACACTAATAAAACAACTTTCATCAAGTGAATTTCCAATAATCTCCACATTAGTTGATGACAGAATTTCATCCCTGGGGCAATGTTCTCTTTGAAAGATCGAAGTTTAGAGGATAAAAAGCTAACAGACAAACGAGGGATTCGTTTCTTTTTCGATTCTGGTTTTAAAAGACTCTCAATTCCATCAGCTGATCCTCTGATAGTGGTCGTGGTTCGACTTGTAGTTTTACCAGATTTCTTAGTTGAACTCGTAGTTTGACTAGTTCCCGCTTGTGATGGAGTGTATTTAGTGGTAGTAGTAACCGTTATATCAGAAGAATCCATGTCAATTTTAATATCTCGAGTAGTAGTTGATGCGGATATTGAAGTACTTGGTCCTGCAGTTGGAGCACTACTGGAAGTTGTATAACTTTCCTCGCGTCTTTCGGTAAACAGATCACATCGAGTGAACAATAAGAAATCTTTATGCCAAAATCTTAGTTGGATGATGGTGATGATTAAAAAAAATGTCGGAGTAAAAAGCTCTTTAAAAAGTACCCAAGGATCTGCTCCATATAATTTCAGTCCTAAAGCTTCTTGCCTATGAAAAAACAAAAAACGGATTAGATTAACTCGACCATAGATGAAAATTTACTTACATCTCTTTGCTTATTCTAAAATAGTCTTGCCAATATCGAGCAAAATGTTGAAATTGATAAGTATAAATAGCGATGAGAACTGTCATCGAATAGATAATCACAACGAGCCAGAAAGGGTACATAAACTTGCGCCATAATCTGAATGACAACTATTAACAAACAAAAACAAAATGAGTATTTGAAAGATAAAATTGTCAATATCAACAACAAAACGGTTCTTACTTGAAAGATAAAAATGAAGCTAAGAAAAAGTGACATATAAACAATACGATAAATGACAACTCGATCACCTCCAAGTGACATGATCATTAGCATGGTGGCAACAACCCAGATCCAATATTTGATGAAAAGTCCACGAATAAAATTGGACAGTATGAGCAAAGTTGGGCTAACTTGCGGTAAAACAGCACTGGCAAGGCTCATATGACGCTGGAATGATGGTCGACCTTGACTTCCACGATTTGTACTCAAAGATCGATCTCTATCCTGATTCCATCGAGATAAAGCACGTTCTTCACTATATTGACGTAAAGTGATCCAAAACATACAAGTAAAAATTGTCTACAAAACAAAAAGATGATCAGATAAAATGATTATTAATATCAAACCAAATTGAGAATATAACTTATCAATACTGATGCAAGAATCTTCAATACCTTCAATGCTAATGGTTTGTAGGACATATCGAAATATTTTTTCAATCCAATCTCATTAAGATTAATTGTACCAATAAATTGGGGCAATTCGTCTTCTCTCAAGTCCAAACTGAATATGTATTGTGATAGAAGGAGTAAAATGGCATAAATAACGAGACAGAATGAGGACTTGAGACAAGCTTGACGGGAATTTGGCATCATCCATATAACGCAAGACCAAAGAAGAAGCGTAAATCCAAGCCAACTATGGTAGGTTATACTCCATGTCTAATTAATCGTAGAAAATTAAACAAAAAATTATAATATAAATTGTGAGAAAAATAAAAATGAAAAAGGAAATGATATAATTAACGTTAATTATTACCCACACTTATTTTTCTACTCATTAAGTGCTCAAGATAACATATATAAATCAATCGCTAATTAACTCAACATTAAATCATTTATCTTTTAACAAGATGAGATTCCATTGTGCTTGAAATTGATGTTAATTAATCAAGAGTTAATTTTAAATTGCATGTTTGTGATGAGTAAATATTTGACTGTCAAAAAAATTATTCAATAACAGTAATAATTAACTTCAATAGTAGTTAATTAAATGGGAGCTTATCTGATTACGAGTAGGTTAAAATTAACAGTTATCATAATCATGATGAAATCACATTTATATTAAAATGATCACATGACAATTAACTTCCTACCATCATAACGATTAAGGTTAAAGCGTAGCTTCCACGTTTAATTAGATTCATTAAATAAAGAATTGGTGCCCAACGTTGAGATCGATCAACAGTCGTTGGATTAGGAGATGTTGGATTAGTGGCTTGATTAGCTTTCTGATTACTACTTGTAACACTAACTCCATCGGTAACATCATTTCTCCAGGTTAGACTACCATGTGGATCCATTTCTAATCCAGTTATGGGAGCTGAAGGTTGTTCATGAAGAGCTTGATATCGTTTAGGTTCAGTTCCAGAGAGTAGCTAATCAGATGAAAGAAATTAGGTTAAATTAATTATCAATACAATTGTAAATAAGGGATAAGAAAGTGCAAGGTTAATGATGTTGAATCAAAATGGCGAGTTAATGTCTCTCGAATGCTTAAGCTGTTAATCGGTTGATCAAAAATAATATAATCGAAAGCAGAGAAAATCAAACATTAAAAGCTAATATAAAATTGATGAAAACAGGAAAGAAAAGCGAAATTTGATCTTCTTTTTAAAAGATTCATGATAAAATTACAATCAATCAAAATACAATTAGATATTTGATTGTTTCTGTTGAGATTTAAGTTTCATAGCGATGAAAACAAAATGGCGAAAATAAAAATGTCATCAAGTCAATATAACCAATATAATGGCAGCTGAATAGGTTAATTGTTATGAGCATTGTTTTTTTTTTCAATTGTTGACAGTTAAAGAGAGGGGGTAAGAGATAAAATCTGTTGAATAAATATTAACATGCAAGGTTGCATTATATTCATAACCAATTTTATATAATAACAATAAAAAAAATGATTATGAATTTCCCTGTGTAGATAAAAATTGAGTCATTGTCATGTTGGCCTCAAGATATGTGTAGACGAAATTAGTGATTAGTTAATTGGAATTACTATTATTAGTTTTTGTCGGGAATTTAAGGTTGTAGGATTTGTTTTGGCGATTGTTGCAATTACATACTGGTGTTGATTCAGTCTTAAAAGGAGCAAGATCGTGCAAAGGCATCGTGTATCCAACAACTTCCGACTCTTCTTCAACCAGATCATTAAGTTTATCAATATTAATCTGCAGGGAATTCGGGATTAAGAATTAAAATGAAATAATAAAATAGAGAGAAAAAAAAACTCTAAATGATTATGCAATTAAAGCCATGGGAGGGAGAGTTAAGTGGTAATGGAAAATTATCACTAAGGTAACATTGATATTTAATCATTGTAATAAAATGTGAGTTGATTAGTTTCATGCTGAATTTATCATTCATTTGGTTTTCTTTTGTTTTTTTTCTCATGCAATCGGATTAATTAAAAGGGATCAATTTGCTAAAGCAAAAGCGGCTACTTTTAAGCTAACAGAATTTTCTTTAATTAACCTTACATGTGAGTTATCGGAATAGATTGTGTTGATTGAAGGGTGTTTGTTGTTAGTGTTTAGAAAATTGAAATTGTGTTTGATAAAGTTCATGGAGATTAATTCACTGGGTGAAGTTTGTTGTAAATCACAATTAATTGCAAGGGTCATTGGTGAACTGATGGTTAAACAACGAGCTTTACATCGGACTATCTGATAATCAAAATTAAATATCAGTTAGAATGATTAATGATAATAATATTAAGAATAAAATTTCATCATGAAATATTTATAACAATTCTCATCCGAAGTTATATGATTCGTAGTAATAGAAAATGTTTCATAATAATTGAAAATTGAAACTCTAAGTAATTCAAACTACTGGAAAGATAAAATGTAACAATTTTAGTTAATGCTATTCGCCTAATTAACCTTTAATTAGTAATAATTTTAACATACTAATGATTAATATAAATTAGATTAACAATCAAGTTTCAATGTGAAAGTTTTACTGCTGTGAAAATCTTAATGGTGGAAAAAGTTTTAATCAAACCAACATGGTGGTAAAAATATATATTATCATGTTTTCATATGATCAATGTTAATGATATTGGAAAGCATTGTCATGTTTATTGTTTACTGAAACTCTTAGTTGACAGTATCAGCTTTGAGTGATGTTGATTTAACAATGATTAATTGTAATTACAAGCTAAACCAACAATTGACAGGATCTATGAGAGTCTCGATTGGGTTAACTGTACATAAAAGTTTCACAATAACCTTAAGTCTTAATCTAATTTGATTAATGAATATTTAATAAGCGTGAAAAATTAACTTAATACTATCCTAATCAAGATAAATATAATACACTGACCATTGATTAGTAAATGATTGATTAACTAATAGATTATACAAAGGAACATAGGAAAAATGAACTAATCCATTTATGATTAGATTAATTGTATTCTCTCTAGGATCTCTGTTAACTTTACGCCCATTACAATAGATTTAACGTAATTAAATTGAATCAAATTACATTGAGTTGGTTGATTGTTGAATAATAAATGATTCCATAAATACTGAAAACAATAAAGAAAACCATTAACTAAATCTATTAACAAGAAAAAAGGAAAGCATATCAAACTAATGAGTATCATTGAGAATCATTAATTTTTGGATCATCAATGCTCATTAAACCCCAGTGATGATCATATGACCAATGTGGAAGATGTTCATGAGAAGAGAAAATGATGAAGATGGATGAGAGAGATGGTGATAAAAAGAGATTATCATTAGTTTTCCAATCAATTACTCACTTTTGTCCGGTGGAAAATTTCCGCTCGAACGAAGGAACCAGCGAGTACGTAAAGAATAACGAGGAAAAACGGGTGTGCATATATGTTCCAATTGAGATTTTCGAAGTGTAATTCTCGAGCGGTTGTACAATTAACTTTAATGTAAGGTCGCAATCCAAATAGTCTAAAATGATGGGGGGTAAAAAAGAGTTGCACAATTAACATCAATTGGAATAAAATTAATATCTAATGATAATAATTATCTAAGTGATTATGGTTATTAATCTATCAGATTAATAACCTCAATAGAGATGGAAAATATTTACTTGATTGAAAATCTCTATGGTTTTCAAAAGTAATCAAATTAAAAGGAAAGAAAATTTTAAATTGTATTTAAACTTTTTTTGTTTTCAATCAATGAATTTAATTTCACTTTTATGGGTGAAAGTTCATTGATCTGATTTTCGTTTCTCATGTAAAAACATTTGGATAAAGTTTCTAATTGAGATTCTATGTTCATTAAACTTTTGTAGTATTAATAATAGTAAATTTTGTTCTCTCTCTCTCTTTTCGAATTTTTTTTGTTTTAATTTTAGTTCAATCAGAAAGTAAATGTTTCTGATAGCGAATTAAGATTAAAGTTGATTGTTGCCATGATTCTTAACCTAGAATTATGGTTGATTCTAATAGTAAAGGTATTAGATATTTACTATTATTTATCCATTAGTCGTAAAAATTGAGTTGTTAGGGATAAAAACTAAGGAAATTCATTTTGACTGACAACCTTCAATGTAAATATTATTATTAAATTGTGATTCTAATGGGTTATTATAGATTAACCGGAAATAGTTGTACCTACATTGATAAGCAAGATACTTCCTGTAAAGTTACTATGATTTCTTTTTCGTGAGAAACTAGATCATGACACTTTATATCTATTTACTATGGATGCCTGTAAATTTATTATCTCATCTGACAAGAAAGGGATGTGATTATCTTTTTCCATGAAACAAACAATATATATAACAATCAATCGATATTTTCATCTACCTTTCATGGGTTCGAAAAGGTTCATCTATCGACAATTTGAGTTAAAAATGTCTCATCATTTCAGATGATTTATATATTGTTTGGTCAAGAAGAATTTCTTTCGAGTGTAAATATTAAGGTTATTATCACGTCGTTTTGTTTTTCTTTGTTTGTAATTACCTGATTCCTAATGAAGTTTCAGGAAGATGAATACGGAACCAATCCATTTGGTAGAGGAAGAGAGCAGTAAGGTGACATATTAAAACAAAACACAAGAAGAGTTTAAATTTAACGAAAAGGTTGCCTAATTTTTTGTTACAAGAAACTAAGGTAACAATTGATAAGAAACTGATGAAATAAATTGATGAGGAAAGTGATGGATTGAGTATCCCTGCTCCACATAAAAGAATCACAAAAATAACTTCTGAGATTAATTTGATGGTTTCCAAAGCTTTTTGTCGACGTAAACGGTATCTTTCAATTCTTTGGATATCCTTTACATCTGTGGTACCATCGATTGTAGAATCACGATCGTTTAATATACGACTTTCACAAATTGTACTGGTTGTTTGGGAAGTTGATGGTCCAGTAGTTGTACTTGACCCTTGAACGGGAGAGATTTCATCGTTTGAATCACCATCACCACCCCCCACAATACGATGTTCGTTTTCATTTGCATTCTGACGAAGCTGAGAATTTGATTCACGATGATGACCAGCCCGTCTAGCTGCTAATCGATCAGCCCATTTTTCGTAAATATTTTCGGTGACAAGGAAGACAGAGGCTGAAAAAAAGAAGACGACAAAATCTAATCCAATAAGACGTAAAATCTCAAAAATGGAAACATCATCCAAACGATTTAAACCAATTGAATTTAAAAGAAAACCATGGGAAGAGCCTAATGTGAAAAAAAAGAGACTTTGTATTATTAATCTGATTACAATTTAATTGAATTTGTCCCAAAATTGGATAACAAAAAGTTGGACAAAAGATTTTCCCATGTGTAAAATGACAATGAACAAAAAAAAGGAGAATTTCAATCAACTTGATACTTTTTGAGTCTAAACGATTTTATGAATAACCTTGTTAAATTAACAAAGTTGGTAAATGCAAGATTCAGTAATTAACGAATGGGTTGAGAAATAAAATAAAATTAATCGTCTCTGGACTTACAGTAATCTAAAGTTGACCGATACTCAGCTGGTGAAACAAGTAAAACAATTTGGAAGACAACTTGACCCACACAAATTATCGATGAGACAACAATTAAGATTTTCAAATAAATTCCAACATGGCCTAGAATGAAAAAAAACAGAGAAGAAGAAGAAAAAAAAAAATGTCATCAATGATAATTCAAAAAGAAATCACAATTTAGAAGAAGAAGAGATCAAAATAAGATACGATGAGCAATCAACATTAATTGACAAGAGACAACAATTTGTCAATCTAATACTAATACAAACCTTTAGTTAAGCTTCTGCCACTAGAATATGGAAGATAAGGTCCAACCAGTAGGAAGATTAAATAGATGCCAGATAGTAAATTCTGACGAATACAAACAGCTAAAAAAATTGGAACGAAAAGAAAATAACAAGACATGAAAAAAGCAAAACAGGAAGGAAAAAAAAAATTCTTTTCTAAAAAAGAATAAAAAAATTGGAAAGAGAAAAAGAAAACCAAAACTTACCGAAAAGAAGCAAAATCGGTATTCCAATTCTTATAAGTGTATAACATATTGCAAGCTCTAAATCCATGATTAGAGTGATGATGATGAAAAAATAACAATTCTGTTATTATCAACAAGAACGTTGATAATCATTGTTGAACATTAACTGATTATCTCAATGAAACAACCAAAGAGAAAGTGAAACAGAATTTAAATTGAGAGAGTAACTAAAAAATCGAATAAAAGAAAAAATCGATAAAAACCAATCGATTTTTTTGTTTCATTCGAAAATCGAATATAAAAAAGAACAAATAATCGATTAAAGAATAAGAGAGAAAAATTTGTTCTCTCTTTTTCTCCAAAAATTAATGGCGGTAAATTTTGAGAATTTTTTCTCCAACATTAATTGAAAATATTCGATAATTAGATTGGATAGAATTTTTTTTATTCTCTTATCCATTCCAGAATTGGATACTATTCCAACTACTATCAAAGAGAAAGAGTAAATATTTTTTGATATCACAAAAAAAGAAGAAAAAAAAAGAAAAACAATTCTACTGACATCTATTAGATTTTTCTTCAACTAATGATTGAATTTTTTTTTCTATTCTAAAAAGTGTCTCCATCTATGTTCACATTTTCCAATCAACATATTTGAATATTTTTCTTTTACTTTTTTATTGTTCTCATTGAAAAGCCTCCAATTATATTTTTGGTAAAAGTGATTAACAAAAGGCAATTAAATTTAATTAGTTAATTAACCTTTTTTGTTTTGTTTTATTGTGATTCAACTATGGACAAAGCAAGTGATTATATTATTAGACTATATTCATCTGGTTTGTGAGTTAAACATAAAACAGGAGACCAACAACAACAACAGAAAACCAACCAAAAAAAAAGTGAAAAGATTATTGCTTTTTTGTCTGGCTTGATGATATATTTGCTTACTCACAAATTATCAGAAAGAAAAAAAAAGAAAAAAAAGAAGAATCAAATTTAATAGCTTTTTAATATGCCTAAAATAAGGAGTAAAGTGTGGGAACATTTTCAAAAGGACGAGAAACACGGTAAAGCCTATTGTCGATATTGTTCATCCACTCTGGTTATCAATAATCCATCCAATTTGAATAAACATTTAAGATCGAAACATCCGGTGATTTATGCTGCGAAAAAGGCTGCAGTTGATTTGGGTGAACCAGCACAAGTTGTAACTATCGCACAACCAGGAATAGCATCTATCAAGGGTTAGTGTTTCTAGTATTTTTTATTATTCCATTAGACTCACTTATAAGTGTCTCAGTCAAAGTTTGTCTGTTGTTTTGTCTTTTTTTTCTTTCCATGTTATTGATTCTATAGAAGAAAAAAAAAGAAATCAACAAACACTTAATATCCATACTAACCTCGATCCTTTTGTCATTTTTATTTTCTTCTTCTTTTTCTTGTCTTTTTTTTGCTACACAGGTTCATCTGTTTCTTCAACGCCACAAAAATCACCAGAGTCCAGAAAAACTGGAAACAGCCAAGAAAATATCGTCCGATCTATACTGAAATTTATTGCTAAAGACAATGTTCATGTTAATATTGTTAATGGTGAAGGATTTAGTGATTTGATTAAAGATTTGGTCCCATGTTATTCACCGATAACCAGTAAATTAGCTCGTAACAAATTGGATCATCATTATGACATATTATTTCACAAGAAAAAGACTGAGCTTGCTAAAGTTGAGCATATTAGTTTAACGGCTGACAATTGGGTTGAACCTAATACTTCAACTAATTATCTAAATGTAACTGCTCATTATATTGGTAACGATGGAAGAACAAAATCCGTTTTAATATCTTGTAGACCCTTCAACGAAAATCAAACCGCTCAAAATATCAAATCAAATTTTGAAGAAATTTTAGGAGAATGGAATATACCTGCTTTTAAGATCGTCTGCCTGGTAACCGATGGTGAAGCCAATCTACTGGAAAGTGGACAAATTTGGCCAGGTAAAGGTCGAAATTTTGTTTGCTTTGCACATAGACTAAACCTCGCTGTTCGAGCTGCTCTCGAAGCTACAACCGATGTCATAGCAGTTTTAGAAAAAGTAAAGGGTATTGTCGATGTTTTGATCCGAGAACAAGCCGCTTCCGATGAATTGGCTCGAGTATTTGAACATGAAGGAAAAAATTACGTCAAATTGGTACAATGTGTTGACACTCGGTTTACATCAATTTACAAAATGGTTGAAAGATTCATAGCATGTTATGATTTTGTTTCACTTGCTTTAACCCAATCTTATGGAGGAGGAATGGTTACAAGTCAAGAGAAAGATATTCTTATGGATATTTTAGCCGTTCTAAAACCGTTACAACTCGTTGCCGATGAACTTTGCGGGGAAAAATATCCAACCCTAAGTAAAGTGATTCCTATTACTCTCTGTTTGAAAAGGGCATTGGAAAATGTTTCACCCATAACTGACAGTGGCCTATTATTAAAACAAGCCTGTTTCGAGACAATCCAAGCAAAAATTGGTGACCCAGAATTTGCAACAATCGCCGCAGTTTCAACAATCTTAGATCCACGATTTAAGAATATCGATTTTCAACATCCAACTGCTTGTTCAAATGCTCTACGTATTGTAAATGATTACCTCAACACCCGATCAACTACTACCGAGGTTCGTGTTGAACAGCCAGCAACCCATTTGTTATGGTCTCATCATGACAAATTAGCATCCAACATCTCAATTGACCAATCTTGCAACAACTCTTTACATCCATCTTTAAAAACATACTTAGAATCACCAATTTCCCACCGTTTCTCTGATCCAGTTGCAATTTGGCATGAGATTGGTTTTGACAAGCATCTAAAAAATTATGCTCTTAAACATTTAAGTGTTCCTGCTACAAGCGTTTCTCCCGAGATATTATTCACCAAACATGGAGATCTTGTTGATTACCGTCGAAGCCAGATTAAGCCAAAAAGATTACAAAAATTGTTATTCCTCAACAGTTTATCACTTGATGAATTAAGAGGAGTTTGAATTAACTAAGAAAAAAAATGATCATCTTGTTTTTACCATCAGTAGATTCTCAAATTATACTTTTTTGTCACCCTCATAACCTCATAACGAACATTTATTTAAATTAATAAATTTGTACCTAAACCATATTTATATATTTATATAAATCAACTAAATCAAATTCTCGGAACAAAACCAAACAAAAACTAATCAAAATCAAACAAGAACCAAAAAGATAAACAAACATAAAGATCAAGAACGAGGTTCGGTTCGACCAGAGATTCTAATAGAAATCTCTTCCTTGTTCCAATGGTGGAAACGAAACATTTCAACTGCAATTAATTGGAGAAGAACAATCGATTTACTGATCAATTGTTTTCTGTGATCGAAGAAAATCAAATTTAATGGTTGATTCTTCTCCTTAATTATCAGTTTACCACCAAAATAGATTTAGAACTCGACACCAGAAGGAGCTCATTTTCTAAATTTTCCCTCGTCTTTTCATCGATAATCCCGCCGATTGTTTTGCTTTCATCTCTTTCTTGTTGCTCTTTGGACGCTCATTTCTCGTTCCACTTTGGGCTAATCAACATCTTCGCAATTCGCTGTTAAACGTTTACCCTCTCTTTTCTTTTATTCTCTTTGTTAAACATCTAAATAATTTATTATTCTTTCAATTTGGTGGATAGTGTTTTCCTTTTTATTTTAATCCAGAATGTCAAGTGATCCAATTATGTCTTCTTCCTCTTTTCAGTCATCTGAACCAAGCGATTATCTTCAACCCTCTTCACCAGTGATCACCTCAGTCATTAATATATTGGATGGTGTTAATTGGGCTGATATTGATTCTGATAATGAAGATACAATATGGGAACTATTGGAGAGTAAACAGAAAGCTACAACTCTCGCTAAAGAGAATGTAGATAATAATAACAAAATGGCCTCCATTGAATCGCGAGTTATTCTTAATAATCTTAAAAATGTGACCAAAAATAGTGACAACAACAACAACAATGAGAATAACAATGAAGTTAAAAGACCGCGTAAACGGGTGGCCTCAGATTCATCGTCCTCCTCATCAACCTGTGGTTCCACAACCTCGGACATCCGTAAATGTCTTAAAAAGAGGAAAAAGTCAATCGAATATGAAGAAGATAAACAAGTTTTATCTCGCCGATCAAAGCAAATTGATTATGGTAAAAATACTCTCGGTTATCAGAATTATCTGAAAGTTATTCCCAAAGAAAAGCGGATGGTCAATGATCCACAAACACCCAATAAATTTATCAAATTCAGTAGACGATCTTGGGACCAACAGATCAAATTATGGCGGAAAAAGTTACACGTTTATGACCCACCCGAAGAAAACAGTGAAAAAGGTGATGAGGAGGAAATCGACAAGATCGAAATGGACCTCGACGATATAAATGCCATAATCTACCTTCAGTAATCCATATTTTTAATCCACTTTTATACTAATCTCTCTTTCTCATACATACAAACAAACACAATATTCATTTAAGTTTTTTGATCGACTCTTATTTATTGACATCAATCACTTGTATTTACATTAATCAACTATTTTTGACTCTCAAAAAGTAATTAAAACCTAATAACAACAATTTACCCAATCGAATCCCAAGTTTCTCTCTCAACAATTTTTTTTTTCCAAAACCAAATTAGAATCCTAATATTGTCCCAATTGTAGAACTTGCGATTTTTTTTTCTTTTAATCTATTGGTTAATAATCAATTTGCTCGTAATTAACTTTCAATAGAAAACTCAACTAATCAAGAAAAATCGAGAGAAATAAACAAATACTGACCAATACAAATCAATTGATTTCTAAATTGTTTTTCTTTGATTAGTTGATCGATCAACATGAACAGAGATTCTCAATGTATCTTCATCCTTTTATCATTGGTGTAAATCTTTTAGATTATCGAATTAAATCCGAATGGAAGACTTTAAGTAAACAATTTAAATTCTCAAATGAAGAGTAATAATGAAAATTAGTCGGATTAAGATGGAGAAGGTGAAAGAAGGTCAAATGATGAAAAGAAGAAAAAAAAATGTTACTAAACCGCTTATTCATTAACCCGAAGCATCAACGTCATCATGTTCACAATTCACTTGACATCGTTTATTTTTAATTCTGTTTCATAATTTTAATCCACTTTGGTCACAATCAATATTCTGATCATTTTGAAGATTAAAAAAAACCATCCAAGGTAATTATTAATCTCTAATACTTTCACATTTATCTCTTAATTAACTGTTAATAATAATCCATTTTTCTTTCATCTTGTTTTCTTTTTTTTTTGTTTACCATTTGCCCTTCAGGAATATTTTCCTATACTTACTGTTAAAGGATCAACCATTTAATTGATTTCCAATTTCACTGATTCACTAATTCACTTGATAGTGGGAGTTAATTGCAGATGTGATATAATTAATTTACTTTTTAATTTTCTCATCAATATCAATCAAAATCACCAAGAGAATGTTTTGATTATGGTTACTCGTGTTTTCCAATAGGTGATGTTAGTTGTTTATTGTTGGAATTTTTTTCTTTTTTGATTTTTGATTGTTTTCTTTTGGATTAAGAGGAGAAAACAATTTAGTTGGTTCGTATCATTGTTATTTGATTGACGCTGGTTAATTGTGTTCTGTTGAAATGTTGTCAGCTGTTGGTAAACTGGTTAAATACTCGGTTGCCATTGGTGCTTCGGGTACGTTGATTGGTACTCTTCATGCAAATGAATGGCAAGTATCCAATTTGGGAATCACCAGATTTGGACGAGCTGCTTTTACCGTTGCCTCGATTGCTGCTGATTATAAATTGTCACTGCGTAATTTATCCGATGAAACCGAGGGATCTAAATCTGCCTGGTCAGTTGTCCATACAAGATCAGCTGAGAAACTGTTGAAATTATGTTCAATCAATGGAGGTGTTTTCATTAAAGTTGGACAACATATCGGTTCACTTGATTATCTTGTTCCACCGGAGTATTGTCAAGTTTTACGTGTTCTTCATGATCGTGCCCCCGAATCTTCAATTGAAAGTATTAAAAAAGTGATTGCTAAAGATTTAGGTAAAAGTGCCGATGAACTTTTCGAGGAGTTTGATGAGAAACCTTTGGGAACAGCGTCTTTAGCTCAAGTTTATAAGGCAAAGCTTCGTGATGGTAAAATTGTCGCCGTTAAGGTTCAACATCCTGATGTCCGTTCTCATTCACTTGTCGATATGACCAGTATGGAAATGCTTGTTCGCCTTGTTGCCAAAATATTTCCCGAATTTTCATTCCTTTGGCTTGCTGATGAGATGAAAATTAACTTACCCTTAGAATTAGATTTTATCCATGAAGGTCGAAATTGTGAAAGAGTTGGTCGACTATTTTCTCACCTTAAATGGCTCAAAGTGCCTTCGATCCTTTGGCAATATAGTAGCCAAAGAGTATTGACCATGGAGTATCTGGTTGGTGGTAAAGTTACCGATAAAGAATATATGAAATCGAAAGGTCTTAACACTCGAATGGTCTCTCATCGATTGGGTTTACTTTACAGCGAAATGATTTTCATGCAAGGTTACGTTCATTGTGATCCTCATCCTGGAAATATTCTTGTTTCTAATGTCAATGGTGATCCTCAGATTATTTTACTCGATCATGGTCTTTATACTGTGAGTAATTGTCGATTGTTATTCGAATTTTTTTGTAACTTTTGTTCTTCTCCTTCGATTTTTTTTTCAGACTTTGTCAGAGAAATTCCGTCATCAATACAGTCAATTGTGGCATTCGTTGATTAAATCCGATCTTGAAGGTATCAAAAAATGGGGATCGGAACTTGGTGCTGGTGATTTATTCCCTTTACTTGCTTGTATTCTGGCGGGTAAAACTTGGGATACAATTTCATCTGGACTGACCAAATCACGTCCAAAAGCCCAAAGTGAAGCCGAGGTAAAATTAATCAGTACCATGAAAATTTTTCAACAATCGATAAGAAAACAAAATTCATAACATAAACATGACTTGAATGCACGAACGTTAATTTGAATCATTACTCTAATCAAATGTTTACTTAGATTGTATGATTTTCTGATTATATCTACAAGCAGGTGAATCAATTCTGTAAATTAATCAACCACAATTAACAATTAACCAACCAGTTAGACGAGAATTAGTCAATAATCAAACGAAACAAGTAAAATTCAGTACCAAACTTTGTGAGAAGTGGAAAAATTTTCATGTCTTGAAATTTTCTAGTCATGAATTTATTTTGATCAAATTAAGGCTCATTTTTGTTGGCCTATCAAATGTGACCTTCGATTTACTAATTACTTTTCTTTTTCTCATTCTATCATTTTCAGGACGCTGAATTGAAAAATTACGCTCGACAATATTTCCCTCAAATCGCTGCGATACTCAATCGAGTTCCTCGAGAAATGTTACTTCTCTTTAAGACAAATGATCTACTTCGAAGTATCGAATACTCATTAGGAACTCGAGGAGAGAGAACGTCGCTTCTCACAATGTCCAAATGCTGCATCAGGTCAATTTACGATAATAAACTTCGTGAATGTCGTAACATCCTCTCTTCATCAATAGTTAGATTACAAAAGAACTGGCAATTAACTAAGATTTCACTCTATCAATTTTATCTCTGGTTTTCATGTCTACTAATTACTAATTGAATTAGTAATTAAAACTCTATCACAAATCAAAGTTTCAAATCTGCCCTCCGGAAAAACTACTAAATGACATTCAATTCATTTTAATTTTTAATCAGTTGATCACATAGATTTTGTTTCTCTCTCTCTATTTTAATTAATCCTGAATTAAAAATTTCTAATTTCATGTTGAAAATTATAATTATTGAAAAGTTAATACTTAATAAAATTATTTAATTATGACATTTGAAATTTTTATGTGGCATTTAAAAAGTAATAATTACCAATTGAGTAAAAAATAATATTAATAAAATATGTTAATCATTGGAAATCTGATCAGTATGGATCAAGATTTAGTGATTAAATTTTGATTGTTTGTATAATTAAATTGTTCTGGAATATCAATAATCTGACTATCGGTAAGAACGAAACGGAAAACCGGATCATCTGAGTAATTTGCTTGTAACCAACTTTTAAGAGTCTCAATTCCTTCCAGGTCAATTTTCCGATCAGATTCAATCATGGTAATTGCTTTATCGTTAATAGAATGGACATCAGCGAATCCTTTGTGTTTCTTAATTGCGAGTAAACGATTAAGTGAAGCTTTAACCATGGAACCAATCTCATTGTATAAAGGATGAAAAGACGGAAGTAATTCTTGTAATCTCTTCAATAGGAAACTCGCCATGGCTGCAATTAAAAAGGCCGATCTAGAGGATAAGGAAAAAGGATAATTAATAAGAATTCAAATGGAAAATGATTCAAGAATCGTGTTTCAAATGTTCACATCAATCGTCTTACTTTGATGTGATGGTTTTCTTAGTGAATTTCATAGAGACAAATGATAGGAATCCTTGATTGACAACTTCATCAACCATGTAAAATAAATTTCTACAAAGTTTCAATGATGAACTAATCACTCCGTTACAAGATTCATCGCATGAAACATGAATGGAAACATCCTTGACCAACATGAACCAAATTCCAAGTATTTTCGCCTCATTTTGTGGTTTCAATTGACAAGCCCAATCAACCATTCCAGCTAATAAAGGAATCATGTTTTTAGATGATTTCTCTGATTGAAAGATCACATAGAGAGTTAGATGAGCTTGGGTTTGATCACAGATCCGGTAAACATCAGGGTCAAAGGTGTCAGGTAAAGCATAAACTTTTATTAGATCATCAAGTGAACCTGAAAAGAATAATAAAAAAAAAGTATGAATGAGAAAAGGGAAAAAGTTCATTTTTTTTCGGTTTATCGAATGAATAATTCTTGTTACCTTCTCTGATTGCATATAATGTGATGCATCGCTCACTGAGATGAATGAAAAGAGGGAAAAATTTGATCGCTTGTTGTGAACAAACAATAAGTTCTAAGATATTTTGCTTCGATGTTGATACGAGTTCTAAAATAACTCTCAACAAAATGTTCTGAGGATCATGAATAGTAACGCTATTGATGAATTTTAAAAGAATCGTAATTAAAGCTTCACGGTGAGTAGAACCTGAAACGAAAGAAAAATAAATGTCCAATTAATTTTTGCTGATTTTCCATCAACAATCCTATTCCAATTTACCTTCATTAAGCGATGTGGCGATATCTTCGAAACATTTTCTAAGAAACTGTGATAGTCTTTCGGGTTCATCTTTAAGGATATTTGGATCATTTCGAACAGAGTCTAATAAGAAATTGCTAATTGTCTCCGTGTAGATAATTTGTTTTCGTTTGTAATCCTCCTTTAAAGCTCCACTTCTCCAATTATCCTCACTGAGAGTTAATCCACAGACAATTCTGATCACTTGAAGGTAAAATCGATTCATATCACTTTTGTTATAAATGAGAGACATTATTTTTAACTTTGATCTCAATAGACGACATATTGACTTGGCCTGATCGGAAGTTACCATGAAAATCGGTAAATCAGTAACTTCCAACATCTCTGATTTATCGATAGCATAGATAATGGTGTATGCCAACCACTCCATCGATTGGGGAATTGAATCATATGCAATTGTTTGTACACACGAATTCCACTTAACTGTACATAATATGTGTCGAATTAGCATAAAGGGTGGGGTTTTCTCGTGTTGACAAGATTCGTACATTAATTTAATGTCACCATGACTTGGAATGTAATAGTCCCAAGGTAGATTCTTCAATTTTACTTGGATTGTTTCTGCATAAACGATATGACTATTGGCATTTTCCGGTGTATAATATTCAGCAAGAATCCTCCAAGCATAAGAAAGTATAAGTGAACAACTTTCATGAAAAGTACGCATTAAATACTGAAGATTACATATAAATAGATCCCAAATATAATCGAAGTCATTTCCATCAACAGTTTGACTTAAATCCGATGAAACTAACCAAAGTTTCCAAGCTTCATAGAATGGAGTCCAAACCATATCAAAAGCAACTAACAATTAACAATAAAAACAAAGATAAATATTAGTTAACTTCTTCTCAATGATTAGTAAATTGTCAAGAGTTATTTTACCTGCTTCTTTGCGATTACTGTGTATCCACATTAATGAGATGGTTGATAGAACGATGCTAAATGATTGGACATAAGCTCGAAAATGTTCAATCAAATTGATACTCGTTTTTTCCTCCTTGATTCGTTGGAAATGGTTCGTGAATAGGACCAATAAATTGTGTAACTGCAATTTCAATTGGACAATATTAGCATTCGGAATTTTCACTTGAAAATAATATGATTTTACCTCACAAGTGGAAAATATCGGTTGACTTTCAGCGTATTTACGAATTTCATTGACCAGGTCACTTAGTTTACTTTTATTTGATGGTAAATAGAAACCAAATGACAACAGAATATCATTCCAAAGAGATGGATACAATAGAAAACAGTCCATTCCTAATGAAGAAAACGATCGAATCAAATTAATTATCAATAATTAGAGTAAGAAATGGATGAACTGTCGATTTACCTCTGAGCATATTTTGCATAACTGGTTGAAGGTAAGACGGGAATCGACAAATTACCATATACTGTAAGTGTTTTCGATAAAGCTAAAGAGAAAAAAAGAAAAGAGAAAATTTTGAGAATAGAAGTTTTTTTTACTCTTTAATAATTATGGCCTCAAGTTCGTACCCCTAAAAGCATCGTTTTGTCTTGATCTGGTTCTTGTCCGAAACCGAAAAGGGCATTGATTAGTAGATTGAGAAAATTGTGTATCTTTTCATCAGATGCAACTTTCAACCAATTGCTTACATCAAACTAAAAGAAAAGAAAAACAAAAAAGACAAACAATTAAATTAAATTGTAAAATTCAAGTGATATAAGATATCTAATTGTAATACCTTGCTAAGAAGGACGAATAAGATGTGTGGAGGTGTTTTGTACAGATTTTTTTGTATAAGCTCGTACATCGAGAGGAAACAGTTGATTGTACATCGAGATGGTGCTAATCGAGGAGCTAAATACTCGAGGATTGATGGTTTTTCTAGACTAGTTTGGAGTAAAAAGTAACTATTACTATCGCGTTGAAGTTCCCGATCCTATTGGAAGAGAAAAGAAAGAAAAATCAATAATTAATCATAAGTGATAATAGAATTTAAGTAATTAGTTGATTACGTACAAAGGTAAGACTATCGATTAGTAAGTTGAACAAATTTTTAGCCGGAGCGAATGTAAGAGCAGAACTTTCTTCAATCCAAGTGAGGTAGAACCTTAAGAGACTTTCGCATGGATCAGTTGATGATGTTTTATCTAATTCGTGGGATAAAAGTCTGCAAAGAAACAATTGGATTAATTAAATTGGTGGATCTTTGATCATTAAGAACATAACAATTCTATAAATATGAATACATACGAGATACATTTCTCAATGAAAATGGAAGCACAAACTGATTTATCTGATGGTAATTCCAATAATTCTGTCATCAAATTGTTAAACTCCATTCGAATACGTTCAATATTTTTCGCTACATCAGTGTTTTCAGTCGCTTCCATGTACTGTAATCAGAAAGAAAACAATTGTGATTAATTGAATCATTGGTTTGGATGATTAGTTAATCATTCTCACCTCAATGTTGATAATAGCTATACCAGAACAACCATCAGGATCATAACCATCCTTATCACAGGCAAGTTTAATTTGTGTCTAGATAATTAAATTGAACGTTAATAGATTAGTGGAAATGAATCAACAATTTGTAGAGAAAAGTTAATTATTAATATGTATGAACACTTACCTCTTTTTTAGTATTTTTGTATAAATTAGTAACCCCATCAACTAGATTAATGCTCAAGTTGTACAATTTTTTAGTTCGATTGTCAAAATAACTGTAATCATTTAGAAGGTGAAAAAAGGTTCCAATGAGATTGATGATCATGATTAAATTCTAACAATTAATTACCTTTTCTCTTCCATTAATGTTCTCATATTGTCTCGTAAGTATTTCATTACTGCTCCAGGAGTTTGTTTGAGAAATTCGATACTTTCGATATCATAGAACATGATGTTAGGTATTTTCTCTTCCGGTGGACCAACTTTATCGATTTTCAATCGAGAGAGCGTTTCTGTAATAACGAAAAGAATTTTTATTAAATTGGTTCATCATTAGATTGTAGTGAATATTTACCATTTAGAATACTCGAATCATCTTTTGGTATATTTTCGGTGAAAAGTTCGGTATTGATGTTTTTCAATTCGTGAAACCATTTAGTATAATAGGAAGAGAGTTCGGTAATTTTTTCGAGATCAACAAAATTTCTGAACATCGTGTCAACTGAGTTCATGACAAATTTAAGCATTTCAACCTGATACTGAGGTGTAAGATGATCAACATCAACGAAAGCATCATGAAGATGAAAATCTTGTAACCACAAAATAGCAGCTCGATAAAATTTGATCATCTCTGTATGGAAATGTATTTCCTTTGAACTTATTTCAGGTTCAAAGTTTTTCTTTGGTTGGGTTAAAGTTTTATGATGATAATCAATGAAAAGATCAAGTTTAGCTTTAAGACGTTTCATTAAAATCTCAGGAACTAATCTTAAACCGGATGATCCTCCTGTTGGTGAATTGGCAAAAAAATCGGAGAAAAAGTTGAACCATAAAAATGGTAATAACGGATGAGAAGGTGGACTTTGAAGGATAATTCTTGCCCATTCGTTTATCGGTAAAAATGTTAACGGAATTGGAGTTCGATAAAATCGTTCACAGATCTTTCTAATCGCAATCTCAGCGGGCATATCAATGTTTGTACTCATCTCGTTGACAATTGATTCCCAGATTTTGCTCATCCTAAATGAATCCGCTTTGGTTACCAGAAAGGTGAACCAAATTTTGTCGGGAAATTTGTCCCAAAAATAGTGGAAAGGTGTTGTCCAGTCGCACTTTTTATTTGACCCTGTCCAGGGGATCCAACGAGATACACCTTGTTGAGGTTGCTTTGTATTTTGAATATCAGGCATATGTTGTGAAAAAGTATCGATAACAACTTCAAGGAGAGGATTATCAACAAATAGAAATGAAATTATCTGATCAAATATATGGACAAGTTGTTGAAGACCTCGAGGCGATGAGACAAACCATGAAGCAGAATATTTCTGGAAAACCAAATGAGCCAATTCACAAAGTAATTTAATCCAGAAAATAGCTAATTCTTTTTTATCTCTGTCATCTTCAATTTGCTTTTTAATTGAACCAATTAAACTGTCAACCACTTGAGGAGTATCCAGCATGAGAAGTTGGTAAAAAGTTGCGATGAATTTTTGATTACAAGCTAAATCATTTAGTTTTGTCTTATAAACAGGAAGTAAACATTCAAGGATCCGAATACAGGGAATATAACATTTATAATTGAGCAAGTAAATAATTGTCTCAATCTCATCTTCATAGGAAGAGACACTGATTTGTAAATAAAGAAAATGGTAGAAGAAAAAAAAATATATCAGATTAGTAATATGATAAAATTTGACGAGGAAAATCTTATAATCATGACAACATACTTGAGACCTTTGTCCGTCATTAAAAGGCCAAGATAATGAGCGAATACATTTTGCTTCTCGATTCCTTTGAAGATTTGGAAAACTTCACAATCTATTTGTAAATTGGGAACAGGATAAAATGGATTGACTTGTTTTGATGATTTCAGATTCTCATCTGATTTGAAATATTCAACAGGATAATCTCTTTCATGTAATTTGAAAAGAAGTAAAATTCTCCAGGTCCATTCGATATAAGCGCCTAATTTACTCGATTTAGCACATTTTATGGCCGACTCAAAATCGAAGCCAGAAAAGGTACATTTAATTGGTGTATCGAGAGCTTCAAGTTGCTTTGTTTGTACAATTATCCCATCGTAAACGGCTAATGCGATATTCCTATGAATGGATGGCCTGAGAATGGGCTGATTATTGGTAAAACCATAGGCAAGTTTAATCAATAAAACTCGAGTTAAACGATTGAATAAACTTTTCGGTGGATAATCACAAAGCCAACTTCTTAAAATATCGAGAATTGAATCATCGGGAAACCAACAGGTAACCGGTAACTTCATGAAAAGATCAATAATCAACTGAATAAAAAGAGTACAAAATTAGATGAAAGATAAAACATTCTCGTGATCATGTTAATCACTGATAGTTGAACAAAAAACAAGTTGATTAATATTGATTGTAATTTACTCACTTCATTTTCAGGGGTTGTCTCTTTGAGCTTTCCAATCAACGCTGCAATTATGAATGGATGCTGAACAATACATTCGGAAAGTGTTTGAATACAAGTAGCACTCATTTTGAGATTAACTTCATGGACTAGAAAACTTATTTCAAACATTTCACATGCAATTGTATTGACAAATTCAATTTCATCGCTTCCTCTTGATTTAATCATATTTCCAAGTGATCTGAGTAAACATTCAGCTTCAGTTGACGAAAGGGACGGTAATTTTTCTCGGAATAAGAATTTCATTGCTGGTTCATTGAATTTACTCTTCCAATAGGCATCACTGAAATAGGGACAAAGACCTCCAAGTTCATCGATTTCATCTCGACCATTATTGTAAAAGACCCAAACAATATGCCACATCATTGATTCGGTAACACCGGCAAAGGGAATTACACTAACAAACTTCCAAGCACCAAATCGTTGACAGCTTAATATCGTTACAACGGATCGAAGGATAAAATGATCATATTCAACTTGTAACCTTAAGACCAGAGCATCATCTTGATTAAAAAATGATCCTTTACAAGCTTGCCAGAAATTTGAAACAGCGGTAACAGTTTTCCTGTTGAAGATGGTAAAAACAAACCAAGTTTATTAATTGAGTTAATTAAGGGTTGATTTGTGAAGATAAAATTTACCTAATTGCTGAAGTTACATAATCAGTCAGGGTACGGAAACGCATACAGTTGAATGTTAATAATCCTTGACGTAAAATTTGTATCATTTTGGTGGAAATGGCAAGTAGTTTAAGCATTGAGAGTTCAGTATATTCACCAAAAGCAACACCATTATCCGATTCTGAAGGAGAAGGCAAAAAGTAAATGGTTAGATGAGCATGATAATTGGGAGAAATTGTATAATCAAATTAAGATGATTACGAACCATTAACAAAGGTATGACGTTTCGTTAAGAATCTAAGCATATCGTCGAAAGGAATTTGTTTCAAAAGGTGAATCACATCAAATTCTGTAAGATGAATTTTATTCACAAGAACATCTTCCCCTTCGTCAATATCCGCATCGACAAGATGCCAATACTCTTCTGATGATGTTTCGTTTATCTTTACAGGAGATGTTGGTGAATTGATGAATTTATCACGAGCTCTGAGAGAAACACAAAATCAACAAGAGAAATGGAGAAAGAGAGAGAGAGATTAATTTAAAGATCGAGCTTCAAAAATGGAATAAAATAATTTACCTGACAGGTGAAAGTATAATGGAAATTACATTCATACAATGATTAAGAATCTCTATTGCTTCATCGTAACTTGAACCATCGAATGGACTTGGACATTGAACAAACCCTACAGCCCATGATGTTATTCCTCCAGGGCATCTGAGTACATGATTAAGTAGGAACAGTCGATCTTCGAACGTTGCAACTTCCAGTAGACAAGCGACCAATCGAGCGATCCATTGTTTAACCAGATTCTCTAGACCATCTTCATCATTTTCAAATTTACGATAAAATGAAAATAATGATGAAAGAACTGGTTTCAATTTTAGTATCTTTTCATTTCTATCAGGCTCCTTGGTTAGAAGTTCAATTTCATATTCAATTTGTTTTTGTGTTGATTGAGACATTTGCATATGGTAACAATGTTCATTTACTATGGTTTCTCTCAATGTAAGTAAATTGTGTTCTAATGATTTAATTCGTTTCTCTTGGAGAGAAGCCTCTCTGTATGAGTGTTTCCCTTCCACTTGTCGATTATCCAAACATTTTCCTTTCTTTATGATCATTCGTCTATTCATCTGCCAAGATTTACTTTGATCTTCTTCACAATCACCTTTTAATTTAGTTAAATCACGCTTATTTTTAGCTAATAGTTCTCTCCATTTATTGAGTTTTCCAATATTTTGGTAAAAGTCACAATCATCAAGTGACAATGCCTCCTAGATAGAGTGAGAGAGAAACAACAGGAAGAGAGAGAGAGAGAGAGAGAAACAAAAGTAGAAACAATTAAGAGAAATAGAAACATAATTGATTAGGGCGTTCACGAGGGTGAGAGAATAGAATGAAAATAATTTCTACTATTTTGCAACAAAAGTGGTTTTTCTCTAATTCGAAAACGAAAAAAATTCTTCAAATGATGATTAATGGATGAAGAAAACATTCATTGGAGAGTTTAAATAGTTACCTTGATAAATTTATCCACATATTCAGCTGAATTGTTTAGCTCAGAATTAGTGTGAAGAGCAAGCAGCTGATTCTCAGTGTAAGGTTTAATCCTTTTGAGTTTACAGATCACTTGATCTCTAAGATCAGAGATTGATTCAACTGCTTCCATAACCATTACTTCAGACATTTGTAAACAAACAAATACACAAAAAGCTTAATATAAATAAAAAAAAAAGAGTATCAATAATTAAACATGAATAAAATAATTACAGAAAAACAGAAAAAAAAACTAATTTTCTAACATAATGTTGATAATTAATATCAGATTCACATTTAATCACATTAATGAGTAGAACAGGTTAAAATCAAATTTGATTGTTAACCTAATGATTATAATTATAATTATTTAGTAGAAAAAGATAATTATCAAAATTGTTTCAAATGAGAGAGAGAAAAATGTAAACAAATGATCAGTTGTCAGAAATTTTTGTTTACGTTTAAAAGAATCAAAGAAAAGTCACCAGGTGACACTAACAGCGAATGAAAAGAAAAGCGGTAAATTTGAATAACCGAAATTCGAACTGATTTTTTTTCTCTTTACCATTTTAATCGTTTAATTGTAAATTAATATTTAGATTCTAATATAATAGAGCGACAAAAACTATTTATATTATAACAGGAGAAAATTCTTTTTACCATCAAGTTTATATTCTTTGATAAACTTACATGAGAAACTCCCAATTGGGGAGAGAGAAATTTGTTTCATCGAAATGCTCGAGGGGAGAAAATAAAGAAAAAGTTTTGATCAGATTATCTGAATGAACGATATTCGATGAGGTCAGAGTAACGATGTTCTTTAGAGATTGTGATATTGGGCCTCATCTTTACTACGATTATAAGTCATTCGGTTAATTTTTTTTCTCTCATCAATCAAAGTTAATCACTTAATTACTCGGAATTGTGAATTAATCGTTTTGTTTTCCCATCGATCATTGATAATTTGATTCATTTAGTTTTCTAACTTCAGTGAACTTATATGCCTCCGTGGCGCAATCGGATAGCGCGTTTGGCTGTTAACCAAAAGGTTGGTGGTTCGAGCCCACCCGGGGGCGGCAGGCCAATTTTTTTGTCCGTCTCCAGGTGAATAGATCAATAAGTTTTTTACTTTATCGATTTTGACAAATTCGATGATAACAAAAGTTTCTCAAAGTTTTTGTTTTCTTTTATTACAACTTGAGTTTGAACAATAAAACGAAAAGATTAATTTCTCATTCGTTGATTTGGGACTTTGTTTGACGATTAAAAGATTAACAATCAATGAAGATTTTTAAAATCTATTCAATTTGGTGAAAGTTTTAGGAAAATAAATTGTTCACGTTTAGTGGGTTAATCTTTTTTTATTTTGAGTTCTTTTCGATTTTGATTTGTTCATTTTGTCACTTTGATTAACAGCAATGAATTTGAATAGAGGATAAACTTGAGGTTTTGAAGCAATCATGTAATTAGTTGTTGATTGTTGAGGTTGTAAATTGGCCGTTGATGTGAAACCATTAGCTGGATATGAGAAATTAGGAACCACTGGACTTGAAGATTGTTGATTTTGATTCCAATTTATTGCTGAAGATTAATATTTGTAAACAACAAGTAATAGATTCGATTACAATTAAGTTGATTAATTTTGAAGAAATAAAACTTACCTTGATTAGTGGAGACCAATTGATTACTTGGATATCCAAAGCCACTTTTGGAGGAAATTGGTGGAATTGGTTGAGAAAATGATTGTTGTACCATTGGAAATTGTTGAGGGGTCAAAGGTGATGGTGGTGGTGAAGGTCTCATCATGATCGGTGCTCCATGTGAACTCGAGGATACCATTGGGTCATAAGGGTACATTGGTGGTGGTCGATACTTAGGTCGAGGTCGAAGTACCTTTGCCAATGTCGCCAGTGCAAGAACTGAAAATAACTGTGAATCCGTTGAAACGATAACAAGTATAAGACAAATGAAACAATTAAAAGTTATTAATTCAATTGTTCTCATTGTTAATCACTTAAATATTATCTGGAAAAAGATAAATCAACTTATCGTATTAATATAATCAATTATAACAACAGAAAACAAAGTAAATTGTTTAAACAACATTCAATTAAAGTTGATTGTTTCAACGATCAATATTCAAATGAAATAAAATCAATCATTTCATTGGATTACTATTATTATGATTAAAATGATTTAAAGGTGTTGACCAGTTTTCACAATTAATTAACTTAATTGTGCAATAAGATATTCATTCATTTAGCCAGTTGATTGTGATAATAATTAACTGATTATCATCTTAATTAAGCTTTTCAAATGTTTAAATCTTTCCCGTTCTTATGATTGTTATCACTTCATTGACTCAGATAATTATCATTGATTGAGAGTAATTAACAGTTGACAATTTATGATTTATTGATTGTTTGGGTGCATCAAATGATTTAATTTAATTACTTCAGACCCACCCAACTAATTAAAGATTAAAAAATAAATTGAAAGTTAAATTAACAATTTGGTGTGGCTATTTAAATGTATTTAATTTGATTACAATTACAATCAATCAGCTTAATTTACATCAAACTCATCAACAAGCAAAAAAAATAATTGATTAATTGCTAACAATTGATCATCTAATTAATTTGTTTCCAAAATTATTATCAAACTGATGAAAGTGATTCAATTCAGTAACTGAATTAAAACTGAGAAATCAAATTAACAAAAAGATTGCACAATTTATTAAGTAACCAGTTAATTGGTTTCTGATTGACATTTAATTAAAATTGGAAGGTCAAAGTTGATGACAATTAATTTATCAACACGAATCTCAATCAGCTCGAATTGATTTCGAAACAAGTTGTTCAAGTTTCGATTGTGAAAAAATCAGCTGAACCTAAAAAAGTTTTTCTTTTACCAAAAGGTGACGCTACTGATAAATTCTGGTAAATGGTAAACTAACTGATCGGTGAAATTGATAATCAACCAGATTAGCATTAAATTAGCTCAATTAATCCAAAGATAATTATCTGGTTTGAATAAATTATGTGATAATTGATACAATAAAGACAAAGGAAAGTGAAAGGAATGATTAACATGATAAACCATTGAAAGAGATTGATACTGAAAACTGAGAACTGAAAACAGTTTCATTGATAAAATATTTCTTCAGGAAATATTTACTATTATTATTAGTAATATTATCATCATCAGAAAGTTGAATAAATATTCACGGAAAAATATTAAACATAAAAGACACAAAATAAAAGTAAATACATATAACTTAAAGTAACTATCAAAATCCTCTAAAGATGCTCAATCAATTTGGGCTAACAATTTCCTCACCTTCTTATGATAATAATACCTGATTATTTTATCCTCATCACCATCATCATCATCATCTCACCCACATCATTTTCATCTGCTCATCTTACACCAAATAAAAAACTACTCTGGCCTTTGAATGAAAATAACGAATCTTGAATCTAATCGATAAACCAATATACTTTTACTATAACATATATGATATAATATAAAATACTAATATTGCTCACTCCTGGATGATGATAATGATGCTCTCTCTCTCTCTCTCTCTCTCTCTTTCTCTTCGAGTTGGTTGTCAAGGCCAACAACAGGCAACTCACACCGATACTTTTACACTCCCAGTTATCACTCCCAGTTTCATTTGCTTCACCCATTGGAACCAGATTATGCCTTTTATTTCATTGATAATTTTGAAAATTATTTTCTAATTTCATTTTTTTTTCCTTTTCTTTTTCTTTTTATTATTATTATTATTGTTCCGTTTTGTTTAATCCTAATCCTCTTATATAATAATCTTCATCATGATTACCTTGTCTTTATTTTATGTATAATAATATTCATTTATTTGTGATTATTTAAATATCTCGACCTTTAAGTGTAACATTTTATTGTTTATTGTTTCATCGAGTGTAAATATTATCTTATCATATTCAAGTCTATTCAATTTATACAATATAATGATTAGTAACTAGTGATTCATTCATCATATTTGTCCGTAATTAACATACACAGAAATATATAAATGGTGATTCTAATTTGTTCTGATCGTGATAAATACCAATTGTAGCCTGTAATTAATTGTAATCAACTTTTACCTTTAATCTAATTGTCTCTCTCTCTCTCTCTCTCTGTGTCTCATCAAAATCTCTATTAATACACTAATCTGGATATAGATTTTGTTTGTAGATTGAAATGATTATCAAAGAATAGTAAGTTGTAATTGTTTACCTGTTAATCAACAAATCTAATCTTTAACTGTGTTGTATATTGTTGTTAATCTATTACAATTAAGTCGAGTTACACTTCCATTAACTGTTGAAGAGGTAAGTTAATCAATATTTCAATTCTATTAATAATAGTAAAGTGAATGAACCAGTAATCAATAATAATGAGAACGATGAGAAATTAGGTTGATACAAAATGATTGAGAAAATTTTTCTTTCTTTACTTCTTATTGAAACTTAATTCTCACTGTTGTGATTAAATTGTGATTAACTTTTTTCTTCTTCTCTTGTTTAGTAATTTAATCGTGATTTTCATCTATTAATATTTCCTTATTGATTGACCATCAATTTCCGATATCACAGTTTCCTTCCTATCCTAACAAGATAATCTCTGATTGTGATTAACTGAGATTCAATCATAAACCACAGGAAACTTAATCGTAACCATTTTAATACATGATTGTCACAAACAAATTAATCAACTTAATCAACTGATTATATTAGCCGATAGATAATCACAATTGTATTCAATAATATTTTTACTTACACTCGATAAGTTTATAATATTTTCATAACAATTTATTAATAGTTAACATGTTATCTAAATTGTTTCAAGTAATATTTTTTTCACCCAACAATTAACATGACAAATTATAGTCAAATCAACTTGATGATTGATTGATTTCCACCGTAATTACAATCTGATTAAGATGATTTCTTATGATTAAATGGTGAAAACTTGAACATTGAGATTTTTTTTTCCTTCTTCCTTTTGTATTAATTTCCGTTTCCGATGATATTATGATCAACAATTGATTAAATTGAGAAACAAATACAATGTTTTATTTACATTGTCAATAGTAAATAAGGTTTACATCAATACAATCAAAATATTTACTCTGTAACATTTACCTTAAGATTGTTAAATAATACTAATTGTGATCAATCTCAATCTCTTGATTTGATTGAACATCAACACCAATATAATCAATACAATCTTAATTGTTGTAGTATATTAACTCATTGATATTAACATGAACCTTGTTTGTTATATATAATGTTATATAACAATTAATTGAGTTTATTGTTCATTTAATTATCATCAACATGGTAATAATAATTGTGTTCATTAATCACTAGAATTCTGGTTTTTGTTGGCACTTTGATTGTTATTAATATCATTTGATTGTTCATGTGGCAATTTAATAATTATTAATATTTCACATTATTGTTGATAGATTTAGGTTATTATGATGAAATTGAATTAATCTTAAGCCTAATTAATTGATTAGCAAATGATTCACAAACAAATGATTATCATCATAATAATAAGATTAATTTTATCATTAATTACCAATTACTAAACAATTAGATATGAAAAGATAATTATTTTCATTGATTAGTTGAATGGTAATTACTATTAATGGATTTTGATTGTGATTCATTTGATATTTTGTTTTAATAGTTTCATTTTATTGGATTAGTAATAAACTTTAATCAACCCGATTAACCTAAAATTAATCCTCTGATCATCATGACATTGTATTAATATTGAATTAGTTTAATTGCTCTTATATCTGATTATAAATAAAAGATGAAACAATTTAAAACAATTAAATATAAATAATTAAGAGGAAAAACAGTTAATCTTATTAACGAAAAGTTTTCTCATAATAATAATCATGATAATCATTTCTATTCATGTTCACTTATCATGAAATGTTTTCGTATAGTTTTTGGGGTAAATTTTTCTCCAACAATTAGTTAATTGTTTTGAATTAATATTCTTTTATTTTTCTCTCTCTTCTCATATTTAGTATCAAATAGGACAATTGTATTCGGTGGCTGAGGCGAGTAAAAATGAGACCGGAGGTGGAGAGGGAGTCGAAGTGATTAAGAATGAACCATTTCAAGATCATCCACTTTTGGGAGGTAAATTTACCAAAGGACAATACACTTATAAGATTTATCATTTAGCAAGGTAATTATGATTAACTGTTGATTAACCATCGTTAATCTAATCCCTCTAATCGTCTCCATAGTAAGGTACCACCTTTTGTCCGTTATCTGGCACCTAAAGGGTCACTTGAGATCCACGAAGAGGCTTGGAATGCATATCCATATTGTAAAACTGTTATAACGGTAAAAATTATATCTCATTAACAGTTTTCATCGTGATTATATTGTTGTTATTTTGTTTATTGTTCATTATCAGAATCCTGATTATATGAAAAATAATTTTTTCATTTGCATTGAAACGATGCATGTTCCTGATAATGGGTCAAAGAAAAATGTTCACGAACTGACCAATGATAAACTGAAACAACGGGAAGTTGTTTTCATCGATATTGCCAATGATTCTGTAGCACCAAAGGTAAATAATTAACTTTAATTTTGTTTCAAAGTGATTGATTGTTATTCAATTATCTTGATTGAATCGTTAGGATTTCAAGTCAGGTGAAGATCCGAGTAAATTTAAATCACAGAAAACTGGTCGAGGTCCTTTAACTGGGGACTGGAGGGTAAGTGAATTAAACTTAATTGTTTGATTGTTATTGTTGATTGATGAGAAAACTAATTAGATGAAATAATTTTCTATCCCTTTAATAGCAATCAGTTGATCCAGTGATGACTTGCTACAAATTAGTTACAACTGAATTTAAATGGTTCGGTCTTCAGAATAAAGTTGAACATTTTATTCAAAAGGTAATTAGGTTAATTAGATTTATTTAAATTCGATCAATGATTTAGTTTTTATTTCTCTTCGTTACAATTTTCGTTTTAGACTGAGAAAAGAATATTTTTAAATTTCCATCGACAAGTATTCTGTTGGATTGACCGTTGGCATGGAATGACCTTACAAGATATTCGAGATTTAGAAGAGAAAACTAAAAAAGAATTAGATGAGGTAAGTAATTCGAAAAGTTCTATTGCTATGATATTATATTTCTCTCTCGAATCTGATAAAAAAAACTTTTCTTTTTCTCTATCAATAGTTACGAAATAAAGGATTAGTTCGAGGATCTCAAATTAGCGAAAATGAATAAATTAAGTAACTCTAATTAACTTTGACCATGAAATATAAAGACAACGATAAACTGACCTTTTACCCTGTTGACCCCACTTAGAGTAGATACTCATTGTTGCACAATCAAAACAAAAAAAAATTCGAAAAACAGTAATTAGTTTAATCTTGGATAAAGACAAGAGATGGAGAAAAGTTCTAATCCTTGAAATTATCAACAATTAAGGTGAATCTTTTGATAACTTTGAACAAAAGAAAGATGATAAAAACGATAATGACATTTGAAGATGAGGATGATAAAGATAATTAACATAAGCACTGGCTAAGTCTGTTTCTCATCATCATCATCATCTTCTTCCTTTGATGATGATGAAGAAAGAGAAAGAAAAAAGTGAAATCGAGTTACCATGGAAACGAATTTATTTTTAGTTCTATTCTCATGTTTAGATGAACAGGAAGCAGAATTTCATCATGATAGAATCTTCTCTCTCATCTCTTGTCATCATCATCATCATTCTTATCATCCTGACGATTCCTGAGGTAATCATCAGTTCTGATTAGTTGATTGCTTGAAATGAGAACAAGTTAAATTCTGACAAAGGGAATGTTAATCAAATACTATTTTCAATTATTTTCAACAATTTATTTTCTCTCTCTCTCTCTCTCTCTCTCTCTCTCTCTCTCTATGATTTGAAACAATTAACTAATCGATTAACTAATTACAAAAGTAAACGAGAGACAAAAAATATTTACCGTTATAATTATTATTATAACATTTTAATCAAACTTTAAAACATTTGATTAAGTTTATTGAAAGCACAACAATTAACTAATTACGCACATCAATTGATTAAGATTAATCACTCATGATGCAAATGAGAAAACAAACACAATCTAATTAAATGACAATTATTTAACTACTAATAAGGAAACAAATAATTTCAATTAACTTTCTTTTCTCAATCAAATCATTTAATTAATATTAAAGTAAATTGGATAATTTTTTGTGTCAACAAAACAATTTTAGTTTTCCAATCAATTATTATTAATAACAATTACTGATTAGTTTTCACCTGAAGCAATCAGACATCTTTACAATTAAAAGTATTCAACAATTAAATTTACTTACATAAACTAATCTGATTAGTTGATTTAATTGATTGTTTAATCAATTAATAAACAACTAGAAATCCGGATCGTGCAATAGTAAAAAACAATAATCATATAATTATAATCAATTCCCAGTTGAACTGGGAATTGATTTAATTTGATAACAATTAGTAGTTAAATTAGATTATGTTGATTAGTATTGTCTTCATATAATAAATTAGTATTTCATTTGATTTGATTTAGTTTGTCAACTTGTAATTACAATTAGTATCATGATTATTATGTGTTTCATATAATAATTATAATTTAGTATTTATTTGATTACTTAATTAACGTTTTAATCATAACAATCAACTGAAATGGATGAAATTAATTCTAGTCAATTGTAAGATTTACATTTCAATTAAAATGAAAATCTTAATCATTAATCAATCGCATTTACCTTGATTGTATTAATTAACTTTTAGTGTGTGTAAATTTTTAGCTCTCTGTATTTGTTTTAATCAAGTTAATTGTGTGTAAATTAATTAATTGATTAAAACACAATTAAAAACCCAAAAATCTGTTGGCTAATTGTCAACTCGTGAGTTCTTGCTAATAATAATTATCAATTTTAATTAACAATATTAATCAAGATTTGTTGCCATTAAAACCTATTGAATTTTAATTGAGTTGATTGTCATTTCCAATCACAATTAACTTTCACTAGTAAAATATTGTAAATATTAATTAATTCATGTTATTATTATTTTCCTCATTTAATTGTGAACAAATTCAATTTATTATTATTATTATTGTGCCTGATTAAGTTTTCAATTAAGTTAATCATTTTGTTTTTCTATTAGAATTAAATTTAATTTAATTTAATTTAAACAACTCGATTAGTTGATTAAGTTCAACAATCAACAGCTTCAAAATGATCTCGTTCAAAAACTTGTAGCAAAATTATTTGCCAATCAACTAATTGATTGACAATTATAATAGATTATCCCTTAATTATTACCTAACAATCAACATCCAACAATCCGTCCTCACTGATCAACTAATTAATAGTTTCATTGATTACTAATTAATATCCCGATTACCTTAATATCCTAATCCTAATCAATTTAATGATTGTAAATATTTTAAGCATTATTACATAAATGAGCTTCCAAATCATCATCATAATATTAATTAAAATAAATCAATTACAATCTAATTAATCAGCTTAGTAATTAGTTAATCAATTAGTTAATTACCAACTAATTTCATCTTCAACTTCAAAAACATTCCAATTATAATAATAGTAACCATCTAATAATCAACTAATCACTTCAATTGTAATCAAATTTTACTCTTTGTCAAAATTTCACCTTCTCTTTTCAATCTTAATCAAACCAACTAATTAATTGATTGTTTTTCTTTTGGGTGTGAATAAGATTTGTATTAATCAATGAGTGTGTAACTTGTGCATTTGAAATTGAATCAATAAAAAAGTGCCACCTTGTAAAATAAACAACAACAACAATTAACTTTTATTTGTAACAATTTATTAATCAATCAATTCATCAGTTTCTTCAATCGGTTTAACTAATCCAAGAGTCTCATAGTATTTTCTTACTACTGTTTGCCAATTGACAACATTGTAAACAGTTTTTGATTGTTTATTATCATCGAGTAATAAAGTTTTCGCTGTCGATATCGAAGTTTTTGAACCTCTTCGAATTGAAGATTTATTGGTTTCCACGGTGTCGTTACTGCTCCGTCGAATCGATGATTGTGACCTTATAGTTCGAGCCGATTTTAATCGTCCATCACCAATACCTGGATCGAAGAGAGAGAGAGAGAGAGAGAGAGAGAGATGAGAAAAAGTTCTAATGACTGAACGAACTTTGTTTCGTTCTAAAAACGAACCTTTCAACTTTGATTTGTTCTTTTTATTTCGACGTTGGATCAATAATGGTATTCCAACGATTAGATTAATCGGTGAGGGTGTAGGAAGAGTACGATTCATGTTCTGAATTAGTTTAGCTCGACCGAACTTCCATTCGATGTCAGATTGATCTTCTATTCGTTGATATGTATTAGACATCATCGCAATTAGTAAATTAATGAGAACAACGATTGAGAGTAACATGTAAATGCCTGCAAGTATAAATATAAGAAATTTTTGGGTCACTTTTAGAGAGAGAGAGATAAAACTAATTCGATAATTGAACATTTGGATCAATTAATTACCGAAAACTGCTTTCATTGTTCGCTGAGAAAATTTTGGGCTCAAATGATTAGCCGGAAGCTCTTCCAGTTGAACTAAACCGAAAAGAGCCCAAAGCAATATTTCCGCTGTTTTCGGTGGTTCCATGAATGTTTGCCCATGAGATGAGATTGAACAATTAACAGGAGATCGATAAACTGGTTGGTAAATTGCACAAATGTGAAGGGTAAAACCAAGAAGGAAAAGTAATAGAACGGAAACAAATTTAATTAGATCACCGATAAGCTCGACGATAATTACTCCCCACGGGCCGAAAAGTGGATGAACCGTTAGGAAATTGAGAAAATCAATAAAACTGAACAGCATCGCCCAGGCCCAGATTTGATTTCGTAAATATAATATATCAGATCGACGAATGGACCATAATTCATCGGAAAGAATATCATCTTCATGGAAAACAAAGTTCAATATGAATACACTGAGATGCATCAACATCCCAGTGAAATTAAAGATCAAGATAATCATCTAAACAATTGAGAGAAGAAAAAAAAATAAAGATTAGTAAACTAAATCAAATGATAGACAATTAAATTGAAATGAAGTTTCGTTCATTCAAAAATCAACAGAAATGAAATTTCAATCTAAATGTTCACTGGAATAAGAAATTAATGTTGTTGGTTTGAGAATTGAGGATTAGAATGTTAACCAAGATTTCTGATTGTTTTCCTTTTTCTTTTCGTAATTAAGTTAATTGTTTTCATTATTCTATTACCTTAATATTACCCAAACCACTTCTATCTCGAGGATTAACAATCTCAGAGAAAAGTAATCCAATCATCCAGATAAACAGAAACCACTCATTCCATTGAGGTAAACAGCAATGATAATAGGCAATTGTCAAGGGTGGAAATAGAATCACTGATGATAATAAGATGATGAAATATATGTGAGCAGTTAGAAAGGATAAAAATTTAATAACGGGAATCGAATGTAATTTATGGCCTATCGGGGTTGATATTATTATCCAGAGAGGTGGGAAGACCAGTAGAAGGATGAAAAATATTGTAAATCGAGTTGGAGTCCAAGTTAGATCACCGATCCAAACTTTGGACAGATATTTTTGAACTGCGTGCTGGGATGTGACCATTTTCCGTTCAAATTCAATAAGAATATCAAGAAATTCAATTGACTGAGAATCGGTTGCTCGAAGTAGAGAACCGATTCCATAATTAGTTGATATTATGTTCAATAGTTCAATGGCAATATTATCACAGTAAGATGAGGCTGCAAGTAAATCTCTAGATTTATCTTTATCACGATTAGCTAATTGTTCAAAGGAACGAGCTAATTTAACAGAAATATAAATCGGGGAATCTGAATTGAGAATCAATTCCTCGATTGGTTTATTATCATGATTCTTTGAGCAAAACATCAGATCAAGAAGGAACTAAAAAGGAAAAGAAAAAAAATTTTTACGATTAGATTAAGAAAAAGCTCAATTCGAGCGTTTGATTTAGGCCACTTACCGGTCGATCATCGACAAGATTAAGTGAATCGTGTTTAATTGTTAGTAAATAGCTAAGAACATCAAGATGACTTGATCCGGTTGCTAAACAAATTGAATTTCGTCCTTCGTTATTAACGGCATCATGATCAGCTCCACTTTCGATTAGCAATTTAACCACAGGCAGATGACCTGATTTAGCGGCACAATGTAACGGAGTCCAATCTCTCTATCAAACAAATGTATGAGTTAATTTTAGATTCTCGATTATTGTCGTAATTTACTTACTCTGTCCAAAGCGTTTATCTCTGCTCCTTGACCGAGTAACATTGAGACCATATTAAGGTGACCTTGAGCTGCGGCTAAATGTAAACTACTTTTACCATGTTTGTCCTTTTTAATCAATGCATCAGCTGATCGACTGATTAATAAACCGGCAACGATCATGTGACCTCCTTCAGCAGCATAATGCATAGGAGTTGATTCATTTATTTTAGTTATCGAGTTAACTTGAACTCCAGTGCTGTTCATTAGCAATCGAACCACAGATTCATGGCCATTTTTAGCAGCTAAATGAAGCGGAGTTACTCCGAACTGAATCAAAGATAATGTGTATAAATGAAAACGTCTAATTGTGAAACTATGAAACAGAAAACTCAAATAGAAAGTTCAACTGAATTTATTACCTCAGCATTGGGGTCAAGTGTCCCTTTAACACTGGTTATACCTCCAGGAACATTGGATAAAAGTTCAATAACAAAGTCACTTTGTCCATGAGAAGCGGCGACATGTAAGGCAGTCAGTCCGTTCCGTTTAGAAACCATTTTAAGATCGACGGCATCTTTCAACACTCTTAGAACTTCAATGTGCCCATAACGAGCCGCTAAATGGAGAGGAGTCATTCCATGCTAATATAATTGAATCGAATATCGAATAGAACAAAAGATGAGATAATATTCCATAAAAAAGTTCTAACAACAGTTCTTACTTTATCTTCGTCTTGAACTGATGCTCCAGATTCAACGAGAATCTTAACAACCTCAGCGAATCCTTTTTCTGCAGCCTCATGAAGAGCAGTTGCTTCTTTTCCCTGAAGATTAAATGATTCAAACGTCAAATTAACTTTTCCTCTATTAACGTATACAAATGATACGATTAATAATTAACACAATTAACTCACTGGTATTTTACTTGTGATTACTGATTTTCTATCAAATTTAAGAAGCTCTTTTATAACGGAAACACTTCCCTTACTCGCGGCGATATGAGCACAAGTTAAACCCGATCCATTGGCTGATGAAATGAGCGCCGGATTTTTAGCAAGAAACAGATTGAAAACTTCAGAATGATTTGATTCAGCAGCCAAATGTAAAGGTGTCTGATTATGCTGAAAGGTGAAGATTTTACAGTTAATCTAAATTGCAATTTAAATAATCATTTCATTAATCAATTCTTACCCCATCAACAGCATTCATGTTGGCATTGAGGTCTAACAATGTTGCACAAGTTTCAAGTTGACCAGATTCAGTTGCCATGTGAAGTGGAGTCTGTTTAGTCTGATGAAAAATTAATTATGCGAATTAATTAAAATTCAATATGAATTAATTGAAATAAATCAACATACTAATGTAACAGCGTCAATCTGAGCTTGATATCGAGTGATTAACGATTTAACCATTGAAGTGAAACCATTTTTGGCTGCGAAATGTAAAGGGGTCATTCCTTGTTTATTACGAACTCCAACCGTCGCCTTGTTTTCAAGTAAAATGTCAACAACAGCCTCATGACCCAATTCAGAGGCTAAATGAAGACATGCTTGACCTTTCTGTAGGTATAAATGTATAGTTATCGAAGGGAACAATTAACGATAAGAAATCAATTCGAAACAATATCAAACTAACCTCGTCAAAAACATCAGTTCGAGCCAATTCAACTAATAGTAATTTGATTATATCGGCGTGACCTGAACGACAGGCATGAAGAATTGGAGTTAATCCACCCTGTGATTAAAATTCGAGAACAATTAGTTGACAATTTTGTGACAATCTAAAGTGGACTTTTACCTTTGACGGTATGTTTACTATGAACATTAGATCACTCGAACTTTTTGCTTCGATTATTTCCTCGAGAACTTCAGTTGATCCAAGTCGACAACAATAATGGACTGGAGTTTCTTTCGTCTAATTATATTGATACAAATTTACTTATAATTATCAAAGTTACTCATCTAATTATGAAATTAATTTACCTCGAAATTTTCAATCAAAATGGATCCACCAGATTCTATTAGTAATTTAGTTAATTGTCGATCATCTTGTTTCTGTTGATCAGATAATTTACTTTTATCCAAACGGGCAACATAATGAAGACAAGTCTCTCCAAGCTAAATACAATTTACGATCCATGATTAGTTTAATTAGAATATTAATTGTTATGACAATTACAATTGTTACCTTATTTTGTAAGTTTACGAATTTTTTAAGTCCATCCTCTGATCGTAAACCTTTAATTGCCTCAATTAAAGTTGTAACAATTGAAGTTCGGCATGAAGCAACAGCGATGTGTAATAAAGTTTCTTGATTGTTATTAACTAAATCAATATTCACTTGATGATCAAGAAGCAGTTCGAGTGTTGATAAATTACCAGATTCACTTGCGATCATAATCGGTGTCATGCCAATCTAAATTTGGAGATAATCAATATGGACAGTTAATTATTGCGAATTAAAATTAGATTATTATTAGAATACCTTATTCGCTGTGTTAATTTTAGCTCCACTTTTGATTAACAATCGAGCACAATTAGTACCATTTGGACTTCGACAAGCAAGATGAAGAGGAGTTTCTAATCCATTGGAGGCAATTACATCAACCAAAGCTCGATTAGCAATTAAAAGTTCAGCGATATCATCACGTCCTGATTTAGCTGCTACATGTAAAGGAGTATAACCATCCTTGATTACAGCAATTAAGAAAAGCAATTAATCAAAAAAAGTTAAAATCCTCAACAATTATGATAATTTCTTACATTATTTTGACAGTCAACATCTTCCCCTCGTTGAATTAGAATCTTAATTAAATCAACATGACCACAATCAGCGGCAATATGAATAACTCTTGATCCATTCTAAACATTTAAACAGTTAATTAGTAATTGGGAAAATAAAAAAATCTTAATCCTAAGAATAGTAATTGGATTAATCACTCACTCGATCAGCTGTTTTAATTGGTATTCCCTTTTTAATGAAGCTCAATGGTAATTCAACCGTTTTTGATTTAACCGCAGCATGAACTAAGGTTTTACCATCCTAATTAATCAAACAATCAAAGGTTAATCAAGAAATTAACTTTCGTTGTTAGGGCAAACACTCACCATGGGTCGACAGTTAATTGAGGCACCAAATTTTTCAATCATATAATCAACTCGCCGAGCTAATCCTTTATCAACAATTAAATGCAATGGAGTGCGATCTTGACAATCAGCGATATTTGAATCAGCTGAGTGACTTTGAAGAAACTTAATCCAACTATCCTCAGAATCACAGGCAACAATATGTAAAGGTGTTTGTCCTTCTCGCTAATTAAAGGTGGAGAAACAATTAAAGGGTTAATTGTCGATCGTAATTTAGTTAATATCGATTGTAACTCACGTTCTGAATGTTAATATTAGCACCGTAATCTAATAAAACTCTGAACATTTCGATGTCTCGTTTTCGAGTTGCCATATGAAGAGCTGTGTCTCCAAACTTTTTCCTCTTCGATTCTAATTGTGATTTACTATTAATTGTTAACAATTCTCTCACTAATCCAGTGTTTTGCATTTCAACAGCAAAATGCAAAGGAATGTAACCTTCCTGGAAGAGAATCAATCAATCAATATTAACGATTAGTGAATTTCTGTTGTAACAATTAAGTTAATTACTAATTTACCGAATCAGCAGCCAATCTCATTTCTTCTGGACATGATTTGAGTAGCATTGAAATCGGTCCTGAATTTGGACCTTTCAATTTACGAATCAACATATGAATTGGAAACTCTTTTTTAATCTGAAGGAAAAGCAAAAATTTAACCAATGAAAACAATTAACTTGATTCTCTAGATTAATTAAAACACAATCACTTCGTTAATTAGGATAGTTGATAAGTTTTGCATATTAATCATGAAAGTTTTGAGATTCTCATTGATTAAAAAAAAAGGAAAATACAAAATCAGTAAATTTTTGATAATCAAAGGTAGTTAATTATTAATATAAAACATTAATTATCCTTCTAATTATTAGAAAATACTTTTAATTATTAAATATAATCGTTGTCTTGGTGATCATGATAAACTAAATCATTTGATTCAAACAAATGTATCATGAGATATTCAGCTCTCTCTCTCTCTCTCACTCACTCACTCAATTGATTAAATATTCATAAGTATCTACTCATTGATTTAGTTAATTGTAATTAAATATTCTTACCCCTCCTGAAACCATGGGATCGGCTTTAGCTGATATCAGAATTTTCATCAATTCATCTTTGCCCGATTGAGCAGCTAAATGAAGGGCAGTTATACCGTTCTGAAAACCATGAGCATTACCATGAAATTGGGATTGAGATGATCAATTGATTAAAATTTTTCCAAATCACTTGAAGGTCATTTTTATTAGAGTAAAATAAAATTTGATTAATGAACTTACCTCAGTTTGTGTATTGATATGGAAACCATACTTAATCATCCTCTCAAGTACATCAGCTCTTGATGATTTAACAGCAAACATTATTGGAGAGTAACCCGTAACTGGATCAACTGAACTTAATCCGATGTTATTATTTTCACTTGGATATTCATCCATAAGCTCAATCACCCGATTCCAACTTCCCTTTTTACATAATTCAATGAATCTCTCTGGTCCTGGTTTGGGTGGTTTTTTGGGTTCCATTGGCTTTTTCCCTTTAACCAGATTACCCTTTTTACCAGCAACCGATAAGAGAGCGACAGTTTTAAATTTTGGACGAAACTTGGCTCGATTAGGATTAACATCATTCGGATTAACATTTGGATTAACATTAGGATCATTTGATGTGTTCACTTTTAATTCACTTTTGTCATCTGAGATTATTGATGATTCCTTATCATTACCATTAGTAGATAATTGTTGCTGCTCTGATTGTTTATTATTACCAACAGTTGATTGTTTTGATTTATCTGGTTGATTGGATTCACTATTAACCGTTTCTTTAGGTATCACAATTGGTGGATTAACTTTTGAACTTGTATCAGCTGATTTCAGGGAATTGTCACCGATTGGATTTAATTGTTTCGATGTTCGTACAATTGATCTGACAACTTTTGTCGTTTTAACAAACTTTTTACCTTTTCGTTGATCAATTGATTGTTTTCTCGGTTGAGATTTAACATTTTTCACTTGGATTTCACTGGATTTACCTTCATTTCTCACAGAATTGACATTCTCCTTTTCTGAATCTTTACCTGTGGCCTTATTTTCACTTTCCTGATTATTATCAACACTTTTTTCATTCATTTGGATAATGAATTGTTAATTGGTGACAATCAGAATAAATGATGAACATTGATTGAGTTGATAGACTTATTAGTCTAAAATTTTTGATGATTTAAGGAAAAGAGTGATGAATATATAAAAAAGAAACATGAACAAATATTCAACTTGAAGATTCATCATGTAACAAAATAATCATGATACTTTTACATGGAAATGATGGTCAGAGGAAATTTACTCAAAGTTCCAGTGAATTCTGATTCAACCATGCATACAGAATTGAATGGTTACCAAGGATTTTATCAGACAAAAAGAGTCAAGAATCAGAGTGAGATTCATGATAATAGTTGATTTCAACTGATTGTGATCATGATGATGTTGATCAAATGAAGAATCCAAGCCGAAGACTTTCAATCGATCAAATTGATTACAATAATAATCACGTAGTTCTCATTTGGTTGGTCATCCAATTAATGATTGAACAACAATTTAGATCATTGAAATGAAGGGAAAGTAAAAACCTCTAATTGTTATTGATATAATTTCCATGATAAACTTTCAGGTTGCAATTAAATCACAGAGAGATTCTCATTGTTTTCATCAAATTGTGTTTACGATTTGTTGTGTTTTCGATTAATTTTCAAGAGTTAAATTGTTACAATCAACCGACCAAATCAAATGAATAAATCATTTGGATAAACATTCTGGATGGAAAAAGGCTAAACAATTAAAATAAATTGTTCCCATGTAATCGTAAACTTAATCGGTAGGAAACAAAAAGGACAATCAAAATGATTAAATCACAGTTAATTAAACTTTGGCCCAACTGTATTATTATCCTATGAAAGTGTCACGAAGATTAATTTTTTGTTCATATTGTTATTATTATGGTTGGATTACTAATTTAATACAATTTAATCACGAATCTATTTATCGTTGTAAACTCAATCTACTCAAAGGATTTTGCTTGTGGACAATTAACTCATTTTTGAGATTAATTTATGATCAGCATCATAAACTATTAACCTTATTGTGGACTTTAATATATATTAATTAATTTATTCAATGAAATATAATCTTGTACTAATCAGACACGAGAAGTTAACTAATCATGATCAATGTAATTCAGTTTACTTGAAACAATTTAATTCTGATTCTTTGGTAGGTTTTTAATCTCGTAATTACTTCAGTGCCGAATTGAACAAACTTGACCATTAGAATTGACCCTTAGGAGTTTATCGAGCAAAGAATTGTCTTATTGGAAGGTCATTTGAATATCTTTACATGAAATCGCTCTGAATTTCGTGAATTTATCTGGATAAGTTTCATTTTCGTTCGGATAGTTTTCCAAAATTCTGACAATTTGATATATTAATTCATTTTCCTCTACGTTCATGGCTCATGAATGAATTTCCCTGAATTCTGAGCATTAGATTAACCATGACGATGAACAGTAATTGTCAATCAATATTATTATTATCGTCACTTGATCAGCTTAACTATCTGATTAACGAGCACAATTTAAGATGGACTTACTATCCCTGAGGCTATTTAATGTTGAGCAATTGTTTTTGTTGTTTTCTCTTTCATTTTAATTGTACACAAGGTAAACTGACAATTAACAAAGTAATTTAGAAAATTTAAAAACAATTAAATGGAAAACTAAATTGGGAAGTTAATTGTTGTATGTGTGTGTGTAAAGGGATGATTATGATTAAGTTAAATTGTCGATCGTGTCGTGAACACCATTTCCTTGTTTCTTGGTGTATCATAATAGTTAACAGAAATTTCTGTTAATTGTTATTTAACCAACAACAATTAACTCACAATGATTAGTGTCATTGGTACAATTCAAGTTTCAAGTTTATTATTGAAATAATTTAACAAATTAACAAACAACAGTGATGAACATGATTATGATTATGATGACCTGTTAATTGTTAATCTTATTGTTTTAAACTGGAAACAGTTAAACATGATTATAATTATAATGATATAAATACAATGGTTTATTTATACAATTAAAACGGAAATAATTTTGATCTTGAAAGTAAAAAAGTAAACACAATCAACAATTTAACTTAAATCACGCAATCAACTAAACAATTAAAATACGGACAGAGAAATAACAATCAGCAATTAAACATTAATTGCTGTCAGAATTTTTATTCTGATTTCTTTGAAAATTAAATATACATACACAATTAACTTATAAAATTAATTAATTAACAAAAAAACAAACACCTTTCTTGATTATCTGAGTTACAATTAAATTAAATTTAATGAAAATTTTTTTTCCTCAAATTTTTGGTTATTTTTTAAACCAAAAGATGGCGATAAATTTTTTTAATTGTTTCAATTGTAGTCACCTGATTATCTGAACAATTAAAATTTAACTTTGAATGTAATGAGATTAACCTAAAGTAATTAACTGATTGAGGATCTTAATTGTTGCAGAAACAACAACTACTATCAAGAAAACAAATTAAGTCAATCGATTAGACTAACTAATAGTTGGTTTGATTGTTGCAGATAAATTTCATTATTTCAACAATTAACTAATTCCCATGTTGATTTGGTTAGTAAATTATGACAATTATGATTGTTAATGTTAACATAATAAACAATAATTTAAAAGTAATTTGAAATGAATGAAATAACAATTTACCTCTACTGTTGATGATTAAGGTGACGTTTAGTTAACATAAATCAAAATGTAACTCTCACAATTTAATGTTCACAATTTAGTTAACCATTTAATTACAATTTCAGATTCTCAATGGTCATTTGTAAATGTACATTTCATTATCATCTACGATAATGATGATGATGACCAGGAAAAGGAACGAGAAAGAAAAACTTTCACTTCGAACCTGTTTCGAGTTTCGAGTGTTAATTAACTGATGATTACCACGAATTGAAATTTTTCAGGTACTCAGATGGTTCACATGGTGAAAGACAATTCGAACCGTGTGAATATTATCATAATATCGTAATAACATTTAATCGTAAATCATCAAATTAACCTTGAACATTTTGACGAAACTTTTCCCTTCGTTGTTTCAATTTCGTTGTAACGAAATTATTATTACATTTTCAATTCTTTGGGTTAATCATTTAATCAAATTGTTTTTCTTTCCAAATGTCTACTAAATTGTGGTGGAAATTATCATAATTATTATTTAGACACAAGTGAGAGAATCATGATTGATTAGTTAATTAAATTGTTAGGCCTAAATCATGATTTGAACAACTTTTAGTTAGTTGGTTAACAATTAAACTTTTTTTGATTGGTTGAATTTACTAAATCATTAAATGAGAAAATTTTTTAAAACTTTCATTATTTAAATAATGATAATAATAGTTAATTATTAATCTCATGTTTTCAATTAACGGTAAATCACCTGTTATCTATTAAATGATCAACAATTAACTGATTCATGTACACAATTAACAATAAGTATGGTAAAATTAATTTATTTATACTTAAATAGTGAACAGATTAATTTTTAACAATCAAACAAATTGTTGATTAAAAAGGAAAAGTTAATTGATTAATTAACTAAAAAATGAACAATACAAATTAACTTACAGTTAGTTAATCATATCGATCATATGAAATGAATTTAAATTAATCATCGGCAAGTATTAATAATAACTGAATGTTGCTCATTGATTGTTAACCATTAGGTTATTGATATCGTTTACAATCAATAAATTGTTGACAACTTTCATCAAAATAGATTAGATTTTTTTTTCCTCAACAATTTAAAATCTTTTGCCAATTTCAAAGTGATAATCAAATAGTTTACCTGTGAATGATTTGCTTGGTTAATCTTGCCTGATGATTGACTGGATTAGATGATTAACAAAAATACCAAAACGAGATTAAATTGTTCAGCAAACTATCAACAATCAAGTTAATGATCAACACTGGAAGATTTTCATTTGAGTAAATGATTTACCATTTAACTGGATTGTCAATGTTACCCTATCACAATCAACAACAACAATTAACTTTACGATGATTAAAACCAACTACGGTTTTCTCATTAATGATTAGTTGAAATGGTTTTTTTTTCTCGCACTTTAAATTGTTGATTAAAGTTAAATTAACCTGGTTGATAATTATGACAAGGATGTTAATTGTTAAGAATGTTAATCAAGTGAAAAAAAAGTTAATTGAATTGATGTAACAACAATCAATTGGATTTACCTATCAATCACAATTGTTTTTACAATTGAGCTTCTGTTAATTGCTAAGAAATTGACTATTTAATTATTATCATTCACAATTGAATTAAGTTGGTGAGAAAATTGTGTTTATCAATTGAATAGGATCCTATTAATTGTTAATTGTGAATGATTATTATTAGCTAGAGTTTTCTAATTGTGATATTGTGAAAAAGAGGACAAACTTGTCCAACAATCAAAAGGACCCATTGATTGTGAATGGGTTCAATTTAAAATTAAATTAGATGATGATTACAATTTAACAAGGTTATTGAGGTTATCAGTTAATTTGATTTAATCTTTAAGATAAAAATCATGATTAACTTGCGAATTAGTTAAGTTAATCATTGGCTGTTTATATCTTTTAATAGCAATTTAATAGACAATCAATAGTTAATCATAATCATTGACATTTCTCATCAATGATTATTATTTTTGTCAGATTTTCTCATTTCAACTTAATCAAAAAAAACTTTTTTAGAACTTTTTCTTTCTCGTCGAATTGTATTCAATCGAGCTAATTGATTGTTCAAAATTAAACAATTTAAATTCATTGTTAATAATAAGCTAAATTTTCATTCCATAATAATGTCATACGTTGTTGCTAATAAATCAATCAATAAATTGGATCGCGAGATTAATTTTCAAATGATTGTGTTGATAGGAAAAGGATTTTAATCTCGTTGGTTTGATTGTAAGGCCAACAGTTAACTCCAATTGTAAACAATCACGGTAGAACTGAATTAAGGTTTTAATGTAAATTATATTTTACGACCAAGACAAGAATTGAATTGTTCGTTATAAATATCAATAGAGTAATAATAATTAGATAATAACTGTAGTATCAGTAAAAATAATAAGTAAACAAGAATATATTATTCATGAATGAATATCCTTAATCTACTAAATCGTAGTACTCATCAACTTTTATCGAGTTTAATTTGATCATTCAAATGATTATCATAGACTCGTTACTTGGTTTGATTGATTATCAACTTGTCCCTGTTGATTTCTGATCATTTTTGTAACAATTAAAATCCATCAAAATTTTCTGGTTGAAATTTTTTCAAAACTGATCCTTACAAATTGAGAATTACGAATTTCTGATTGAGTTTTCCCATCGATTGACAATTAACCGATTGGAATATTGCAACTATTCAATTGCTATTGGAAATCAAATTCTATTAGAAGGTGACCCTTGACCCTTGTGATGGAGCTTCTATTTTCCATCTATCTAGATTTCTAAGCAATCGTACTAATCGTAGTTTCGGTTATAGCCTTTATTTAGATTCTTTGACGACATTTCTATCAGAATCGTGAATCGTATTAATTGTTGGAATATTATGATTATAATGTATGATAACAATTAGCTAATTCCTAATTTATCATAATCATCATCAAGTTTTAGGTTGACAACTTCCGGTCATTTCCTCCAATGGGTTAAATTTGTCGAAAATCTTAATCACCAGCGTTAAATTAGTTAATTATATTTTGATATGGTCACGATTAGAAAAAGTAATGTTAGTTATTAATTGTATTCGTTTCATTAAATTTAATTTACTTTTCTCAAATTAAAAACAATTCAGGTCAACTGGAAGACCAAATTGTAACTAAATTGTATATCCGCTCATCTTAATCACAATTTCATTAAGTGTTATTAAAATTTTCATGATGATTAACTAATTTTACACGATCAAGATGAGTTAATTTAGTTTGTTCTTTTTCCAATTGTAAATCATTACCTTTAATTATATTTACGAATTTGATTTTGTTGTTGTTGTTACTGTAAAGAAAGAAAGAGAGAGAGAGAATTAAAATATCATAATAAAAATAAAAAAGTTCTAATAAACATTCAAGTTCAAAATTCCGTCAAAGGTTAATCTTAATCAGAATAATCTGAATCAGAAAACTTTGGGAACTTTTCTCATGTTAATCAATCACAATCGAGTTACTTATTCATCAAGTTAAATTGTTCATCTTCGTCTTGTTAACGATGATTATGATGATGATGATGATGATGATAAGGATAATAAAGCACGGACGATGCGTGCTCAGAGCTATAACAATGTTGGTTAATTAGGTTAATTTGCATAAGAATTAAATGAATCACTTTTCTGGAGCGGGTTTAATTTTCAATTGCGAGTAAACATTTTCAACTCCAATCGACAATTTTATCATTGTGGTTTTACGTTAAGTTGATTGTGTTGATTAACGTGAGTGATTATTACTATTTATGTAACATGATTAAAGTTAATCAACAAGGATAACCCTAATTGTTAGTTAATTAAGGTAAACTGTTAAAGATGACTGATGATGATAATGTTATCAATTTCAATCTGATTGTTAATCAATTTGCTATTTTTTTTTTGCTTACACTTGGATTTTAAAATGATTTCAATTAACTTTTAGTTGATTAGTTATCAGATGATTGGATTAATTTGATTCAATTGTTAACACTTTTACCCTTGATTATGAAGGGAAAAAGGTTGATCAAATCACTTGCGTGGGCTGATTTTGTATTATGTTATTTAATTGTTTACCTTAACAAAATACTAAAATATTATCATTAGTTAATCAACAGGTTGATTAGTAAAGTGATTAAGGTAGGGTAATGGACGTCAATGATAATAGATTGGCAGTGAACCAAGTGATTAGTTAATCAATTTCAACAGCTAATGATGAGGATGCTAATTATTAGCATGGAGAAAGAAATAAAAGTTGATGTAATTTGCTCACAATCAACTTGATTGTTAACAATTAACGCACTTTGATGATCCTTGGTGAATCAATTGTGATGAACAACTTGCAAATGTAATCTCTTAATCTTGATTATGTTTTGAAACAATTAACGGTACAATTTATGATAATCTTTTAGAGGGATAATAAATGAGTAAGTAAAAGACGGAAGTTAATTTGTTAGCGTGATTGTGATGATTAAGAATCCAAAATCCTAGGGAATTAATTGTTGCCGTGGACAATCAAGAAAAGAAGAGGATAATCAAGTTAATCATCTTGAGTTCTCATCTTGATTAACATGATTGTCACCAAACATCCGAATGTTTATGTTTTACATGATAACAATTAACGATCACAGCGACAATTAATTAGTAGATTAATTAGCAAATTGTTGACTATATAGTTGATCGATTTTAAATTTATCTCAAAATTAACCTTTAATTAATTAGTTTTATTAATCACGATAACAATCAAGAAAATTTGAACAAATATTATTTTAACAATAATCACTGATAATTAACCTTAATATTGTTTTGTTGATTTGTTAATTGTTCACTGATTGTGATACTTATATTATCAGTTGATCAATTTTAACTGTGTAGACAGATGTTAATTGTTACCTTGATTTGATTATTACCAGAATATGAAATCAACAATAAAGTATTAATGAAAGAAAAAAGTTTTTTTTTTCCAAACAATTAACTAACTAATGATAACAATCAACTAAATCAGATGAAATCGCAAAAAAAATTAACCAATTCAAAATGATAATATTAAAAGTAAAGAGATTAAAGTTAAATCATCATCATTTGTTACTGGATTAGTAAATTGTTGTTTACCATCAACCGTGAAATTTACTAATCATGATTATCCCTATTTGCTAATCAAATTTAAATTGTTGTTGTTTGTAAATTATTGTTATTAACATTTTCCATTTCAATAATTTAAACGTAAATTACCTTGGTCATGAACTTTAATTCGTTGATTGTTAGTAATTAAATTATCTTCTAATTACCAGATAATCAATACATAAAGAAACTCATCTATTGTATCCAATTGAATTAACCGTTAATTGTTGTAATACTTTCACCAAATACCACTAATTGTTTTTCCACAATCATGATGATTAAAAAATTGTTTATTCCATTGATCAAATCAACTAATTTCATTGATTGATTTTCTCTCACTCTTTTTGATTATGATGAAGACAAAAGTTAATTAAGATTTCGATGCTCCATCAAATGTTAGACTAAAACTATCGTAAAGATAATTAGTCTGATATTTTAATTGTTTCAATTAAACTTGTTGATTAATCAAGTTAACTGGTGAATAAAATGTTCACAATTTAATTTGTCTGATTGTTAATTCTGGTTTACAATTTGTCTCTGTGTCTCTTTTCAATGGATCAATGAATTGATGAGAATTAAAGAAATCAGAAAATCTTTTTCTTTCCAATTCACTTAATCCATACCAATTAAACAATTCTCACCTTTCTCATCCTCATCCTCATCTTCATCCGCATCCCCTTCACTCATCATCACCTATCAAAGGAAACGATAACCTATCAAAATATGAAATTCACCTTTCTAATTGTTATAAAAGTAAAACTTATTGTTAAACTTTAACCGAAAATCAAATTAAACGTTTAATGATCACTAATCAATGTAATTAGTTATTCTCGATCGTGACAATCAATTGTTAATTAATCCTCGATTCTTTCAATGATAAACATTGATTACTTATCATCGCAATCGAAAGCAATTGTTTGCAATTGAATTAATTTTCCCCACGATTAATATTCAATAAATCATAAGTAATGAATTAAAGGTGAATTAAGCAAATGATCAAGTTAATTGTAACAATATGATCGTTGGAAAAGTTTTCTTCATTGATAGAATTGAAAATTTTTCTCTTGCAAATGGAAGATTTTTCTTCTCGTCGTTGGTTCTTCCCAAATGATTGTTATCTTCTTCTTCTTCTTCTCTATCATCATCATCATCATCATTCAACCTTCCCAATAAACAATTGGCTCCCTGAGTGAGTCTCTCATCCTCCAAGTGAGAAGAAAAAAGTAAAAAAAAAGTCACTCAAATGAATCTCTCACTCGCAAGACAAGTTTCAATTGTTGTAGTTACAACTTTTTTCACAATCAACTGTAGTTTTCTTGTTTACTATGATTCCAAGTAAATCTTCAACTTTGATTTAGTTGTGATTAATTGCGACAATTTTGATTACCTTACCATTGTGATTTACCTTTAATTGTGTCTCGGAAAACCTTTTCGTCAATGGGTTTCACAAGGAATATCAATAATCAACAACGAAATCATCACTATCATCATAACCATAATCATAATCACAATCAATTACATAATCAAGCAAATACTTCACATGCAAGTAAATCAATTGGTGGATCATCAAATGTTCATCATCATGTTAATCATTTACCTCAACGAAAACCATTTACCAATCCAGTTAACGGAGGTTTAAGAATCAATGGAAATCAATCTTCACATGTATCAACTAATCAGATTAATTCTTGTGCTAATTCAGTTCCAAATGTTTCATCATCATCATCATCTCCACGTGAGAATCAAGTAAATCAACAGGTTAATCCATCAACTAATGGTAATAATAATAATAATAATCATCACCATCCAATCGGTTCAACAGCGACAGGAAAAGTTAATCATCAGCAACAATCAGCATCAACCAACAGCGCGAATCAAAATGTAAATGGTCATCATCCTAATCCATCATCATCTTCATCTTCATCGACAACATCATCGACCAATTATTCGTACCTTCGTCGACTTTGCCGTGAAAGAGGAATACTTTTCGAAGATGCAACTTTCTCTCCAGGTAATAGATCACTTTTCGGTAAGAAAGATGTACCTTCATCATCTTCATGTAATTTTCTGTCCAAAATTTCATCATCCATTGTTTGGATGCGTCCATATGAGATTTGCTCTCGTCCAAAGTTTATTTCCGCCTCCCCATCAATGGAAGGTGGAACCACCTCAGCCTCACCTATTGGACGTTTTGACGTTGAACAGGGTGAGGCCATAATAGCGATAACCGCTTGTTCTAGTAACAAAAGTTCATCTTCATCTCCATCATCTCTTTTACTTCCAACTTTATCTTCCTCATCAAACTCTAATCACCATCACCACCATCATCATCATCACCATCATCATATTAATAACGGAAATGGTGGTGGGGGCGGTGGTGGAGGAGGAGGAGTAGGAAATGGTAATATAAATGGTCTTAACGGACACTCTGGTCTCTCAGGCGGAATCATTGGAAATTCAAATTCTTCTCCATCTTCATCATCCTCATCAAACAATTATCTTTCTTCAAAAACAACTTGCTCATCTCTCCTTTCGGCCATTTCCTGTCTCACCTTGACTCCATCGCTTCTTGATCGAGTTGTACCTTCCGATCAATCCTTTTCACCGACAAATTATTCGGGAATATTTAGATTTAGATTCTGGAGATTTGGTGATTGGACTGAGGTAATTATTGACGATCGACTACCAACTTATAAAGGTCGACTTCTTTTCCTCCGTTCAGCTGATCCAACTGAATTTTGGGTTCCACTTTTAGAAAAAGCTTATTCCAAAATGTATGGTTCATATGATTACTATTTGAAAAACTGTTTCACCGCTCAAACATTACAAGATTTGACCGGTGGGATCGCCCAATCGTTTACAGTTCCTCATCATGATGGACACATAATCTATCAGATGATTAGCTCAGCCGTTCCCAGATCAACTCTTCTTTCAGCTTGTATCTCATCTATTCCTCCTTCAGAAGCTCCTGCATCACTTTTATCTTTATCGGGTGGAGGGTCAGGGTCAACACCTTTCACCCCGTTTAGTTCATCTTATTTATCTTCAGGTCTTTCCGTTGCAATGAATAAACTTCAACCTGCTCGACTTCGTAATGGACTAATAACCAGACAAGCCTATTCGATAACAGGATTAGCAAGGGTTAGAACACAATCAAGAGGTGGTCTATCAAATCACAATCATATCCATCATCATGCTCATCACCATGCTCATCATCATCCATCTCATTTGCATCATAATCATCATGCTTATGGAACTGGGCACATTAATCAAATGACAACAGGAAATGTTCCCAATGGAGGGTTTCCAATGACCTCTGGATCGGCAAGTAGCCTTGAGGTTGTTTTAATTAGACTGAAAAATGCTTGGGGTAAAGGTGAATGGAATGGCCCTTGGTCGGAAAGGTCATGGGAATGGGATACACTTTCTGATCGTGATAAAGAAGAGCTCTCAGCTCGGTGTAGAGATGACGGTGAATTCTGGATGTCATTTGATGATTTTCTAAGATTCTTTACTCACCTTGATTTAGTTCACATTGGTCCTGATGATTGGATGGCTGAAACAGCCTTACACCATAAAAGACCCTGGAGAGCGGTTCTTGCCCGTCGTCGGTGGAGATATGGTTTCAATTCTGGTGGTTCACCAGAGTTTAAAGATACTTTCTCAACCAATCCACAGTTTCATATTCATATTCCCAAAAATGGTCTCAATAAATGTCACGTTGTTGTCTCAGTTACTCAGCACTATTTACCAATTGGTTTAGCTGTTTATGCGACTCATCCATTCACAAAAGCAGAATTACAATCTCATCATCATCATCACCACCATCATCATCCTCAGCACCATCATCCATATCATTATTCACAACAAAATCAACTATTGATGCAATCATCAGCTCCATCACTTTCAACTTCAACCCAATTAGCATCTTCTCGTAATCAAGGTTCACCAGTTAGTCTTTATCCAATTGGATTCTGTGTCTATGAGGTTCCACCGGGAATGAAAAGATTAACCTCAGCGTTTATCGCTGCCCACCGTCCACTCGATGTAACCGCGTTTACCTGTACAAGGGAAACGGTTACCTTTTTCACTCTTCCTCCAGGCGATTTTATAATTGTCCCAAGTACAGAGAAACCTCATTGTGAGACCAAATTTTTACTACGAATCTTAACCGATGAACCAAGTACGATTTGGGAAGTTAATGATGATAACATTATTTTCACCGATATTTCAATTCCCAAGGTTATCGAAAACACTGGACAGGTAAGTTTACCATTGAACCGATTAATTAGCCAATCTATTCATCTCAATTAACTAACGATCGTCAGTAATTATCAATAGCCACACCAACGAGTAATTAATTACACTTAACAATTGATTGATTTTTTCTTAATATTTTATAACAACAACAATTGAATTATAGTTAATAACAATTTAAACTGTTCACCAATGATACTTGATGTGAGTTTGTTCAAGCCAAATGTAATTAACAATCAAATTATGGGTTAGGTAACAATTTAAATGATCAGTAAATATATATAACCATAAATGATAACGATTGTGATAATGATAATATAACAATTTAATTTTGAAAGGTAACTGATTTAGTGCCCTTTTTGTTTAAATCATCTTAGGTTAACAATCTAATTAATCATATTAATCGTTTGAGAAACTGTTAGATATTTAATTTTATGATAAACAACAATTTAAATAACCTCTTCAATTAAAGAGCTGGGTGAGGTTGTTTGTTTGACTGATTATCATTAAAATTTTGTTGTATATTTAACTTACTTTAATTGTTTGGTTAGTTAATCAGTTAGTTAATCAGGGGAAGATTTGATTTGATCATAATCACCGATAAAATTAATAATAATAAAGGTATAATCATAATGATGGTAACATCTTTATCAATCAGGTAAATCAAGAAATACAATCAATTGAATTGAATTGAATTTACAACAAGAGACCAAAAAATGAAAATCTAATAATAATATATTATCAATATGAATGAGAAAACTTAACAAATTAAGAAAAAAAAAGTTACGATGATTTAGTTTGATTATTGTTTGATTATCTTGATCCATTCTGTGATTAACTATTATTAATATTTTCGCTTAATTGTTAATACATATAATTTGTTTCGTAAGTATAATATCAAGTGAGGAAAGTTTGTTTGTCCATGACAACGATAACTTGATGATTCCCGGAAAAAGAAATGAACACAATTGAGAAATTGTTGATTCTCTCTCTCTCTCTCTCTCTCTCTCTCTCTCTCTTGATTGTCGAGAGGAAGAAAAAAAAATAACCAACATGATCAAGAAATTGAACCAATGTCATGATTATGTTGATTGTTATGGTAAAGAAAACAAAGACATTCATATGTGTATTGGAAAAAGATGATGAGGATGCTACTGAAGAGAGTCATCAAATTGACCTTGAATAATGTGAATTAAATGAGTAGCCAAATGATTAGAGATGGACATGGTTCATCAGGGACAATCAACAGTAGATGGAAGAAGAAGAAAAAAAGTAGAAAGGATTAGAATACAATTGAAAAGAATCTGATGATTTTGTTAGAGAGAAAAAATCATCGGTAGGTCACGAGTAAATCGTTTTCATCATCATCATCATCTTCTTTATTTTCCTTTGATAATCAACATGATCATCAATTGTCAATGGAACACTGAATTTCAAGGTTACTCTCTATCGTAATTATTATTACAATCAACAGATAAATCCCGTTGTACGGAAGTAACAATAATATAAATTGTTGATTATGATTCACAATCATCATGATGATGATTGTGATGTGAAAGATGATGAGGATGAAATTAAGAAAAGAATAGAATTTAATGTTGATTTTTCTTCCATTTTCTTTTTTTTTTTTCCTTCTTTTTGATTAACAATTTAAATCGACATTCTCTCCATTTAAATTCACTTGATCTGTTTTTTCTTGATCGTTGATTGTTATTTAAATTGTTACCTTTTATATTGTATTCTCATCTTGACATTGAAATCTCAATAATTTGAATTGATTATGCTAATTTTTACCTCGATTTGATTTCATTGCGAGTTTATTTAAATCAGTTTTTCACTTCTTGTGTTTATTAGATTCTGTTAATCTTATCAATCATTATAATCAGTAAATTGTTGATAACCTGATTTAATTTCAATTGTCCTTGATACCGATGTTGTTGTTGTTGATTATTACAATGAAGATGAGCTTTCAGCTTTTAAATGATTAACTGATTGTTTAGAGGTTAGAAAATAAATTATTTAAATTAACCTTTAATTGGTTGAATTTGTGTAATTATCGTTTCCACAATTGGCTTTATTTTTATCAACATGCAATTGAACAATTTAAAATAACAATCAAGTTGTGATGTTAATTGTTGTATATTATTATTGTTGAAAAAATTTACTCAATTGGTTAATTTAATTTCCTTATTATCATTGAGATTAAAAACTAATCAATCTAACTAATTACAGTTTTGTTGACAGTTAATTTTCAATCGGTGATTTTTTTTTGTTCAATTGATTAAATTGTTTACCTTTTTCCTTTACTTAACCTTTTCGATTAGTGATCAATTAAAATCAATCCTAATTGTAAAAGATTATCATTAGCTAATTGTGTAAATTGATGATTCCAGTCACGGTGAGAGTTAATTGTAACAACCAAATACCGATTGTTATGCTTTCGATTGACCATCAATCTTAAATTGATTTCATATTATACTAATTGTTAAAAGAATGGAAAAAATATTTCTACTCAATCAAACCAAATTCTAATCAATTTTCTCAGTTGAAATTAGTTAATTGTTACAAGAATCAAATGTGAACAATTGTGTACTAATCGAAAACCCTTCGAACTTTATTGTTGTACTTTCTTAATAGAATGGACAAAATGTTCTAAATCGTTTGATCGCTAAGCTACCTAACGAAATCGACGCCGCTTTGTTACTCAAAGTTCTAAAAGCTTATTGGAAACGTAAGTTTGACATTCGAATAGAATATTAACTTTTTTTTTTCGATCTTTCTAACAACTAATTGTTAACAATCAACAGCTCTTAATATCCTTTACGATAAACCATCAATGGAGCTTTGTCGATGTTTAATTATGCTAAAAGATTCGACAATTACTGGTAAATTAATCGTGACCGAATCTTTGGCTTCCCTATTGAATATGCTCCATTTTTGGAGAACCATTTTCACTAAACATCAATCAAATTCTCATCACAAAGTTTCATCTTATAATTTTCGTTTGGTTCTCTGGGAAGCGGGAATATCAGTTTCGAATAAAGTTCTAGAATGTCTTGTAATTCGATTCACAAACAATTGCGCTCTTCTCAACCTCGAATCGTACCTACTTTCTCTAGTCAAGTTACACCTTGCCCATGGTGAGTTCGAAGCCCAATTGATACTCAAACATAACATTCGTATTCTAATTGTAAATTGTTAATTGTTTCTTCTCAGATCGTTATCGTAGTTTAGAGAGGAAAGGAAAGAATCAAAATTTAACATTGGAAGAGGTGAGTGTGTTTAACAATTAAGTGAACCTTTTCACTGATGATCAACTTTGGGTTTAACAATTTATTCTTGTATTCTATCAACCGTTACAATTGATTCTGTTAATCATGATCATCATGTCAGGTTGTTGATTGTGAATATCATTCAGTTAACTAGAAAAATTTTCTCTCTTCTCAATTGTTCTGGTGATTAGATTTCAGTAAATTGTTAAACCAGTTTTTCTTTGCTTAATCATTTTCTTGAGAAATTTAATCCAATTCAAATTAATTGTCAACTGATTCTCTTCATTTTCAGATGATTCTGTTAACCACTTATTCATAATCATAGTTATAATATAAATTGTTCAATAGAAATTAAATCTGTTAAAATTTCTAATTACTTTTCATTGATTAATTTTTGTAATAATTTAAATTATAATAAAAACATTTTTCTAAAAACTAATTAGTTACAATTAGCGATTCATATTATTTATTAGATGGATAAGTTAATTTTGGGATTAAGATTATTAGAATTAAGTTAATTTATTTAAACTGGATAACAAAAAATAACTTGTTCATTTGATTTGCAACAATAATAATTAACTTAAAATGACTAAAAATAGGTTTTTAAGAACAATTAATTGCTCTGATTGAGTTATATATTGCCAATGTTTAAATTATTTTCTAGCGAAAATGATTCCAGTTCGAGAAGGAATGTAAATCATCATTGAATTAGCACGTCCAGCAAAATCTTCTGGAGAAGTGAAAAAATCAACTGAATGATCCAACCTTTGGAATCCACCAAATTCAGCTGAGTCTGAGTCAAGAATCATATTGTACTTTCCAGGTTCATGAACACCAACTTTGTAGTCTGGAAAAGATTTGGTTGGATGAAAATTGAAAACAAAAAGACATTGGGATCGTTCAAATACAACAACTTTGTCTTGTTGATGTTTCCAGGAAACATAACCAGAATCATCGGCATTTAACCAACGGTACTTTTCTTCCAGGGTATTCATGGCTCGATCAAAATTACCAAGAAACTTGTAACGAAGAAGATCATCATCTACAAGATTATACTGTCGACGAGCATAATGGTAACTACTATTGTTACCAGCTCGAGGGAAATCAAGCCACTCTGGATGTCCAAATTCATTGCCCATGAAGTTTAACCAACCCTCTCCACCGAGACCATGAGTTAACAATCTGATCATCTTGTGTAAGGCAAGTCCTCTTGAAATGGTATCTGAAAGGTAAAGTGAATCGTTTATAAGTATCAGTTTAAAAGTAATAATAATAACAACAATATTAAGATAACAATATAATGGATCAGATTACAAAGCAACTTGACGAGAAAATGGAGGAAATTAGCGGAAAAAGAAAGAGAGAATATGATGACTGGAAGAAAAGGGTAAAAAAGAAGAGTTCAACATGGATGCAAAATATTCAGTTCCATTGGTGAATCTCTTGCGATACTAATGGATAATAATAAAGAAAACAAGTTGGAGAGTAAGTGAAAAAAATAGCTAATCATTACCGGTCAATGGAGTCAAGGTTGACATATTGTCGTACATTTCTTTATCCATCAACCAGAAAGCAATTGTTTTGTCACCAACCAGAGCTTGATCATGAGATTCAGCATATGCAATAGTTTTTTCCTTCCACCGTCGGTTTGTAAGGGTATGGATAATGTTACCAATATCCCAATCTTCATCTCGCTGTTCTTTAAGTAATTCAATCCATTTATCCGGTAAAGCCATTCCAAGACGATAATCAAATCCACCTCCACCCTCTGAAACAGGTCGACAGAGAGCAGGCATTCCGGAAACATCTTCAGCAATGGTAATTGCATTTGGATGGAAAGTGTGAATCAAATGATTAGCCAATTGTAGATAATTGAAACTTTCCGTGTCCGTGTTAAGGCCAAAATATTCATTGTAATCACCAGAGAAACCATGACCAATACCATGTGAATGATAAAGAATCGAGGTAACACCATCAAAACGGAAACCATCAAATTTAAACTCTTCCAACCAATAATGACAATTAGAGAGTAAAAATCTTAAAGTCTCATAATTAGAGTAATTAAATAAACGTGAATCCCATAGAGTATGTTCACCTTTTGGACCATCATGAAAGTAATGACCATTGGTACCATCGAAACGATTTAAACCATCGGCCACATTTTTACAGGCATGAGAGTGAATTATGTCAAGAAGGACATAAATACCTTGTGAATGACATTCATCTATAAGGTGTTTAAGCTCATCGGGTGTACCATATCGAGAAGAGGGTGCAAAATATGAGGTAACTTGGTAACCAAAAGAGGCATAATAAGCATGTTCCATGATTGCCATTAATTGGATTGCGTTGTAACCCTGTTTCTTAATTCGAGGTAAAACTTTTTCTCTAAAATAATCATAGGTTGCAACCTTATATTCTGGACTACTGATACCAACATGACTCTCATAGATTTTTATATTAGTCGGTGGTGAAGGTTTCGACGATTTAAAGGTGTAACTTTTTTCCGGATTGTAGAAAACCTGATCATAGATTATTGATGTTTCTGGTTGTACAACGTAATTTGCCCAAGGTGAAATACGATCTTCAATGATTCCTTGTTTGGTTAGAATTCCAATTTTCAATCTATCACCATGTTTAATTGCTGGTTTACCATTGGAATCTGGTGGTATAATTAATTCCCATTTACCAAAGTCAAGTTTCTTATATGGATGGGAAATTGTTGACCAGTCATTGAAATCACCTTTAAGAAATAATCCTTCAGCTCCAGGAGCCCATTCGAGACAATGGACACTGTTATCAGGTTCAACATGGATTCCAAATTGTTTATAGCTCTCGAGGAAACCTTTTATCCCCTCATTTGAACCAATTGAGTCCAATAGTTGATTAAAATGTTGATATCGACGTTTAATCTCATTTTCGTGTAACTTTAAATATGGATCAAGTTTAAGAAGATTTGATAATTCGGGCGGAGAGACACTTAACATGGCACAAAGAGAAAGATAATACAAATTGTAGTTTCTTCGTTAACAAGGTTAATTGAAAGTCAAAAGAACTTTTTTTGTCTTTCTATCAATCAATTAATTACGAACAAAAAATAAATGAAAGAAAACAAATTAAAAGAAATCACCAAGGCTCAATCTTAATCTTTCTCTATGGAAGATTAACGTAGTAGGCGGAGTCTCTTTTTCGATTTGGCGGTCAATTTAAACTAATCAACTTTTAGAAAAGAAAAAGTAAATTTGGCGCCAAATTCAAATGAGAGTTTTTTTCGATTGAAAGAAAATTAAATTTTCTCTTTTTTTTATTTATTTAATTGTCGAGATTATTATTGATTTGATGTTGGAATTTTGTTCTTTTTTTGTTGTTGTTTCTATTAAAGGTTATTTGATATCTGATGAGTCTGGTAATGTTTATTGGATAAAGGGGGAGATTTACAATGTTTATGATATTGAACAATATTCATATATGATGAGAGTGCGATACTTGTGATGATAAATTGTCGAGTATCATTGACACCAATTAAATTTTATCTGATTCTAAGTTAATGAGAATTAAAGTTATTAACCAATTATCATTCATAAATTTATTCTTCTTTCTTTGTATCGTTTAAATTTTCTAATAAACATAAATTAGTTTCACTTGTTTTACTATTTACGAGCCAATGAGAAAGGTAACAAAATGAACCAACCTTTTTAATGATGAAGTGTAAATGAACAATCAAGAGATTTGAGGCCAGCTAAATTAGAATCTAGAATCGTAATTAACCTTTTTTTTTCAGTGAGTTAACATTTGATTTACAAAATTTCATCGAGCTAATTGTTGATCTTTTCTTAAGATTGGGCGGAAATGATTAATTGTTTTACCCTTGGGGCATAAAGATGACATTTTTTGACTTTCTCAAAAAGTGGAAAAAGAAACAACCAGAAGAAGAAAAAGAAAGAGAGAAAGAAAGAGAAGATAAATTGATGATGATGATGATGATGATGATGACGAGAATGACGAAAATGACCATGTTAATAATAATGATGATTCTGTTTCAATTGAATTTCAGTTAAATGATTAAGGTGCAGCCCGAGAAAAGCCTCAAGGTGAGTTGAGTATATTTTTCTCATTTAAAGTTGAGCATCACTTTCACTTTTCCTTTATTATTATGATAAATTCAGTAAATCATTGAGTTAATTGTTCTTGAATCGCTTCCAGAATCAATTCATCTTGTACTTTAAACATTGAAACAATCAGTAAATCTTAACAGTAACAACTTTCTGCCAATTTTTGCAACAACAAAAAAAACTAATCAATTGAAAATGGAGGTGAAAACAATTCTAGAAAAATTAACTAATTTCAATGAGAGAAAATTAAAACAATCAATCTCATCATAGTCTCTCAATTGATAGATAATAATAATATCGTGAAAATTGTGACAATGATTGAAAATTAAAACTGTAATAACAATCAGGCAATTGGATTAACTGATTAAATGATTATCCAATTTAACATTTTGTTATCCTCACTAATTTCTCAATCCTGACAATCGAGTTGATTACTTGGAAAATAAAGGAATCAAATTGTAAAAGCTTGAAGCAGTTAATCAAAACTTAGAATCAAACTAATAAATTATATTATGAGGCCCACAAGAGAAAAGTTTAGTTAACAATTTATTTAATTTTCCAACTTGACTTCTGTTAATATAAACCGAATCAACTTTTAAATAATAATAATATACACTTCCTTTAATTAGCATTCAATGAATTAAGAAAAATAAACTTAACCACACAGAGGAAAAATATCAACAATTAGGCGAATAACATTTAATCAAAAATGAGAATTAAATTAATAATCAACAAATCAGCAAATTAGTGAATCCAAATGATTCCAAAGGAAAAGGAAAATTAATTCACTCAAGGAGTTAGTTGATTTTTTTTTCTTCTTCCATTTTCAATGTTTATTAATACATTTTTTTTTTCTTCTTCATCATCATCTCTCTTATCCCTTACCTAACATTTTTTTTTCTCTCTCTTACCTTGGCCTTCTCCAAAATTTTTCTCATACCCTGAGGGCATGAAAACATGTTCCTTCTCCTTCTTGTTTCTCTTGTAACAATTTTCATCCTGATAATTTAAACGTTAAGAGACCGATCTGTTGTTCTTGATTGTTGTTTGTTGTTATTACAACTTCTTGAGTGTTGGAGTTTTTTTTCATATCATTGGGTTATTATTATCACACAGAACCAGAGAGAAGAGTCAAAGAAAAAATTGAAACACATGCTTGGGATGAGGATGAAGATGAAATGATCATCATCATTATCATCATTAAACTCACTTGGTTACTCTCTCTCTCTCTCTATTTCTCTCTTTCTGTTAATTTATTCACTTTCACAATTTCAAAGATACAAGTTGAAGTCTCTTCTTGAGAGAGAGAGAGAGAGAGAGAGAGAGAGAGAGAGAGAGAGAGAGAGACTCAAATTAACATAGAGAAAAAAAATTCTCACTTGAATTTGATGCTTGAAACTCACACTCTCTCATCATTTTGCATCTTCTTACCTTTTTTCATGTTTACTTTTTAAATTATCAACGTTAACAGTTTGTTGATTAACCATGATTATCATTCCAATAATGATACAGATCATAATCTTCATGATAATCAACCAATAAATGCAAAATAGATTCACCAATAGTTCACTTCTAGTTCCGTGATTATCTCGACACTATTTATCTCTCTATTTTTTTCTTGCTCTCCTTTTCTCTCTAACCACTGATCATCCCGAGAGATTTATGGTGACACCATAATCATCATTAGTTAATCTCCCTCTTTTTTAGTTGATCTTTTTTTTCCTCTATCACTTTTCTGTATCATCTTCACCCAACACCAGCAACAACACTATCATCATCATCATCATCTTCCAACTCTCTTCCTAAATTTTTTTCCTCTTCCCCTAAATGAGATTAAACCAACTACTACTACTGCTACTAATACATGTATCATTTTAACGGATTATCCGATAACCACCAAGAAGAAGAGGATAGACCAGGACATTGAGAAGAAGATGAAACAAATTTAACTTTATTCTTGATATTGAGAACAGTTTTTTTCTTATATTCCTATTCTCTACCTTTTAAATTGTATGAACAAGTTTCATGTTGATTTGTTGTTTATCAACATTCAACGATTACCTTGATTATCTTGGTGACTTTTTCTTAGATATTCATTATATTTATTACACTGTGAGTGTTAATATCTATCATCTGTTAATCAACCTGTAACCTCATGGATAGTAAATTGAATACGATTTATGTGGTGATGTATTAGTCGTTAATCCATGTTTCTTACCTAACACCTAAACCATTAAGTGGGTAAGTTGATCCGTTTTCTTATTCTCTTCATCTTCATCTTTTTATCATCATCATCATCATCTCTCTCTCTCTCTCTCTCTTTCTCTCACTCATTTTCTTTTGGCTTGAATCTCCTCTTTCACTTGAATGTGTCAAATTGATTCATTTCATGAAACCACAAACAAAATGTCTCCCAAAATATCTTACACTTTGTCGAATTTAAAAACTTTTTTTCTACATCATTTTCATCCTCATATTTATCTTCATCTTCAGTTTTTTCTTCTCTCCATCTTCATCTTCATCTTTATCTTATTCTCGTTAATTACCTTTGAGAGATTATTGCTTTGGAATAGGTTGATGACAGTTCTAAACACACATTAGCTTAAGGCATTTATAATGATCTCCATTCAATAAGCGTGCTCATATTAACGTACCTATTATAAGTTCATTTATTTACTAAATTATTATGTTATCGTTTTTAGTTGTTGTTTATCATCAATTGTCAATTGCTTTAGGTGACAATTTACCGTAACATTTTTACGTATTAATCAGATTAACATGTTAATTCAGTTTGACGATCTTTTTATCCATCTCTCTCTTTCTCTCTCTTCTTGTTACTGTTGATTATTTTAATCCAATTGCAACTTGTAATCAAAAAGTAATTCTTATATTAATCATTTGAAATTCATGAATTTTATGTAAACAAATCAATTCTTTATCCATGGTGATTATCATGATATACAGATTCGAGTGAAAAGTTTCGAGGATGAAAGAGAAAAAAAAACTTTTTCTTTCGATATGACAAGTTCGTTATCGACTTGTTGAACTGAGTTATTCAATCTTTACACCCACTCACCAGAATCTTTTTCATGATTCTGTAATCCTCCACAATTGACACTTGGATAATATTTGATTTGATTGTCAAATGCAAATGATTAATTAAATTAATCAAAATGATCATCATGAATATTTAACCAGAATTAACTGTAAACCAATATAATTATAAGTTAATTTTTATATAATAAATATAAATCATGATAGTTAATCTAAACATAAATCTAATCTTGTTAATGGCCAAGGAGAGACAAATTATTGATTGTTAATCATATCCAATCAATTAATCAAAATAATACGTTTCTTTAATCATTATTTTCTCGGTCAAATTTTACCCAATCAATATCATTTGATCACGATTCACTTTCATTGATTGTTAACCACCATCATCATCATGATAATGATTGAAACAATTTAAATTGATTAGCAATCGTTTTAATCAATTGGGATATTAAAGGTAAATAAAAATAACACTGATGATTTAATATCAATACAATTTGTCAACAATTAAACAATCAAACTAATACAAGAGTAAAGTTAAATGTTGATTGGTTAGTTAACTTATCAACTAATATATTGATCAGGATTAGGCTTAATTATTATGATGAAATAGTTAATAGTTAAAAAATGACTCATCTAATCATTTGATGAGGTTCAAATATCTTACCTTGATTTACAGGTTTTCATCACCAGGAACTTTGAATTAAATTGTTGATTTGATTGTAATTAAATATTAGCCTTTTAATTTCATCAGTTTAATGATAATTGCGATTAGTATTCATATATAATATTTATATATCTAAATTTATATAATTAATTGCTGATTATCAACAATTAATTACAGTAATCAATTGTTACAGTTTAAATTGATATTCTTGAGTAATTGAATTTGATATTGATCTTGATTGTTACTTATTATGGAAAGTTGGTTGTAATTGTTAGTTAATTGTTATCAATATTAAACATAAATGCTTATTGTAATAGTAATAATAATAACGATTATGATAACGATATGTTGATTAGGATGATTAAGTTGATTAAGTTGATTATCTTATTTGCTCGGTGATCTTAATCATCTTCAGGAATTGACCTTTTCCCTCCGATTCCCTCATTTCCCTCAAATCATATTTATAATATTTACCTTTAGGTTTTATATTATTTAATAATAATTAGTTAGTTAATCCATTCAACTTAATTTGATTGTGAACGTGGATAATCAAAATTAATCTAATTCAGTTGAATACATGAAGAAAAAAAAAGTAATAATTATTATTATTTAAAACGATAATCATAATCATCTTTAATCTTAACTTTTAATTTTGTTTTTTCCTTAAGCTCAAGATTATGATTATGATGACAAGATGAATTACAATTGATTGTCAGTTATAATTATTATTAAATTGTCTTAATTAAAAAATATAATACAGTCAATCATACAGGACAATTAATCAGCTAATGATTGAGAAACTTGATCTCAATGATTTTGTTTATTGTTTCATTTTACTTACCTGGTTGTTAATTGTTGTAACTAATTTAGTTTCAAGGTTAATCAAACTTTTCAACTGATTGTTGTTTCATTTACTTTTAATTGTATTGAATTTTAATTCATTAATGATTAGTTTTTGCTGTTGATTTTCAATTCACTCACATTTATTTATTAATAATAATCATATTTACTAATATCTGATTGATTAACTTGATTAGCAACGTAATAGTTTAATAATGATAATCAGTTAATTGTTAGTTAATTAGTACTCTAAGAATCACCTGCTAATGGTCATTTACCTTAATCAATTGTTGACAATCAAATGATTTCAATGTAACAAGACAATTAAAAGGATAATTATAATTACAATGTTTCCCCTGATTATCATTAATAATTGATTCCATTGCCAATAATCAGCTAATTGTTCACACACAATTGATACAATCAAAAGCTTCATTATCATTATTTGTACCTATTATAATACTTGTATCAATGGGATGAATTTTCAAACAATTAACTCGCAATCAAATTTACCGAGAAACAATTTCAATGTGAATTTCAATGGTTTAAGTAAATTGGTTTTGTTTCCAACGAAACTAAATTAACATATTTGAATAATTATCATTCCAAATATAAATTATGATTAATTTAAAAGTTCCAACGAATGATTGAGTAAATTGTTTCAATTTTACGAGAAGAAAAAAAAAGTTTGTAAGAATTTGGAATCATTGAAAAATCTCATTGATTCTTGGGACAAGTTAACAAATAATTAGTATAATTTATTAGCATTTGGAAAGAAGTAAAAAAGAAACCATGTAATTTATGAATTGAATCAAGAATTGATTGAGTTAACAGAATAAATCTGAAATTAAATCCTATCCAATTCTGACCTTGAATAATAATATAAGAGAGAGAGAGAGAGAGAGAGAGAGAGATGAAAAAGCAACACCATGAGCGACGATTCGAGTGACATGGTGAATGTTTATCTCTCCTTTTCCATACAAAATTTCACCGTAAATAATTTTAGTTATGAGTTAAAATCGCCATTCAACTAATTGTAACATAAATCAACTTGATTAGTGTTCATAGAGTCTTTTATATGTTAGCTCTTTTAACGATAATCTTAATTAATTCCTCGAATTTAAATCATCATCATCATCTTCTCATCTTCTTCAATTCCAATGGTCATTTCCAATTGATGAGACCAATCTTATTTTCCTCTTGTTCCAATTCAATTTGATTCCTTTTATATTACAATTGATTTGTTTTAAAAACTTTAATTATCCTCGGGTGTGTTTCTTTGGTTAGAAAGTTTCACTCAACAATTAAATTTAATTTAGTTTCATTTAGCTGTTGATTATAAGTGAATAACCTTCACTTGGTAATGATAATGTTTCATGTTAATCTTACCCTTGATTTCTGATTACCTGGTGGACTACAATTAACTATGCAACATATGTAAACTGGATTTAATGATGATGATATTAATTATTGTGATAATCTAATGGGAGGCAAGGATGATGATGATGATGAGAGAGAGACAAAGAAGACAAATCATTTTAATGAATTAAATAAACATTATAAGGCCACAGGTAAACTCATTCATTATTTATCATTTTGATTAGTTAAATGAATTAGTGAAACAAAAAAAAATATATCAACTTGAAAATTGGAATTAGTTGATCACGAAATGTAATCAATCAACAATTAAATGTTTACAATTCAATTTTAAATTTAATTTGATAAATTTAATCATTAGTTAACACATAGCTTTCTTAATTTACTCTATTAATTGTAAGTCTATATTTTACCTTAATCATTAGCTAAACATTAATTATCATCTTGGTGAATGATAATTATTTCATCAATAATTAACTTGATGACAGGAAAAAAAGTTTCAAATCAAATTCACCTTTTGTTGTTGTATATTAATTGTTGATTACTTGATTACATAGAACTAGATTTATGTATATAAAGTTAATTGTTGCTAAATTGTTTCAACGGATATACGAGGCCATTGCAATCCATTGGCCTTGGCCTTATAACAATTAATTAAATAACAATTTAAATTGCCAGTAAATGATTAGTATTTTTTGTTTTCACTTCTTTCAGTTGATTACAATTAAATATTACACAGCTGACAAATTAGCAGATTTAATTAATTTAGTTGTACAATTTAGGTCACAACGGATTTTGTCCCAAACCGTATCGAAGTCAATATCGTCTTTAAATGTTATATACAATTAAGTTAATCATTTGATATGAAATGATTTAGGATTTTGTTTGGTTAACTGATTGTTGTCTTTAGATTTAGTTAATAATAATAATCAACTAAGATTAACCAAAATCTTAAAATGGGTTAGATTGTTGAAGTTAATTGTTGATTCTGATGATAATAATAATGATGATGATGATACTCTCGATTCTTAGAATTAGTTAATTTCGGAAAATTACCAGAATTATGTTGATTTAAAGTATTTTATGTACTAAATTGTCTGTTGATTGTTGATTAAAATTGAATTGGTTAAACTATCGGGCTACTTTGCTTTGGAACCTCTTGACCTTAAGTCCCTCTCGTTTCATTTGGTTGATGATTCTGTTGATTAAACCTGAGGCTAATTTACAGCCTCATCAATCTAAACCAGTTAAATTAACATATTGTTAAATTAATTACTTTTAATTATCTTGAAGAAAAGTTAAATTAATTGAGGAGGTTTAGTAAATTTCTATTTTTTTTCTGTTAATCTTTTAATTCTTGTCTACTTTTAATTTTGTTTTTGTTTTTCTCGTTGTTGATTGTTGATTTTTCCTTCTTACTTATTAATACATAATAGATATTCCCAAACAATTCAAATTAATCATCAACAAGGTTAACCAACAATTATAATCATCAACATGATTATCATCATTATCTTCAATCATTGTAATCATGATGATTATGATTCTGGTGGATTAACCCAACTTGATTATCCTTACAGATCGATGAACTTAATCAACAATTAAGAAACAAGTTAAAACCATTGATCAAATCTCAGCTAATTGACAATCAAATTAGAGTAATTGAAATAATTGATTCACTTGATTACTTTAATTATTAGACTAGTTTTTGTTTTACAATCAATTGACTCTGAGGAAAGATTTTTATTTTTGTTGATTCTCTTGGATTTAATTAAAGACAGAATCAACTTTAATCATGTTGATCGTTTTTCCCTTGCCAATGGAAACAATTTCATGATGATTATCATGATGATTATGATTTCCTATGAATTGTCATGGTAACTATTTCTCTTCATTCAATTATCTTCCTAGTATCCAAATAATTATGTTGATTGTTGTTACTGATTAATACTTGGAACCACAATTTGAACAATCAGAAGCAATCAAATGCTTCCTTCCTCTGTTGATTCAATTTTTTGGGTTAATTTATTTAATTAAAATGATTAATAAACTGTGTTGATTGTACAAGTTCACAATTTACTCAATTGTCCCTTGATCAAATTGATACAAATTGATTATAAAGGTTAAACAACTTTGACCCTGTTAATTGTGATCAGGTCAATGGTCGTTACAATTATCCAAGTATCACAATCAATTGACTATTGGTAAGAGAAATTAAATTTTCACAATCAAAGAACAACAATTAACTTAATTGACGATCATCTTATTGATTTATTAATTTGAAGGTGAATATAAATACTCTGTTAATGACAGATTTGTTTGATAGGAATGGTTAATAGATTTAATCAACAATTAAGTCACCAAATTTGAGGTAAATTGTTATAAAACAATTATTAATATCTGATTAAATTGTGGTAATTAGAGTAATCATTTTAGGTCAATCTGTATTTTCCAGTTAAATTAGACCACAATTAAATAAAGTTAATCCTTGATTAAACTAATCAAGACAAAACCAAAGGTAAATCAAATGCAATTTATGATCAACCTTTCATATTGGAGCAATTAAATAATCAATTGGATGGCTGTTTTTACATCCTTGTTGATTGTGATTGATTTTGACAATGGTTAACCAAATTAGTCTCAAATTGATTAGGTTTTCCTTTGTTACAATCAATTAATAAATTAATTGTATATATCGCTAATTGTGGATAACCCAAAATCAATTTAATTTTGTCGTTGTTATTGTTGATCAAACAATCAACGCCTTCTTGATCTTTGATCGTTCACAATTGAAATGAAAAAAAAAGTCTTGTTGATTGTTATGAATTAATCTCTCTTTCCACTTCTATGATTTTAATCAATCAATTAATTAATTAATTGTCTGATTTACAAATATCATAGTATGTTCACTTGAAAATCGTAACAACGTTTCAACTGTAACAATTTACCAATATTTAGATCACAATCAAGGCCATGACCGGTCATCGATTATAATCAATCCAATGATTAATTTAATCTTTTTTATTTATCACAATTAAACTTCAACTGATTAATTAATTGCTCCCATTCTCATATAGTTGTAGATATTTTTACAAGTAAATTTGTTTTCCTAAATTATCCTAATGGTAAATTGATTGAAAATGATTAGCGTTGATTGTAAACAAAATTAAATGAATTGAGAGCAATCAATCTCTCTCTCTCTCTCTCTCCTATCTGATTAATTTAAAGTTGTTTACTAATCACTAATCGATTAATAGTAATAATAATGATTCTTTGATCATGATTTGGATTAACAATTTGAGAGATTAACAGTGAAGTGAAACAAAAAGGAGAAAGTTAAGTTCAAATCAATGGAAAACCTTGATTATCATGAAGGTGAACCAGGAAATGATAGAAATTAATTCATTCTCATGACAATCTAAATCAGGGTCTTGATCAGAATTTTCAACTTGAAATTTAATCAATTTCAAGTTTTCTCCAAGATTTCCTTGGTTACCTCTGATTTTTACTTCTCGAAACTTTCAAAAGTCCAAAAAAAAAAGTTTCATGATTGATTGAAACTTTGTCCATGTTTTGATTGTATCAAAAATTAACTGTAATTACCTTTGATTGTTAATCTACCTGTTGAAAGAAGACAACAAAACAAAATCAATTTTCCTAATTGTCAGTACAAATTGTACATGTATTATGTTAACAGGTTATGTTGATTGATAAAGATCAACATTAGCATTGATTTGTATTAATAATATTATCATTTTTGCCTGAGAGCAAATTAAATTTACCTGTTAAAGGCTTTTACCAATGATTATCACCTTAATCATGACCAATTATCTTAAATTGAAAATCATCTCAAGTTAATCAAGTTTACCGTTTATCGAAATTAACTTTCAAACCATTTTTACCGGTTTAACTTGTGGATTAAGACTGAAAACTTAATCGACGAAACAAAAAGAGATTAAGAAACAACCAAAACAACGAAAGAAACTTTTCTCGAAAAACTTTTCTCTCGAAAGAAAAAGTTTCCGAATCTAAATTACCATCGATTATCATGATTAACCTTGAACAATTTAAGTCAATGGTCGTTGAATTAACAGTTATTATCAATGGATAGAAATGTAAACCGTTATGTTTACACAATTGAAAGGAGATTATAAGATTAAAAGAAACTATTAAATCAATGGGATTATAATTGTGACAAAGGTAACAAAATGGATTAATAACAAAATAGAATCAAATTTAAACCGTTAAATTGTTGATCGTTGATGATGAGGCCTAAATGATTAACATGAAGGTAAACATAAAAGGAGAAGCCAAGAAAAGGTAACTAATTAATGTGCCTCTTGTTTTAATCCATGTTGATTAAATGTTGATGATTAAACAATCAGTTTATTCAACAGGCGAAAAAAAAAGATGAAGATGAAAAACTTTCGCCTTAATCTTTGGTTAGCTAAATTCAAGCAACAACAACAACATGAGAATAGTAATTAAGTAATTAATCCTAATTAATCAAGTGTTTATACCACACACTCGTTTCTAGTTAATGTTAATCTCTGATGGAAGAGAAAATAAGAGAAGAAAAATTTTCAAAATTTTCTCTTTTTTTTTCGGTTCATCTTTTTCTCTATTTTGTTTTCATCTTTTCGTTTTCCAATCTCACTCATGTTTCTCTCTCTCTCTCTCCTTTCACTGATTAGCGCCTGAAGAAGAAGAGAATTGATGAGGAACCATTGTGATTGATTTTTATTCTTCATTAGACTATCATCATCATTCTATCATCATCATCATCATCTTCTTCTTCAACAACGTTCGCTTAATTTTCTCTTTTTTTTCTCTCTCTCTTCTCTTCATCATCTCTTTCTGAATTTTCTTCTTCTTCTTCTTCAACATTCAACTCATTTTCTCCCCTTTTTCTTTTTCCCTCCTTTTTTCTCTTCTCTCTCTCTCTCCAAGTTTCTCTTTTTCTCCTTCTCATCTTCTCATCTCTCTCTTTTCTCTTATTTTTTTTTGTGGAAACCACTTTGTGAACCTAATCTAGTTTAAGATATTCTTCAATGTATGTTGATCAACGGTGAAGATCAACCAAAAAGAAAACATCACTTACATAAACACTCACACTTACATTCACCATACAAACTCAGTTACACACCAAAGAAAAAGAGAGTTTCCATTTCTCTCTCTCAATTATTGTTATTGTTTCTTAATAATCTCTCACTTTGAGACTCTCTCTCTATCTACAACAACTACTACTACTGTTGATGGTCAATCTCCAATAAACATGTAGATCGTTTTCTTCCCTCTGTTGATTGTTTGTTGATTTGTTTGTTAATATGTTTTTATCTCTGTTCTTTTCACCTTCCATCTCAGGCTCACTTACCATCAACAACAACAACAACAACAATTAACATCATCATCTCTCCTTTCATCTGGAGTCAATGTTAACCACAATTAAACCTGTTACCATTTGATTAACTTTAATTGTTAATTGGTAAGTTTATTAACTTGTTTTCTTGTACATATATTTATCTCTTATTTACCTTTTATATTGCTAAGTGAAGAAAGAAAAAGAGAAAAGAACAAAAAAATATTCTTTTTTTCGTTTCTCAATTTTTCTTCTATTCTCTTTTATTTTTCTTTTTTCTTCTATTCTACTCTTCTTCTCCTTTTTTTCTTCTTCTAATCATAGTAACTGTTTATTTAGTTTGTTCTTAATTTTCTTTTTACACATCTTAATATCTCTCTCTCTCATCTTAACTAGATTAATTTCAATTGAAATAAGAGACTCCAAGGTGAACTTGATTCTCTCTCTCTTTCTCCTTTTCTCTTTCTTATTCTCTTTCTGTATGTTTATGTTTATATTCTTGTTGTTGTTATATTTTTAGTGTAATAGAAAAAAAAGAAACACTTTCACTTTCTATTCAGTTTTATCACCTTTTCCTTTTTTTTATCTCTGCTACCTGATTGTTTATTCAGATATATAAATTGTATTGTATATACGATTGATTGTCATTGTCCTCTCATTCCAACCACTAGAGAAATAGAAACTCTCAATTGGTGAAAGATGATTAACTATATTTTAGATGTTTACCATTGGAAAGAAAATTAATTCTTCTGCTTTTTGTTTCTCTCTCTCTCTCTCTCTCAACAGATATCTACCTCATCGAGTTCATCTATGGCTTAGATAGGAAATTGTGCCTTTACCCAAGAACCCAAATTCGGATACAAGTTTATTGTGTTAATTTACTGTTTCTCTCTCACTGCCTGTCGTTTATATTTTAAATCTCCAATCATCGGACTTTCTCCTGATTTATTTTGTTCGGCATTTATATATATATATATATTTATATGTTATATATAATATATAAATTACGTTAATCGTTTTTTGATTTATTTTTGTGTTGTGTTGATTAAGGGAGAAAATCAAAGTAATAGGTCCCACATACATAAAGTTATCGTTAATTGAGAGTTAAATATGCGTCAACTTGAAGAAGAAGATGATACTCAAGCAACATGTCCCGAAGACTCTAATTTAACTACATTAAATGTTAACTGCCGCGGGCTAAATGGTCGAGAAGATGGTATCAATGGTATTCCTGGTGAGAATGGGATACCTGGTGTTATCGGTGGCTTAGAATGTAACAATCATAACATGTTAATGAAAGGGAAAACAAATTCGTCATCTACATCAATCAATACAACCACTGGGACAATACATTCTGGTCCACCGGCTATTTTACCAACAACACCAACATCAACAACAACAGTTACAAATACTACTACTACAACAAATATGAGGAAAACTAAACGATCACCTAATGAAAGACGATTTAAATGTGATCAATGTGAAAGAATGTTTTTCACCCGTAAAGATGTTAAACGTCATTTGGTTGTACACACTGGAGTTCGTAATTACGCTTGTCCTTTCTGTCAACAACGTTTCGGTAGGAAAGATCATTTGGTTCGTCATGCCAAGAAAAGCCATCAAAAGGATACTCGAGCTTCAGCAGCTTCGACAGCAAATATAACAGTTTCTTCACCTCCAATTGGTACTACAACCAATAACAACAATAATTCACCGATAAACCATCACCATCATCGACGATTAACTTTCACCCATAGTCAAGTTCATCATGGTTTATCTGGAACACCAACAATTAACCATCACCATCCAGGACGTATGATTGTTAATGTTAATAACAATCTTCACAACAACAACAACAACAATAATAATAATACCAATGGCAGTGGTAATAATGCTAATCTCTCGCCATGCAATTATTCATCATCAAATTTGGGCCCAGTTATGGATCAACCATCATCCATTATGCTTCTAGGTCCAGGTCCGGGTGGAAATGTTAACGGAACTGGAAGCAGCAATAGTAATGTTTCAAGTTCATTAAACAATTGTTCAACCAATGGTACAATTAACGGTTGTAATACTGTAAATGGAAATGGTGTCATTAATAATAATCACCATGATCTTTGTTATCCAGGAAACACAAATCATCACAATGGATCAATGGCCTCTTCAATAAACGATGGTCACTTTGGTGCTCCAACACCAATGGGACATCATTCATCTTTATGTGAAACAACCTCACTATTTAACAACGGCAGTCACTATTTTAGTTTAGGAGCGGGTCCAACTCCATTCATGAATCCAGCTTATATAACTAATTGTTTCGGACATATAACAGTCAATCCAAATAACTCGAGTTCTCAAGGGTTAACTAGTGTACCAACAATGTGCTCAAACGATCAAACAAACTCAGTTAGCTGTACCAATGCTCTAACCCATTTGGATGTCAATCTATCAAATCATCTTCATCATTTTAATCAAGTTTTTCAGTGAGAAAATTAATCAACAATCAACAAAACTATCTCCTTATTATATCGTTAGCTCTCTCTCTCTCTTTCTCTCTTTCTCTCTGTCTCTCTTACACACACACACACACACAAACACTTTCTACCTCTGATAATTTCTCCATTTTAACTTGTCTATTCCATCCAAGGATAAATATACGAGTTAACAATTAGCAAGAAAACATCACAATCAAAACAATTTAAAGTAAATTTGACTTCCCACTATGACAAATAACCTTCTACCTCAAGATTGAGTTACATGGAAAAAAACTGTTTCTCTTTTCTTATTCTCATCATTAACCACAACTCTCAACTACCTCTAACAATTTATCATCCAATTATTCAAAGGTACAATTTACCTTGAAATTGACGCAACTTTCGATGTTCACCTACACATTAATCATCATCATCATCATCAAACAACAACAACAACAACAACAACAACAACAACGTATTTCACTTAACCTCAAAGCATAAAGAAAAAAAAATCTACCTCATTTTACTCAAAGATTAACGAGACATGTGCCATCTCAATTATAACTATTGTTATACTACCTCAATACGGATGGAACTTGATCAACTTCAATTGATTCAGTTTTGTTGATTGTAAACTTTGAATTGATCAGATTATCAAATGATAATCGTCGAAAACATAAAAACACAATTGGTGATAAAAAAAAACAACAAAAAAACCCATCGAAAATACATCGATTATCAAGTATATATTAACCTCTTATAAAGACACACAAAAACAAAGACACATATACACACAGGAACGAAACTACCTCAACGAAATTGACCTAATTTTATAAACCAACTTCGTCCTTTGCGAAAAAAAAATATCACAATCGATATTTGAATGAAATCAACTACCTCAAACTTTTTGGTCTCTTTTACAATTTTCCTTGGAAAAGATCAACCATGAAAAACACCATAATATTGATAAAGGAAGATGAAGATAGAAGTAAAAAAGAAAACGAGATTGTTATGATAATTGTTGAAGTGATTTAATCATGAAGAGAGATGAAAAGTTCAGTTTTAATTGCCATTGTTAATCAATCAGCTATTAATAGTTTTCTATATACTAAACTATTTGTACAAAAATTTATCGAAGATAAAACAAAATCTCATTGAAAAGGGTTTAGGATTATCTAAGATTATCGAATATGTTTCATTGGAAATTTCTGTTTTTCTTTTCTCTGATCTAATCTTCCTTTCTCATGTTATAATTATTGAAACTAATTAACTATCATTAACGATTTTAATCTAATTATTTTTTTTTCTCGTCGAAACAAAAGGAAAATCCATTTTATTTGTTTACAACCTTTTCTCTTGCCTCTTTTTGCCAATATTAACCATTTAATCAACATTGTAAATCCCAAAATGTTGTCAATTTTTTGCTCTACCTCAACTTTTTGTTTTCAATTTAAATTGTAAGTGGTTGACAATGTAAACTTACAATTAATTGTTTAATGTAAATCTCCAATCATCGCTACAATCAAATGATTTTATTCTGAAACAACAAACAAACAAATCAACTTCTAATTGTGTAAAGATACGTTTCAGCATTTTGAGTCAAATTTGAAAGAAAAAACTTCTTTTTTGTTTCTTCTCTCGATTCTAATCTATTTTAATGCCTTACCTAAATTTTTGCTCAACAATTGTTACAATTAATTAATTAGTTAATTAACGAAGAAAAGTTAATAATAGGAACATTATTAAGTATTCTAATTGCTCAAAATGCTTGTAACTTGTCTTCTTCCATCTTCCTATTATCTATCACTCTCTCTCTCTCTCACTCTTTTTCTCTCTCATCTCTCTCCCTGATCATGATAAACCGTAAATTAATTGTGATTCAATTAGGAAATTAATGAACTATATTATAATTTGAAATGACTGAATTGTTATCAACAGGAACCACAACTCTACACCTTGAAAGTTAATGATGTTTCTTGATTGAAAGGGAACATTAATAAGACGAAAAGGACGAGAAAAAAAAACTCTTTGGAATCAAGAAAATACACTCAACCGAACTCACCTAAAGTGCCGTAATTGAATTGATATAAAACTTCAGGAAAAAGAAATTAGCAAAATTAATTAGCCAAATAACAAATCAAAAGGGAAAAGTTTTAGCATTGGTCAAGAAATTATCATCGTAATTGTCAACCGTCAACAAGTAATCAAGATAATCTTCTCGCTCTGTTAATCTCTTAGCAATTGTTTTCCTCTTCACTCATATTCATGTTCACTAATTCCCATTGAATGTTGTTAAATGTTATTGATACAAAGTTTGACCACTAACATGATGATAACTGAACAACAAGACACTCACAACCATGAATACCTCACAATCAGAACCATGATTACAATGTAATTAAGTGTCTTATATTATAATTTCATCTTTGTATTACCCTCCGAATAAGTTTCCTCCAAAAAACAAAACAAAACAAAACAAAATGGTTCTATTTACCTCTCTATCTGAGTGTTAAATCACTATTTTAATCAATCCTTTAATTTCTGATTCTTAAATTACCTCAACAAACAATTTGTCTTAATTGCTGATTTGCCATAACTTTGTTCATCTCTGCCAACATTTAAACCGGTGTAATGATTATTATCATAATTATTATTATATTATTATTATTATTATCTTATTATTTCAATCAATTGCAATATTTTTTACTCTTTAAACAATTAAACCAAATCAATCTCGATCGTGTTGAAACAATTAAGTTAACCATCAAAGCCAACAAAATAATTTATTGACAATAGTCAATAGTTTTAAAGTAATTATTAATACCATCGGGATAGATATTGTTGATTCAACTAATACTACATTTATTGATCAATTTTCATGATTAACTAATTTAATTGTTGATATTTTTATTTAATAGCAAAGATACAACATAAGTGTGTTGATTACTTGGCATTAGTTAATTATGATGATAAACATTTTGTTCCAGTTAAATTATCAATTTTACCGACGAACTTGTTGTTTAACTCAATCAGATTAACCATTTTAGGTCCACCGATTTGAGGCCAATCGATTGGCCCTTGTTTAGTTGGTACACTAGAGATAAAATTAAAAGTAAAATAGATTGTAATTTGTTTGGTGGTTATGATTTGGTTTTAATTACTTACCCATTTCGTGCGAAATCAGCCCAAATTTTCATGATGTTAATACTCAGTTCGATATCATCGGCATCGTAATCAGTAGGATCTCGAAGAGGAGCTCCGAAGACGTAAACTAGTTCATCGCAGTGACAAACTTTGTCCATTTTTCTGCCACAATTAGGAATTGGTGTGCTGCCGAATGGCCTAATAGGGGCCTGGGTATGGATGTAACCGTAAGTTGATTTGGTTGAATTAGTGGCTTTGAGAACGGCAAACTTGTAAGTGCCACAAACTAGACTATCACCTTCATCTCTTTCTGCTCCAACCAACAAATTGACATCATTGAACTGTCCAGTTGCGATCGCTTCATCGTCTTCGATTGGAAGAAATTCATCACCGAAAATTGGAGCTAGAAAAGCTCTAGGGACGTTACTCAAAAGATTATTCCATGGGATCGATCGAAGACAAGATAGTTTATCAGTAGCATTCGAGCATTCAACCGCCTCAACAATATCCGTTGTAACATCAGTAAGGTTTTCTTTTGGCATGAACTTCATGATCCCTCCCGATTCCATGATGGCTCCTTTGAATAGTCCCTTATTTTGTGGTGAAAGAATATGATAGGAAACAGCAGCCGAACCAGCCGATTGTCCAAAGATTGTGATTTGATAAGGGTCACCACCGAAACGATGAATATTATCTCGTGTCCATTTAAGAGCAAAATGTTGATCCCAAAGACCGAGATTCGGAGTAAGGTTAGGAATCAAATCTCCACCATTTAAGAATCCTAAGACTCCCAATCGATAGTTAAAAGTGACTAGAATAACATCTTCGAGAATCACTAAAGGAACTCCCTTGTAAGCATCATGTTCATTACCACTTCCACCCTGAAAACCACCACCATGGATCCAAAAGAGAACTGGTTTCAATTGAGTAGTTCGTTTGTCAAAAGTTTCCTTGTTAACATAGATGTTCATGTAAAGACAATCTTCATCCGTGTCTTCAGCCTTAATCGCCCTGTTCATGAAATAGAATCAGTAACATGGAAAATTATCGAAAATCAAAAAAACTTACCATGCAGATTGTGGACAAGATTTTCCATAAGCGACTGTGTCTTTAATTCCTTCCCATGATTTAGGATGAACGGGCATAGAATATCGAAGAGAATCGACCGGAGGTGCGGCGAAGGGGATACCTTTAAATTCGTAACTTGATCGGCCTCTCCATTGTTCAATCGCACCACGAATTTTACCCTGGGGCAATTCAACGACTTCACTAAATTCAAGACAATTTAGTTGATCAAAAGCTAAACAAACAACCAACAAACAAAATAATAACTTCATTTTCAATTCAATTGTCAAAGCTAAACTTGTACAACAATTTTAATTATGATCAGACTCAAATCAATCAATTATTTATATACACAATTAAAATTGTGTCTCAATCAAGTTACTTTAGGTATTGAGAATTTAATCAATCATTGATTGTTACGCACTTCAGGATTAATTGAACTAACATCAAAATCCTCGAGATAAATTGTCACAAATTATTTCCATGCTATTTACTTTATTTATCTAATTATCTTTCATTTTCCTTCGTAAACTGGATTAACTCACTGAATTAGCTAATTAAGGTTCCAACAATAATATGAAACTGTTTCTTGTTTTCCAATTAGTAAGAATTATGATTAAGATTAAAAGTATAATTGATTATTATCAAATTGATTAAATTCTATTCTTAATCTCATTGATTAATAATATCTACGTAATATCAACAAGAGACAATTAACATGTTGTAATTAAACTAGGAATCAAACGCAAAGCCTTAATTAATTGTTCATCATTTAATATAATCAAGTCTCGTATTCAATGAAAACTCATTTGATTTTAATTATAACTAAGAGCCAAGTCACAAACTTGTCATTTTAATGAGTTGAGATAATTGGATAATCTAATGAATTGATTTTTTGTTATAAAAAATAATCCAAAGTTATTCAAATTGATTTGCAGAATTAAGTTATTATATTTATTAAGTTATTGATTAATTTACTAGTGCAGATACAATATTGTCATTATCGTGTTGATTATTTGGTGAAATTAAATTCAAATTTTGGACAAACATTTTGTCCCAGTTTCATGATCAATTTTACCAACGAATTTGTTGTTCAATTCAATCAGATTAACCATTTCGGATCCGCCGATTTGAGGCCAAACAATTGGTCCTTGTTTAGTTGGTATTCTAGAGATAAAATTAAAAGTAAAATAGATTGTAATTTGTTTGGTGGTTATGATTTGGTTTTAATTACTTACCCATTTCGTGCGAAATCAGCCCAAATTTTCATCATATTAATACTCAGTTCGATATCATCGGCATCGTAATCAGTAGGATCTCGAAGAGGAGCTCCGAAGACGTAAACTAGTTCATCGCAGTGACAAACTTTGTCCATTTTTCTGCCACAATTAGGAATTGGTGTGCTGCCGAATGGCCTAATAGGGGCCTGGGTATGGATGTAACCGTAAGTTGATTTGGTTGAATTAGTGGCTTTGAGAACGGCAAACTTGTAAGTGCCACAAACTAGACTATCACCTTCATCTCTTTCTGCTCCAACCAACAAATTGACATCATTGAACTGTCCAGTTGCGATCGCTTCATCGTCTTCGATTGGAAGAAATTCATCACCGAAAATTGAGCTAGAAAAGCTCTAGGACGTTACTCAAAGATTATTCCATGGGATCGATCGAAGACAAGATAGTTTATCAGTAGCATTCGAGCATTCAACCGCCTCAACAATATCCGTTGTAACATCAGTAAGGTTTTCTTTTGGCATGAACTTCATGATCCCTCCCGATTCCATGATGGCTCCTTTGAATAGTCCCTTATTTTGTGGTGAAAGAATATGATAGGAAACAGCAGCCGAACCAGCCGATTGTCCAAAGATTGTGATTTGATAAGGGTCACCACCGAAACGATGAATATTATCTCGTGTCCATTTAAGAGCAAAATGTTGATCCCAAAGACCAAGATTCGGAGTAAGGTTAGAATCAAATCTCCACCATTTAAGAATCCTAAGACTCCCAATCGATAGTTAAAAGTGACTAGAATAACATCTTCGAGAATCACTAAAGGAACTCCCTTGTAAGCATCATGTTCATTACCACTTCCACCCTGAAAACCACCACCATGGATCCAAAAGAGAACTGGTTTCAATTGAGTAGTTCGTTTGTCAAAAGTTTCCTTGTTAACATAGATGTTCATGTAAAGACAATCTTCATCCGTGTCTTCAGCCTTAATCGCCCTGTTCATGAAATAGAATCAGTAACATGGAAAATTATCGAAAATCAAAAAAACTTACCATGCAGATTGTGGACAAGATTTTCCATAAGCGACTGTGTCTTTAATTCCTTCCCATGATTTAGGATGAACGGGCATAGAATATCGAAGAGAATCGACCGGAGGTGCGGCGAAGGGGATACCTTTAAATTCGTAACTTGATCGGCCTCTCCATTGTTCAATCGCACCACGAATTTTACCCTGGGGCAATTCAACGACTTCACTAAATTCAAGACAATTTAGTTGATCAAAAGCTAAACAAACAACCAACAAACAAAATAATAACTTCATTTTCAATTCAATTGTCAAAGCTAAACTTGTACAACAATTTTAATTATGATCAGACTCAAATCAATCAATTGGCTTATATACACAATTAAAATTGTGTCTCAATCAAGTTACTTTAGGTATTGAGAATTTAATCAATCATTGATTGTTACGCACTTCAGGATTAATTGAACTAACATCAAAATCCTCGAGATAAATTGTCACAAATTATTTCCATGCTATTTACTTTATTTATCTAATTATCTTTCATTTTCCTTCGTAAACTGGATTAACTCACTGAATTAGCTAATTAAGGTTCCAACAATAATATGAAACTGTTTCTTGTTTTCCAATTAGTAAGAATTATGATTAAGATTAAAAGTATAATTGATTATTATCAAATTGATTAAATTCTATTCTTAATCTCATTGATTAATAATATCTACGTAATATCAACAAGAGACAATTAACATGTTGTAATTAAACTAGGAATCAAACGCAAAGCCTTAATTAATTGTTCATCATTTAATATAATCAAGTCTCGTATTCAATGAAAACTCATTTGATTTTAATTATAACTAAGAGCCAAGTCACAAACTTGTCATTTTAATGAGTTGAGATAATTGGATAATCTAATGAATTGATTTTTTGTTATAAAAAATAATCCAAAGTTATTCAAATTGATTTGCAGAATTAAGTTATTATATTTATTAAGTTATTGATTAATTTACTAGTGCAGATAAAATATTGTCATTATCGTGTTGATTATTTGGTGAAATTAAATTCAAATTTTGGACAAACATTTTGTCCCAGTTTCATGATCAATTTTACCAACGAATTTGTTGTTCAATTCAATCAGATTAACCATTTCGGATCCGCCGATTTGAGGCCAAACAATTGGTCCTTGTTTAGTTGGTATTCTAGAGATAAAATTAAAAGTAAAATAGATTGTAATTTGTTTGGTGATTATAATTTGATTTTAATTACTTACCCATTTCGTGCGAAATCAGCCCAAATTTTCATAAACTTAAGACTCAATTCGATATCATCGGCATCAAACTTTTCGGGTTCACGTAGAGGTGAACCAAAGACGAAAATCAATTCATTACCATGACAAACTCTATCAACTTGCCTACTACAATCTGGCGAGGGAATAGCGAATGGCGTTAAAGAGACCTGAGTGTGGACATAACCGAAAGTAGATGTATTTGAATTGGAAGCTTTGAGAGCAGCAAATTTATAAGTACCACAAATAAGATCATCGCGTTCATCTCGTTCGGCTCCAACTAATAAATTGACATCGTTAAACTGTCCGCTTTTTATCGCTTCAGTTTCATCTAAGGGAATGAATTTATCACCATAAACTGGCTGGTATTTCAAAGGTTCAGTTTCATTGAAAATATCGAACCATGGAACTGATCGAAGACAAGAAATTTTATCAGTAGCATTCATACAGCCGAAAAAATCAACAGTATCAGAGATAATTTCTGTGATATTAAGTTCTGGGTTCAGTTTCATTATTCCACCTGATTCCATGATGGATCCTTTAAATAGACCCTTGTTATGAGGAGAAAGCATCTGAAAAGCTACAGCAGAAGATCCAGCCGATTGTCCAAAGATTGTGATTTGATAAGGGTCACCACCGAAACGATGAATATTATCTCGTGTCCATTTAAGAGCAAAGTGTTGATCCCAAAGACCGAGATTCGGAGTGTGAGAGGGAATCAAATCTCCGCCATGTAAGAATCCAAAGATTCCCAATCGATAGTTAAAAGTGACCAGAATAACATCTTCGAGAATAACTAAAGGAGTTCCTACATAAGAGTCGAAATCAGCTCCACTTCCAAATCGAAAACCACCACCATGAATGAAGAACAGAACTGGCTTTAGGTGAGTAGTTCGATTGTCAAAAGTTTCCTTGTTAACATAAATATTCATGTAAAGACAATCTTCATGAATGTGTTCGGCAGTAATACCCCTGATATTTAGCGAAAAGAATATTTCATTTCGATTATGTCATCAAAAAACTTGGAAAATGTACTTACCATGGATTCTGAGGACAAGATTTTCCATAATCGATTGTATCTTTAGTTCCTTCCCATGGTTTTGGATGTTCTGGCATAGAAAATCGAAGTGAATCAATCGGAGCTGCAGCGTAAGGAATACCCTTGTATTCGTAGGTAGATCGACTTCTCCATTCTTTAATCGCTCCACGAATTTTACCCTGAGGCAATTCAACGACTTCACTAAATTCAAAACAATTAAACTGATCAAAAGCTAAGAAAACAATCAATAGACAAAATAATAACTTCATTTCAATTATTTATTTCTTATTGTGTTTTTTTACTGTATTGTAAGAGTTAAACTTGTAAAACTATTTCAATTATGATGAAAATTAAAACTATCAATTGATTTATATATTTTTTATTCGCCATTGTAATCAAACAATTAAGTGCAATTAGTGACAAAGTGAAACATTTAATCAACTTATTCATCTTATTATTCGTGAATCGGTGCAACTCAAACAATAGTCTAATTCCAGATACTAAGATCTTAGACCCGATTTGCTGTCATAGATTTTTACGGAATTTATGGTAAAACCGAAAATTAAATTGTTCTTTTTTTACATTAATTATTAGATAAAGTTGATTGTAATAATTGGAACATATTGAACAGTTTTTTGAGTTAATTAAAGAAGGATACAAGTTAACTTTAATCGTGTTGATTACTTGGCATAAGTTAATTATGATGATAAAATTAAAATCAAGAAATTGCAATTTAGATAATTGAGTCTCATCAATGAGATTAAATTTTTTTCCTCTATTGTTGCTCAATATCAACATTATTGAGAGATGGAAAGTTGATTAAATTGTGATACAATCAACAAGTGATAGCAAGATTTAATTGTCCACTAGGTTTGGTAATCAATTGATAATTTTAGCCTAAGAAATAAAAATATTTTGGATATTCAATATAACATGAGGCTTGTATTAAGTGTTGAGAAGAAGCAAAGAAAGTGTTGAAGAAAGTTCCAACTTGATCAGGTTAATCAATGTGATTATTGGAAAATTGAATCAATTAACAAGAATCGATAATCAATTTTTCAATGTATCTAATCTTAATCCTCTTCTAAAGATATCGTAGCAATCAACTAAGATCTGATTGGAAGAAACCTATTGAACCAAAGATATACCCACAGGTGAACCAAAGCTCGTGTGAGCTAATTAAGCTAATTAAAGTTAATCCAGTTTATAAAGAAAAGAGGAAAACAGTTGAATGAATAAAGTAATCGTCATGTAAGGATTTATAACAATTTATCTGAAGGATACAAATACGAAGCTAATTAATCCATGAAACCGTAACCAGCAACTAATGATTCTTGACAACAGATGAATTGGTGGTAGAATCTAATTATTAAGATTGTTCCAAGTGTTTAGAAACCAACTTGAAATGAAGTTATTATTTTGTCTATTGATTGTTTTCTTAGCTTTCAATCAGTTTAATTGTTTTGAATTCAGTGAAGTCGTTGAATTGCCTCAGGGTAAAATTCGTGGAGCGATTAAAGAATGGAGAGGTCGATCTACCTACGAATACAAGGGCATTCCTTACGCCGCAGCTCCGATTGATTCACTTCGCTTTTCTATGCCAGAACATCCGAAGCCATGGGAAGGAATTAAAGATACAATCGATTATGGAAAATCTTGTCCTCAGTAAGTTTCGATTGAAATGAATCTCTAAGTTAAATTAATTCAATTCATCTAATCAACAGGCCAACCAAGGCTGAAGACACGGATGAAGATTGTCTTTACATGAACATCTATGTTAACAAGGAAACTTTTGACAAACGAACTACTCAATTGAAACCAGTTCTCTTTTGGATCCATGGTGGTGGTTTCCAGGCTGGAAGTGGTAATGAACATGATGCTTACAAGGGAGTTCCTTTAGTGATTCTTGAAGATGTTATTCTAGTCACTTTTAACTATCGATTGGGAGTCTTAGGATTCTTAAATGGTGGAGATTTAATTCCTAACCTTACTCCGAATCTCGGTCTTTGGGATCAACATTTTGCTCTTAAATGGACACGAGATAATATTCATCGTTTCGGTGGTGACCCTTATCAAATCACAATCTTTGGACAATCAGCTGGTTCTGTTTCTGTTTCTTATCATATTCTGTCCCCAAAAAATAAGGGACTATTCAAAGGAGCCATCATGGAATCAGGTGGATTCGTGAAATTTATGCAAAATGAGAACATGAAAAAAACTACCAGTGATATTATTGATTCTGTTGGATGTTCGAATTTTACAGATAAATTATCTTGTCTCCGACTGATTTCATGGACAAGTCTTCTCGACAAAGCTCCACGAACCTTTTTATCATTTCCTCCAACTTTCGGTGATGAATTCGTTCCACTGCCAGATGATGAAGCGATTCCAATCGGACAGTTCAATGATGTCAATTTGTTGGTTGGAGCAGAAAGAGATGAAGGTGATGGCCTAGTTTGTGGCACTTACAAGTTTGCTGTTCTCAAAGCTGCAAATTCAACCAAATCAACTTACGGTTACATCCATACCCAGGCCCCTTCAAAGTCCTTCGGCAACATACCGATGCCTAATTGTGGTAGGAAAGTGGACAAAGTTTGTCATAGCGAAGAATTGGTTTACGTCTTCGGAGCTCCTCTTCGTAATCTTACTGATTACGATGCCGATGATATCGAACTAAGTCTTAATATGATGAAAATTTGGACTGATTTCGCTCGAAATGGGTAAGTAACTAAAACCAAATCATAACCACCAGACAAATTACAATCTATTTTACTTTTAATTTTATCTCTAGTGTACCAACTAAACAAGGACCAATTGTTTGGCCTCAAATCGGTGGATCCGAAATGGTTAATCTGATTGAATTGAACAACAAATTCGTTGGTAAAATTGATCATGAAACTGGTACAAAATGTTTATCATCATAATTAACTTATGCCAAGTAATCAACACGATTAAAGTTAACTTGTATCCTTCTTTAATTAACTCAAAAAACTGTTCAATATGTTCCAATTATTACAATCAACTTTATCTAATAATTAATGTAAAAAAAGAACAATTTAATTTTCGGTTTTACCATAAATTCCGTAAAAATCTATGACAGCAAATCGGGTCTAAGATCTTAGTATCTGGAATTAGACTATTGTTTTAGTTGCACCGATTCACGAATAATAAGATGAATAAGTTGATTAAATGTTTCACTTTGTCACTAATTGCACTTAATTGTTTGATTACAATGGCGAATAAAAAATATATAAAGCAATTGATTGATTTAATTTTCATCATAATTGAAATAGTTTTACAAGTTTAACTCTTACAATACAGTAAAAAAACACAATAAGAAATAAATAATTGAAATGAAGTTATTATTTTGTCTATTGATTGTTTTCTTAGCTTTTGATCAGTTTAATTGTTTTGAATTTAGTGAAGTCGTTGAATTGCCTCAGGGTAAAATTCGTGGAGCGATTAAAGAATGGAGAAGTCGATCTACCTACGAATACAAGGGTATTCCTTACGCTGCAGCTCCGATTGATTCACTTCGATTTTCTATGCCAGAACATCCAAAACCATGGGAAGGAACTAAAGATACAATCGATTATGGAAAATCTTGTCCTCAGAATCCATGGTAAGTACATTTTCCAAGTGTTTTGATGACATAATCGAAATTGAAAATTTCTTTTCGCTAAATATCAGGGGTATTACTGCCGAACATATTCATGAAGATTGTCTTTACATGAACATTTATGTTAACAAGGAAACTTTTGACAATCGAACTACTCATCTAAAGCCAGTTCTGTTCTTCATTCATGGTGGTGGTTTTCGATTTGGAAGTGGAGCTGATTTCGACTCTTATGTAGGAACTCCTTTAGTTATTCTCGAAGATGTTATTCTGGTCACTTTTAACTATCGATTGGGAATCTTTGGATTCTTACATGGCGGAGATTTGATTCCCTCTCACACTCCGAATCTCGGTCTTTGGGATCAACACTTTGCTCTTAAATGGACACGAGATAATATTCATCGTTTCGGTGGTGACCCTTATCAAATCACAATCTTTGGACAATCGGCTGGATCTTCTGCTGTAGCTTTTCAGATGCTTTCTCCTCATAACAAGGGTCTATTTAAAGGATCCATCATGGAATCAGGTGGAATAATGAAACTGAACCCAGAACTTAATATCACAGAAATTATCTCTGATACTGTTGATTTTTTCGGCTGTATGAATACTACTGATAAAATTTCTTGTCTTCGATCAGTTCCATGGTTCGATCTATTCAATAATACAGAAGCTTTAAAATATAAGCCTGTCTATGGTGATAAATTCATTCCCTTAGATGAAACTGAAGCGATAAAAAGCGGACAATTTAACGATGTTAATTTATTAGTTGGAGCCGAACGAGATGAACGCGATGATCTTATTTGTGGTACTTATAAATTTGCTGCTCTCAAAGCTTCCAATTCAAATACATCTACTTTCGGTTATGTCCACACTCAGGTCTCTTTAACGCCATTCGCTATTCCCTCGCCAGATTGTAGTAGGCAAGTTGATAGAGTTTGTCATGGTAATGAATTGATTTTCGTCTTTGGTTCACCTCTACGTGAACCCGAAAAGTTTGATGCCGATGATATCGAATTGAGTCTTAAGTTTATGAAAATTTGGGCTGATTTCGCACGAAATGGGTAAGTAATTAAAACCAAATCATAACCACCAAACAAATTACAATCTATTTTACTTTTAATTTTATCTCTAGTGTACCAAGTAAACAAGGACCAATCGATTGGCCTCAAATCGGTGGACCTAAAATGGTTAATCTGATTGAGTTAAACAACAAGTTCGTTGGTAAAATTGATCATGAAACTGGTACAAAATGTTTATCATCATAATTAACTTATGCCAAGTAATCAACACGATTAAAGTTAACTTGTATCCTTCTTTAATTAACTCAAAAAACTGTTCAATATGTTCCAATTATTACAATCAACTCTATCTAAAAATTAATGTAAAAAAAGAACAATTTAATTTTCGGTTTTACCATAAATTCCGTAAAAATCTATGACAGCAAATCGGGTCTAAGATCTTAGTATCTGGAATTAGACTATTGTTTGAGTTGCACCGATTCACGAATAATAAGATGAATTAGTTGATTAAATGTTTCACTTTGTCACTAATTGCACTTAATTGTTTGATTACAATGGCGAATAAAAAATATATAAAGCAATTGATTGATTTAATTTTCATCATAATTGAAATAGTTTTACAAGTTTAACTCTTATAATACAGTAAAAAAACAATAAGAAATAAATAATTGAAATGAAGTATGCCTCTAATGCTGACCATAACCTGCACATCGCTTCCACAATTGAATGATATTACAGGGCTATTCAGCTATTTTCGCCGATGTTTTTTTGCGATTTTCTCAGCAACTAGAACGCTCAAAGACTCACAACTTGAGTGTTATGAGTTTGAGTGATATTCAATTGTCATATCAAAAGATCAAGGCCATTCAGGTCATCGGTAAAATAACAAGTTTCAAGGTCATCTGAAGGCATAAAAAGTGAACAATGGGGATGTTGATTAGTCGGTGGGTGAAAGTAAATTTATATTGGGGACATGATTATAAGAGATGTAGAACTTATTGGTCCCATCATCATTGAACAGTTATTGTAATCCAGAACGATATCTAGGGTAACCTTTCGCTTTTTTATTAAATTCTTCCATCAAATATTTACGTATCTTTGAAATGTCTATAATGGGTTTATCGGGAGCGCACGCTAAATTTACCTCTTCTGTCAAGGCCTCGAGATTGACTTTGCTTATGTTGTTGTAGGTCATTATCTCCACATTCATCTTCTTGCACTGCGCTGAAAAATGGACTGCCTATCTTTAAGGAGTAACATAAACAAGATAAACTGATTCGAAAAGTTAACACTTATTAATGATCGAAAGATTTTTGAAAAATTTAATGTTATCGCAAACTAAATTGAAAGCAAATGAAACAAAGAGAATTTTACCGTATTGATGTTTGATCAAAGTTTATTTTGTAAACGATTAATTGGCTTTTTTCTGACCATATTGTCTCACACTTTCCACAGGGCTATTTTTACCGATGTTTTTTTGCGATTTTCTCAGCAACTAAGAGTCAGAGAAACTCGTGACTTTAGTGGTATAAGTTTGAGCGATACTCAATTGTCATATTAAGAGATCAAGGTCATTCAGGTCATTGTTGAAAGAAAGCGTTTCAAGGTCATCTGAAGGTTTTCCAACATCGGTAAAAATAGCTGAATAGCCCCTGTAGTTTTTAGCAACAGTGGATCATGACTTCATGTTCACCTCTTCGTGAACCCGAAAAGTTTGATGCCGATGATATCGAATTGAGTCTTAAGTTTATGAAAATTTGGGCTGATTTCGCACGAAATGGGTAAGTTAATCATTATAAATTACTATTTGATCACAGAATCAGTTGACTCAATTTTACTTAATTATATCTCTAGAATACCAACTAAACCAGGACCAATTGCTTGGCCTGAAATTGGTGTATCAGAAATGGTTAATCTGATTGATGTTGTCTTGTTGATTGTATCATAGTTTAATCAACTTTCCATCTCTCAATAAAGTTGAGTTGCTAATATTGAGCGATAATATCAGAGGATAAAAATCTAATCTCATTTATGAGACCCGGTTATCTAAATTGAAAACACTCTTGATTTTAATCTGTTCTAATTAATACAATCAACTTTATCTATTAATTAACGTATTTTTATGAAGGCTTGATAAAAAGTCTCATATTTTATCCCCACATGTTAATCAAAATGTATCAAGTTGATTATAAAAATCAAATTAAACACAGCGATTAACAATTATCGGTTAACGGTTTACAGTTGTGGTGATTTAATTAACGCTAATAATATAAGTTATAAATTCTGAATAAATAAATATTGACCACTAATGGACAATTAATAATTAGTGGACTTTTACAACGAAAAAAAAGTTTTCAAAGAAAAATTCAATTTCATGATTAACTTAATTAGAAGTAAATTAAAAGTTTTTTATTTTTTGAATAGAAAGTAGAAAAAAAACTATCTAATTACAATCAGTTAATTTGATTATCGTTGTGCAATTGGGTAAATCAAATTTCGTTTAGCAATTAAAGGCCCAAAAATTTATTACTCTGAATCGCTTAATCCTTTGCCCCTTAATCGGCTTCTCATCGCAATCTTGATTAATGCATCAGCAGTTTCTTTACCTGTTGATTGTATCATTGAGTAAAAGATTCCCTCTTTATCATCAGCTAAACTTGCTGGATCACCAAATTGAGCAACTTTACCTGCATCCATGACCAAAATTTTATCGGAATCCATGATGGTGTGTAATCTATGGGCGATTGTTAATACAGTACAATCAGCAAAACGTTTTCTGATTGTCTGTTGAATTAATTCATCAGTGACTGGATCAATATTTGCTGTTGCCTCATCAAGAACAAGAATCTTGTTATTGGCTAAAATTGCTCGAGCCAAGCAAACAAGTTGCCGTTGACCAACACTTAGATTTGTACCTCCATCGGTTACAATAGCGTCCAGTCCACCCATTTCATCAACAGGTCGTTTTAATTGTACCTGATTAAGAGCTTCCCAAAGATCGGAATCTTTTTTTGAGCTAAATGGATCTAAATTGTATCGAATTGATCCTGAAAATATTATCGGTTCTTGAGGAATAATTGAAATCTTTTTTCTCAAATCATGTAATCCAATCAATGAAACATCGATTCCATCAATGATTATATGACCTTCCGTTTCGGTCATTCGATATAAAGCGGTCATTATTGAACTTTTACCGGCACCAGTTCGACCAACAATGCCGACCTTTTCTCGAGCATTAATTTTGAAACTAATATTATTCAGAACTGGAGCTTTTTTCGGATCATATTTAAGGTAAACATGATGGAATTCAATTTCACCCTTACTGGGCCAAGAATCGGCTGGCTTATTTTCAGGGGTTGAATCTAATTCGGCTTCGGGTTCAATGTATCTCATCTGATCCACACGTTCAACCGAAGTCATCATGGTTTCAACTTCCGTTAACTGTCTCATACCCCATTGAATACCAGTGGCAAGTCCAATACTGGATGTAATAATAAGACCCACGCTACTACCATTAAGAGAATCGATAACAACCAATACAATGACGATAATTGCCAGAGTATAAAAATTTGAAATCGTATTCATCATCGATATAAAGAATCGGGAAGAAGCGACCCAAGTGAAATATGCCGATGAATGGTCATCTTGATAGACATCGAAAAGATCCTTGAATCGTGATTCAGCTTTGAACGCTCGAATTGTGGTTAACCCTGAAACGGAAGTTGACAGATGAGAAAAAACTGGACTTTTAGTAACTCCTTCGAGCCTTTTAACATTTCGGGCGATGTCAACATAATAGTTACGAGCAATTCCCGCAACAACAAACAGTAAGATTGAAGGAATCGCTAAGAAACCATTGAGCACCGACATTAATAAGATCGCAGCGAAATTGGAAGTTATAATGAATAGAGTATCGAACATGGTTGCAGGTAAGAAATCATCAACAGTTCCAATGTCTCGAGATATACGGTTAAGTATAATTCCTGGAGGATTATTATCGAAAAATGAAATTGGAGCTCGAACAATTGATTTGAACAATCGGGAATGAAGTTTGATCGAGGCTCTCATACAAACGGCAAAAAAGGCAACGTTACGAGTTAAACACCAAACCAACAAGATTAAAGTTAATCCAGCAAAGAAATAGATATTATCGATTTGACTGAAGTTATCAACAAACGATTGTGCCACCAAGATGGTTGAATTATTTGAGAAGGCGATAGACTTTCGCTCTTCAGAATCGGTCCAGAGTGAGAAATAATATTCAATAAAAGACATGAGCAGTTGACTACCCAGAATATAAAACGCAAATGCTGGTAAAAGAGTAGGATGAATTCCCGCTCGAATATAAGTCCAAAGAGAATTGGATTTAGTTTTAATTCTGGAAAGTTCATCTTCTTCACCCTCATCTTCATCTGGATTATAAATTTGCTCATCATAAAGATCAGGCTCAGTTCCAGTAATTCCCGACAATATTGATGCCAATGATCCTTTACGACTGACCCGTCTACTCAATTTTCTTGACGTCACCTTTTCAACAACCGGCTTAGGTTTAGGCTCATTTTCTGCGGTTATTGTTGATGTGAGAAAGTCACTTCCCTTTTTCAAGAGTTCAGAATAATCCCCAAAACAAACCTGTGAACCATTTTGTAGTAATAATATACGATCAGCTGATTTCATGAATTGTAACTGATGGGTAACCAGAATAGCGATCTTATCAGAAAGAAACTCTTTAACACTTTTCTCAAAGATATGTTTGGCTACTGGAGCATCAACAGCCGATAAAGGATCATCTAGAAGGTAAATATCGGCGTGAGCATAAAGAGCACGGGCAAGGTTAATCCGCGCTCTTTGACCTCCAGAAAGTGATGCTCCTCGATCACCGACGACAGTTTGATCTCCGGCAGGTAATATTTTCATGTCTCGTTCGAGAGCTGAAACATGAACCACTTCCTTGTAGCGAAATGAATTATATTCATTTCCGAATAGAATATTTTCCCGAACAGTTCCTATTAAAGAGAAACAATTTTAAACATACAAATCAATTGAAACCTGAGGAAAAATCTAATAATCAACTTACCTGCAAAAATCCAAGCTTGTTGACATGCATAGGATATTTTCCCTTTGACCTCAATCTTTCCAACATCGGCAGCAATTTCGCCCAAAATTGAGTTGACAAGTGTCGATTTCCCTGACCCAACGGGACCAACAATCGCCATTAACTGGCCTTTGGTAAGATTTAGATTAATTTTCGTTAGAACTGGATCATGATCTTGTTTCCATCTGATTTGAACGTTTTCATATTTTATCGAAGGTTCTTTTGATCTTGTGTTAATATTTTTCATGGTAGATTTTTCCTC